ATTAGGAACAATGCAAGTATTGTCCCAAAAGGCCGAGTGCGCACATACGCCTATTGCTTGTTGTCGTACGTACGGGGTTTTGGGTCGCAGTGAAATTTAGGAAATGTTTGTACTCGATAGTTTACGTATATCTGATACTCTTTCAGAATTTACGTCTTCTTGGCAGTAAATAACGAATTAGTTTGACTACACCGGAAAAGTATGAGCACGTTTTTAGATAAGCAAGAATAAATAAGCTAACTATTCACTGGAGTTTTCCAGATGTATTGACCGTCTCAAGTAACCAGCGACCGTGGGAAGTCGTGGTAAGAAACTTTTCTCGCAATCTCGAACAAAGTGCAACAATATATGCTCTTTCAATTTTAAAAAGAATCAGATATTAATTAAAAAGATTTTCTTACTTTAATTATAAAATATATGATAAAATGAATAACAAATATAATTTAAAGAGAAGCAGCCCGTATAATATAATGTAATATAGAATACAATATAGTCACAATATAAAACCCAAATTTGTAAAATTTGAACATGCTTCTTTTACGTCAATAGTCTTCTAAATGTCTGATTTAAAAAATTAAAAGTATGAAAGGACCTTAGTAAGTCTAAAGCTAATAAAAAAAAAGAAAATATTTAAATTTCTTTCTTTAAACTGCACATAATTAATACGACAAATAGGCTGTATTGATAATTCAAGATTAAAATAAGTCGCACACAACAGTAATTAGGCTAAAAGTTTTTTCGAGATTATACCATTTATTGGATTAATAATATTAAGTGTTGTACTTTACCAAGCTTTGTTTAAATTAATGATAATTATTTCATAATGTGGCTTCATCAATCGTTATACAAGCAATACAATTTCATTAAAAGGTTTATTTTTCTATGCTAACCTAGTATAATTAAAACATTAAATTAAAAGTAAATTATATATTAAATTATATACTTTGTTAAATAAACTAATATACTGGTAAGTACAATCATTAAAAAAAGCAACTAAAATGTAAGGTTTATAATATTATAAATATTAATATTATTTAAATAAAAAAGATTAGCAAAATATTGAATTATTAAGTTTAAAATTTTATTATATTTATTCAACTTTTTCTATTATAAATATAATTTTAATATTCGTATTTTTTGTATTCATTCACATTATTTTATTATTTTGTATATATTTTTTTATAAGTGAATTTTACAGAATATATATGTATATTTATTTATGTTTAATTAAAACAATGTTTATTTCATTACTTATCCAATATCAAATATATCTAGATATATTTAATTGTATATTATATTATATTATATAAAATAGATATATTTAATTAATATAAATAATAGAAAAAGCCCATTCAATTTTAATATATAATTATATTTTTGTATGGAAAGACCATGAAACTAAAGCCTTTCAGTTTATCAATTTTTAATTAAAATCACATAGTTATAAATTATTCTTTAATTTATATATTTTCTATAAATTATATTTAAAACAAAATACTAAGAATAACGTTAAATAAAATTAATATTTTTTACAATTATTTATATGAAATATTTAAAACTATAAATCTATTTTATATCTATTCTGATCTAAATATAGTATAGCGCTCACTATATCAACTACTTTCAATATGTATTTATTATTATAATAACCTTTAAATAAATAAAATTCAAACGTTGCCGCATTGATATTCATTGCCCATATTACTACAGCTAATAAATTTCTTGTAATACAATTGTTACAATATAAAATTTTACAATATAAAGTTATTTTAAAGTAAGTTAAAAATATATAATTCAGCGTTTGGGTTTTGCTAGTGTTTGATAAAATAAGTAAAATAGTATCTTTATCAATTCTAAAAATACACGTCTTTTGAAAAACAACAAAGATACAAAGTTTTTATTGAAATTTTAAACAATATTTCTATTTAATATTAAAAATATTACTAAAAATAAGACCATTACGGTAGAAAACAAATAATTAATTTCAACGTCTGTGCTTTACAAATTTTTTTATTTTCAGAAAAAGAAATTAATGAATGTGAACAATAAAAAATATTTTAAGAAAAAACGTTTGATCAAACAGCTTTTGGAATATAATAAACTATACACAATATTTTATTTTATTTTTAAGTGTTTGAATAATTAAATAAAATAGAACAACAAAATAGTAAATATTTTAATAAAAACAGTTACATGTACTAAAGCTAACTCAAATTATCGAAGGTTCGAGCAAATCTGAGAAGTTCATGATAGCTATTAACTGAAGCACTGACCGTGTATTAACTGTACTTTTTAAATGGATTTTTGTTTGAACTATAACTACCTTTCCTTCTTTTTCAGTTTTGCATACAAAATATTCTTTCATGAGGAAGATTTTAATTCTAAAGCAGTTCGTCTTAACTGATCCTGAACTACAATTAAAATTAATAAAGCAATTCTGTGTAAAAGAGTATCTGGATACTGACTAGATTTGTGATTTATATAACATCATGTGGAAAATTCTTATCATTGAATTTCACGCGGTCTGTAAATCTTTTGGTTATTTCTCTCCCTCTCATCATCCACTCTTCTTTCTACCAATCTAACAATTTAACTATATTATTTATTACAGATTTACTAATAAATTTTATCCTTTTTCTTACTATGCAAAATTTAATTTAATTGTTTTTAGTGATACTTTTTAACGTTACAATTTATACATCTATATTCCATATTCATTTAGTGCTAGATTATGATTTTATTAAAATCTATTATTTAAAACCTCATAATTTAAAATTTTATTGATATGTTTATCGATATATTTTAAAAATATCTATTATTTTTATTTAATTTTTCATATTTGAATACATAAATAAATACCATTAACTTTTTAAAGTTAAAATTTTCTCCTTCTTTTAACTGTTTATTATCTATATAATAGTTGTACTTTTGAAAAAAATTAATATTAAAAAAAATTATTATTACTAAAATATTATTACAGTTATTAATTCGTGATTATTTATTTGAATATGTCATAAATATGATTATAATTAATTGCTCACTTATTAATGATTCACTTAAAATTATTTGAAAAGCAGTAAAATTATTTGATATAATTAATAATATAAAATAAAAGGTTTAAATATAATTTCACTCTCTATTATATTATATTATATTACAATAAATTATTATTGTTATATTTAACATTTTTAGATACGCTTAAAATAATTTAAAACTCCTAATTGCATTCTAAAATATTTTTATACTTCATTAACTTAATTTATACGTAACATTATTATATTATTAAATTCTAGAATTTTGTATATTAATAATTTAATACTGCGAATTTCAACTACTCGAAACTATTAAAATTTTATTTATTACTGACAGAAATGTTTTTATATAGCTAAATAGTTTTGATAAACCTATATAAATTATGAATTAGCCAATATAGCTCATTAAATTGCGTTAAACAAATATTTTCTATAGATTTATACTTATATTTCACAATTGATAGAATAGTTTTAGAATATTTAAATATTTTTGTATATAAATACAGTAAAAAAAAATTAATTAAAAAAAATACGTGATTCAAGATAATACTAACATAAATAACTCTTTATTTTTAATTATTAATTATAAAAAAAAATTGAATAAGTAATTATTTAAAAATAATATTGAAATCCATTATCGTAATAGTTATGACGTAACTGATAAATATTCTTTTTTTAATAATTAACATATTTATATGTAACTATTGTTACATTGTAAATATTCAAAAAACATTAATTATAATTAAAAAATGTATTTTAAGTTTATTATAAACAATAATTACATTCCTGAATATTGTTTAACTAATAAATAGATAATTTTTTTAGTTTCATTTTTCATTACTAATTATTTTCATATATGCTATTAAGAATAATACTTTTAAAAGAATTCAGACTTTGTTTGAATAAAAACAGGATAAAATCAAAGAATTATAATATAATGAAAACACTTTTTACACGGGATATTTTTATTTAATATAATACTATATTGAACAAGATATTTATATAAATAGTTAAATAATTTTGCTTAAAGCTATTCGCAAGAGGCATGGAGCTACTATTCTGTATAAATGTACTAACACAAAATTATAATAGGCTTGGGTAGATAAATTTATTTATAGAACACGAATTAAATATTTTTAATTTCATCATACGTATGATTTATGTTTTATTCACACATTAAAGAAATTTAGGAAATTCCAACTCAATTATTTTACGCAGTTATATAATCGGAAATCTTAATTAATAAGCAAACAAAATGCTTAATTACTATTACATCTACTTTGAATTATAAAAATATAGATTGAAAAATAATACATTAATATTTATTAAATTAATATCTAAAAATAATAAGTATAGAATGATATTTAATAATAAGAAACACATTTAAAAATACTAATTATTATTACACAAAATATTTCCCGATACTCCGGATTCTTACTCCGTATAATATCAATTTCATTAATATTTTAACCATGATTTCTAAGAAATAACGATTATTAGAAAATTAAAAATATTTATTTTTTTGTTATTATAATTATCATATAATATTATTAGTTTATAAATCAATTAGTATATGAATCGATAATTTATAATCTTTTGAAAATCAATAAGAATGGTTTTAACAATTAAATATATCTACAGTTATTTAAAAAATTAAAAAATAATATTTTAAACAAATATTGGTATTTTTGTGAATGTACCAATTTGATTTGGATAAATAAATTATAATGTTTTTGTTAATTTTTGTTAAATAATTATATTTAAATACAATAATTATTAATCTTAATTGCTGATATTTAATACTAATGTATAAACTTAGAAAATCTATTAGCAATATTGACTATAGTTAAAAATAACCCATATTTTAATGCAAAACTGGTTGGTATTTTCATTCATAGATAGGTGTTATTATTGCACAAAACTATGAAGTATCAGATATACAATGTAGTAGAGCCAATTCATCCATAGATTTACTTACTGCGAAAATTAAGCGTCCAAATGGTTTTCGCGGAGATCCCCTTTTTGCGGACGATAGAACTGCCGATCCGCTTCTTGATATTCAATGCCAAATTAGACCTGACATAAATGATCCACAAGAAGATAATTATTTTCTGAAAGTAACGGATTTTACTCGCTGTGGAATAATTAAACGAAATGTGAGCGGTAACATCCTTATACATTTTATTTGTTATAGCAGTTTTTATTTACTAGTGATCTTTTTTACATGGAAATGAAAATATTAATATTTTTCTTATCTTTATATACAATATTCTTAAATAATTTTTAATATTTAGTGTGTATATTGTAGACAAACATAAAAAATATAAAATTTCTATATTCGTAATTCATAATTCTTTTATTTAATTCTCTGTTAAACGCGTACGTGCACAAAAAAGTTTAATTTATTATTATATATATAAATTATTTATTATATATATAGTATATTTATATAATAAATAAATATATATATATATACATGTATAGAAAGAGAGAGATGTTTATTTACACATACTAACAATTTTATTTTATTTTAATTATATACAATTAATTCATAAGATTGTATAAATTCTGAGTAGGGTTTCATACATATAAGAATATGGTTTCCAACATTCCCTGGTGTTGTCATGCTTGCTGATCAAGAATTGATATTAATGTGCCGTCCACCAGAACCAACACTCCTACGCCATAAAGCTGCAGGATTTGCCGGAACATTGTGAGTACTACTACAATTTTAACTCTTTCATTATGTATAAATACTATTAAAACACAAAGAAAGAAAATTATCTTTTACATATATTATATTTATCGAATATGTATTAAATATTCGCTTTTAAATATTTTTCTTTCTTCAATAAAATAAAAATACTTTTTTTATTTAGATTTATAAATATTATAAAATTATAAAAAAAATAATAATTGAAGAGAAGATGAAGTAATAAAAATATTAATTTAGCCCACATGGTGCAAGAGTGTCAGGTATTGTAGAAGAAACCCCAGGACATCTAGAGTATGAAGTAGCACTATACCGTGAAGCAAATGATAACATATCAGACACATCTACCAGTTTTGTTATGTCTCAAGCAGTGGATCAAGCAGTACCAATTGGCACAAAATTGCAATTACGCACACGCATTAATCCTGAAAGTGCTTGGAGTTACATAAAACTTCTCGAAGTCACAGTTAGTCCGGACCCAAATCAACCCCATGCATTAGGTAGTGTCATTTTGGTCGAAGATGGATGTAGAAACCGTGATTTTGCTTCCATTATACCTCATCAGCCGTCACGCTATCATGGTAAAAATAATGAAATTTTCCTTGATTTTGAGGCTTTTCTCTTGAGCTCGATAAGGGATAAGTCCACTCTTTGGATCCACTCGCAAATCAAAGCCTGTATGGAAGCCCAAGATTGTCAACCGGTATTTTTTTTATACTATTTTTATTTTTTCAACTATTTGTTCATATTATGTAACAACATTGATATTTTAATTTTATATATAATTATAATATACAAAAACGTTAAATGTTGATATTTGAAAATATTAACTTCTTACATGATACATTATTATTTAAACAAATTTATTTTAAAACTATTATATGGATAGCAATTTATTTTTATTTTGCAGGACTTTTGTTTTGACCTTTTTGAACCATCAGGTCATGGAAAAAGAAGAAAGAGAATAATACAAACTCAAGATAATATTACAAAGTATTATCCAAACATACAGCAAATAAAATATAATAACTCAATGCCCACAACAGAATTTAAAGAATACATTAAATACACTGTTACTATGACAGATAGTAAGTATGAAATGAGATCTTATAGTATTAATAACTAAAACTTATAAAATTAAATAATTAAATAGTTATATTTAATATGGATAAACAAATATTTGATTATAGTATTTTTTAAAATGAATACAATGGTATAAAAGAAAAAGCCTCTTATCAGGTTCTAATACAATAACATTAAATGATCAATTTTCAGATTTACATGACAGAGTTACATCCAACATGGAAGGTAACTGTGAAAATTTCTTATATGTAGCAACTGGGCTTGGCAGCTTACTTATCTTACTGGCATTAATGTTGTGCTATTTAACATTCCGACTTCACAACTTAAATATTTTAATACCTGCACAAAATAAATCAATTAATAATATCATGACAGATCAAACAAGGAAGTATGATGCAAATCAGAATTACTCAGGTCGCATAACATTACAATAATTCTTTTACACACATAGAAAAAGAAATTTAATTAAATTTAATATTACAATAAATATAATACTAATTTTAATATTAACTATTTAATTCTCTAATAAATATAAACAGTAATTAAATTAATAAATGATAAAATATATAAAATAAAATGTTAAATGTAGAATACAAATTTTTCATTTAATCTATTGAATCTGAACCAATCTTTTACATTTTAATATATAATTTATTGTCATTGATTCTACCAAATAAACTTAATATATAAAATTCATTCCATTTATTTTGCAATAAAATGATGTACATTCCAAGAAACTTATTACAGTATAAACAAAGATTTATTTTTACTGTGGTATCTAAGAAAGATATCTAAAAAAGTAAAAAAAAACTATGTAAAATAATCCTGAAAAAATAAGTAATAGTAAAGTATCGAATCAAACTTAACAATGTATAACAGTATTAAGAAAAATGTTCTTTAATCTAATTGTAAAAATCTAAAACATCACATAAAGTAAACTGATTTAAAAATTAGTTTTAGTTAATATAGAGAGGAATTAACTAATGATATACATAATACGGTTATTTGATTAATTATTTTAATTTATTTAAAAAGTATAATTATTAAAACAACTTATTTTTTATTTTCAAAATGGTTTCATTCATATATTTTATTATATTATTAATGAATATTAATTATTTATAAAAATTATATTTCAAATAATGTACTATAATTCAGTTAAAAATTTATATTTACATTTTATTTACTTATATATTAATTATATATATATATATATATATATTATATATATATATATATATTATGTGTATATTAAATAAATTTAATATATATATATATATATATATGTGCGTGTGTGTGTGTTTATAATTTGTTTTTCTTTTTGATTAATTAATAATTTTTTATAGTTTATAGACGTTGTAAGTAGTATAATTTCAATTTAAGTTTCATGAATGGCATTTTTTATTTTATTAATTTATCATTAATTAATTATTGCAATATATGAATTATTATAAATTGTATTTTAAAACTTCTATATCAATTTTACAGATATAACAGAATAATAAAACAAAAACAAATATATTTGTAAAATATTCAAACTCTTTAATTTAATAATATGACGTGTCAAAAATATATAAAATTTAAATAATTGAAAAAAAGAAATTTATAATTCGAATGTAATTAATAAGAGTATATTTTATAACAAAAATAATCTTAAATATATATGAAAATATTAAAAAAATTATTTTAAACATATTAAAAATATATCAAAAGTATTCAATATGAATATTTTTCATCAATTAAATTATTATATAATCTATTACAATTTATTATATAATTTTATTCAAACAAAAATAAATTTAATTTACTTTAAAAACCTTAGTTTTTGCAATGAATATTTATTACTTGTTTTAAATAATATTAAAGTTATTTATATTAACTAAATTATATTAAAATTAACTATATTATGTACATAAAAATATTTATAGCATAAACTTGTAAATTTGTATACTTGTAATTTCAAGAAATATTTTTTTTATTTTTAATACTTGAAAGTATATATATCTTTTGTTTTAAATTTCAAATTTTAAAGTATTTGTTCAAAAACTTATATATTAAAAATAATGTTATTTTAAATTTTGTCACATTAACCGATAACTCTCTGGTTTACTAAAATTTAATTTTCTTAAGTTATCACATGTTTCACATTTATTAATCTAATTATCTTTAAGTGATATGTGCTCTTATTTTCTTAACTTTGTCAGTAACAAAAGCTATTCAATCCACTGCGTTCTTAGTTTGTGAATAATACTATTTTGTACGCAACATTTATTGCACCATGTCAATATAATATTAACCACTCAATATTCATTATCTGAATTGAATTACAATTATTTAATTTATTTTAATTTTTATTTTAATAAGCAATTATCGAAAGGAAAACTGTATTCGTGTATTTCATCAGCTCATTTTCTGATTTGCTGAATTCTTTGATTCGGCAAATCAATTACTATTGTTAGTGAGATACTGACAAAATTAGAAAATTAAGCAAGTGTTAGTTTGTAATTTCTAAATTTTAATACAATTGAACATATTTAATTAAAAATTTGATATATACATTTCTAACCACATAATAACATAAAATAGCAAAAGAATACAAATACTAAACTACAAAATAATAAAAAAAAAAATATTAATTTGACCAAGTACGGAAATGTCCATTAAACCGAAAGGAATAAACATGTTAAATGACATATAAGCATAAAAAAACTTAAAATTACGATGAACTTATTGGCATATAGTATATATGAGAAGCGATTAATCTTGAATCATGGTCATTTAAATATAATTTCGTTTTTTTCTTTCGCCACAAGTTTGAGTTCAATTTGCAATGAAAGCAACTTATATAGGTTTTAATAGTTTGAACCATGAGTTAACAATAGTACAACTTTCGTAAAAGTCACATAGATGTAGCTTTTTAATTAATCCAACATTGTATGAAATTCAGATTAATGCACATTAAGGGATTCATTTCATGCTCTGTAGAGAAACAACACAAAATACAAATCTATGTACACTACCGATATCCAAATATATTTATATCACACGCAATTTTCACACATTGATAGGTCAGCGGCTTTCTAATATTGTTATAAAAGTATATTATTCATTGGCTAATATTAAATTTTAATATTACTGTTAAATATTCAATTCTCAAACATTTATTTTGAGATATTTAGAAAAATATTAATAATTATTATGAAATAAAATATTAAACACAATTAATTGTGTACTTTTGAGTTTGAACTAAATAAAACAATATTCTATAGTTATAAATTTATTATTAATTAATACTTATATACTAAATAAATAAATATAAATATAATATATAATAAATAAATACTAAATAAATTTATATAAATTTCTTACTGTTATTTTAAAACAATTAAATTGTATTAGAAATGATTTGAATATAACTTATAATAAATAAAATTAATATTTGTATGACAAGTAATACTAAAATTAATTGGTATTATTTTTTAATCGATTTTATAATTGTTTTTAAATTAAAATTTCTTTAAATGAATAAAAGTACATCGAATTTTGTATATTAGGCATGAAATGTTTATCAATTATTATATGTTCAAATTGAATATGTTAATAAATTAACATTTCAATAACATTTTTAATATATCAAATAATAAATTAGGATATTATTTATTAAATTTAATATATTTATATTTCACGTTTTTCTAATCATACATTTTACAAAAATTAATTTTACTACACAAAACTATACCTAAAATATTAACAATTTACATAGCTATATAGCTATAAGAAAACCAATTTATTTGTAATTGACATAGTTTTCACAATAATATATATATATATATATATATATATATATATATAATGAACCCATTTAAACAAATATCTGTATATAAGTATAAACTTAAAATACTTATTTATTAGTTCAGTTTTATATATAAATTTATATTTTTAAACATATATTTTGTATTTTACATCATTATTTTTATTTTTACTTAATGAAAATGTATTCAGTGTTTAACATTATAATCTTCAACAAAATAAAGATAAAATTTAAAAAATATATATATTAATTATATATCGTATAATTTACAATCAGTACCATTGTATTTATAAGCACTTGGTGAAACGGCACACTTTCACATCCATTAATGAAAAGCAATAAATTAAATAAATAACTGAAGTTAAAACAACTTATGTGCTCTGCACATATTTACAAAAATCAATAGTATTTGCTTATCCTCATAGTTTGCACCTGTACCAAATTATTAGAGATTCTAACCTGAATCTAAATATTAAAAATCTTTCGATTTATCACATTTTTATATATTAGATTATATATGTAATATATAATATGTAATATATAATATATGTATTATATAGAATATATATGTAACAGTTTATATTAGATAGTACAGCAACCATTTATAATAAATGAAAACTGATTAAATAAGTATTCAAAATTTAATTAATTTTCATATAGAATCAAATATTAAAAAAAAATTAATTGATAAAAAGTAATTTCACAAATAATTGTTTTGCAAGAATACTAATGAAAAGTGAATAAAATCATGCATTAACACTAACTAAATACTAAAGATATAATAAAGATTAAAAAATCAAATTTGAAAATTATCTTACATTATGAATTTGTATAAATTTTAATCAAATCAACATAATTGTATAATTTCATGTAATTTAAGAATTAGAATACAAGTATGTAAATTAACGTTGTCCTAGTTTTTAGATAAGTTGTATAAATTTTTTTTTATTATATAAATATTTTCAAATAAAACTCGTTGATACAGACATATATATGTCAATAAATTATTTACATTAATAGTACCATGTTTTTCAACTACAAATTATTCCGTTTTCGCAATTTGCATTTCAACAAAAGCTTTAAGATGCAATGTAAGATGCAATTTCCTTTCTTTCCTTTTTTGAATTCCTATCTTCGTATTCCAATCTGTAATTATAAACTCTGTCAACATGTTATATTACTTATCTATAAGCTATTTCATTCCTGTATTTTTATTAAAATACTTCTTTTCATTTATGTATAATAAATTATAAAATATACCAAAAAAGGAACAATTTCACTTCTATACAATATAGTAATCTTCCTTTTATTATTTATTTACAAAATATCTCCCAGATTTATGAATTTCATGATTTTGACTTGTAATAATTACAATATATTATTAATTTTATAAAACAAGAATAATTTAATAAATTAAAATAAAATTAAGTACAATATGAATATCAATTTGAAAATATATTATATAAACTAAATTATAAATATTAAAATTAAAAATCTTCACAGATAAAATATAATTTTAATAATACATAGAAAATTTGATATACACAAATTAAGATAAAGTACAAACATTCAAAGTTAAAAAATTATATCTATTATAGTTAAAAAAGATAATATATAAATTTCTATTAATGTTGTTGGTTATTCAAGTTTTTCATAATTGCTTATTAAAAATATAAGCAAATATTAAATAATATCATAACTCATTAATTAAGTTAAACTTTTGTATTTCAAAATATATTTAAACGAATAAAAATTTTAAATTTCAAAAAATAGTTACACGAAGACAATAAATGTAATTAAGAAATATAATTTATTATATTTAAATTATTAATATAATAGATATAATTTTTTTATGAAAAATATATTAAGTGCATACATTACATTTAGCATACATGTAATTAACATACATACATTATATTTAATACATATTTAAAATTAGACAAATTTAATATTAAAATAATTAAAAACTTATAAAATTAATAATCTAAATAAAGATTTAATTGAGATAATTACATTTATATATAAAAAGACTTAAAAATGTTAAAATATTGTATAATATAAATTATAGTATTAAAAAATAAAATAATATTCACTTTATAATTATTATAAATTTGACTTTAGAACACTATAAATGAATAAAATAATAAAATTTATTAATATTATCTTTTATTTGTACATATAATAAGTTAATATTAGTAAAATTGGATTGTAAATTCATTTTTAAATAAAACATTTTTTATTTGATACTATAGAATTTATTATACCTGTGTAGGATTATCCGCTCAACAATTTTTTCTGTTGTCATATCATTACTACTATTTAATAATTTAAATTTATTTTGTCTTTTAGGTTCTGCATAAGGATCTGCTCCATTTTCACAAGGCATTATTCGAGTTTGTCCATGACATACAACTGCCACATTGAAATGTTCCATTAGTTCTTTAGTAACTTCATAGGGAGCTCCTATTACAACTTCATTCACATACTAAAAAGAGTGATTTTTTACACAAATTACTTAAAATTTTTATAATCCATTTCATTACATTACTTAATTTTCAAATAATTTTATTTATTATAAATATTGAAATATTTAATACTTACTTTGCATGCTAACACACTAAGAACTCTTTCATGAAGATTCATTATTGGATAATTTCCATATTTATATCGATTAACAGCAGGATCTGTATGTAAACCAACAATTAAGTAATCTCCTTCTTTTTTAGCAACTTCTAAAAAATCTAAATGTCCAACATGAAATAAATCAAAGGCACCAGCAACATAAACAATTTTATCATTCAATTGAGGACTTTTTCCATCGCTAAATTGTATAATTTTCTGTGTTGTAGGTAAAAACTGTGAACATCCAGTCCATGGACTACGTGCTTGTCTGTCTTGTCCCATACTTTTACTAGGTTCTCTATCTACACTATATTCACTTTCACCCTGTCTAAAATGTTGTCTTGTCATTAATAACATACGTCCCACAAGATCAGTTGTTGAAACTCCAGCTGTTCTTTGAACTTCACTAAATTAAAATAAAAAAGTATTAAATAATAGTCTAAAAGTATTTATATAAAAAGATTAATTATATTTAATATAATATATAAAAAGGTAAAAACTTACTATTAATTATGAACGGTTAATGTTATAAAATTCCATAAATACTTACCCATACCGCCCAGCATCTTTAACAAGATGATATGTATCAATACCATCTGCTGTCATTGTAATATCATCACCGTGGACACAGAAATCACAACTATATTTATCCAATGTTTCTAATGTTGTTACATAAGGTGCACCTTCTACAACTTCATCCACCCATTTAATACCTCGAACCATTTTGTATCTATAAATTATGACTAAATTATATTTTATACATTGCTAATTAATATTTTCTTAAGAATAGTTTTATTTATGTCAAAATTTTAATATCGACACTTAAAATATAAGTATTAAAAATAAATCACACTATAATGAATATAAAAATGTATACCTTTCTTCTTGTGTGAAAACAGGCGGTCCCTTATGCTTAGTAATTTCTTTATCGGTATGAACTCCCACAACAAGATAATCACCAAGAGCTTTTGCTTGGCGCAAAGAATTTGCATGACCAAAATGAACCATATCGTAACTATAGAGGCAAAATTTGATTAATATCTAAAATTCATATTTTATGATCTATTTTTTTTTTGTTTATAATTAAAAATATTAAAAAAAAAGAAGTTGATACAGCTTGAAAAAATTGATTATTTAATTTTGGATTTACAATAAAAGTAATATATTCAATTTTTAATATTTGCACATTAAAAAAATTTTTTAATTATATTTATACAAAAACAAAATAAATATAACGTACTTAAAGTAATTGAAATAGAAACATTTAATGAATAATATATATATATATATATATATATATATATAATAATGATGCATATGTCTGGTTAATAATCTAATAATTAATAAAGAACCTTATTATCGAATTTACCATCCATCACACCAAACACGAATTTCTTTCCGTTCTTTTGACATTACCTAAACAAAAACAAAAATATATTTCAATAGATACAAATTTATTTAAAAAAAGATATAAAATAATTTGTTGTTAAAAAAATTGAATAAATTTAAATATAATGTAAACACTAATTCAAAAAGTAGAATTGAATAAAAGGATAAAAATATAAGTAAAAGCATATATAACTCATCCAAAATTCTATTACAATTAACGAACACACTATTATATCCATATAACATAATATGACAAGTCTCGAGGAAAAAATTTAGCTACCACGAAATAAATTACAATCGTTACAGGAGTACGAACTTTCAATTTTTATATAAATAAAAATAAAAAAATTAAATAAATGTAATATATTATTAAAAATTTTGATAAATATTTATCTTATTGACTATCATAATTATTAAGCTAATTCATTATTTAAAAATTCCACTTTAATAATTGACCAGTCATTGAATTTGGTTCTTTAGTATTTACAATAAAAATTCTATCATTTCTTGTACAAAATTCGCATTTTTATTAGAAGTCCATAAAATTTAATAATCATTGTTTTATTACATGAAAAACATATTTTAATATTTCATAAAAGTTGAGTTTCATATTATTTAGAAAAAATTTAATTAATTATTATCTGAGTAAAATAAAATGTTGAGAATGAAATAATTGAATGTCGTTTATAAAAAATAAAAATTTAAAAACTATATAAAATGAAGTTTTAAATATTTTTACAAAAAATAATGATTGTATTATTTATTATATAGATATAGTAGACGGTATAAGAATTCAATTACGGTGTTGATAATTCAATTATATGATTATACATTTTAGATATTAATCGAGAAGGTTCATAATTTATATTATATAAATAAATATATTATAATATATTAAATATATATATATATATCATCTACTCAAATTAAGAATAAATTATGAACCTTCTCGATTAATAATCTAAAATGTATAATCATATAATTGAATTATCAACACCGTAATTGAATTCTTATATCGTCTACTTTCATTATTTCGTCAAACATAATAGTGTGGTTCACGGAACTAAAAAGAAGGGGGATAAAATACTTTGAACTTCATTTAAGATACACCAAAAAATGTATTCTTAATTCAATTATTCCATAAAATAATTGTTGTTGGTTGAGATTGCTACTTCATGAAAATAATAAGATTAGGAAAAAATAAGGGATGAATTTAGATTGTTGTACACCAAATACTGTAATTATAATGGATTACCATATATTTTATCCATTAAAATTATAGAATAATTAGTGACTAGAAGTAGTGAGAGTGAAATTGAACTCGGACTTCTAACTCAAATCGTAACAAATTGAAATCGAAACTACAATATTCATTCTAAAAGCATTAAAATCTACAATTGTTTCTTATCTAATGATATTTAATTCAAATATTGTCTAATTCTTTTCACTATTTCATCGCGTTAACATTCCAAATTCACATAATATAGAATATATTGTTTTAATTTTATTTTAAACGAAAATTAACTCTATCATGTTTATATGATAATATATCTCTTTGTTTATCTACGATTGCTTTTTCAATATATGTATTTAAATTATCATATTAAATTAAATAAAATCTTAGTTATTAATATAGAATATTATGAATTATAACATTAAGATTATTTTATTGTTTTATAATTAATATAATATAAATTATTTAAAATATATGTTTTAGAAAATAATTAAAAATAAAACTCTGTTTTATAGAATACTATATCAATTTTAAAATCCTTTTGCACACGATACTATCTTTTTTTTAAACATTTAATTATTAAAGCTATTTACAAACGTGTTTGCTGGTTATACACTATGACTATTGTGAAATTGTAATTTATTTTATTATAGTAGATGTCATTATTTACTTAAAAATAGTACAATTGAATATTAATACACTGTGACTTAAATTATTGTTTATAGGCTAAATAACTTTTACTATCTTAGCCATAGTTTTTGCTTATATGTACGATTATTTTCTTGTCAATATGTACAAAATATATTCGCTATTCCGGCTCGTTTTATCAAGACCGGTTCAAGGGATACAAATTGATGCCGTTGACAAGTCAGAGACCACGGGATGTTGTGTGATAGCGATGTAAGGTCAAAGTGGAAGGGATATTATAATAAATTTAATGTAAATATATCTGGTTTGTATGCTGTTTATTCTATTATTGTCCAATTACAGGGCGTTGACTGGTATTACTGTTATCAATTGTTCAAGTCTTGTTGGGGATAATTGCGTTTGCTGTGGCAAACATACACTCATATACTGCAGCGTGATGGTTCGAATATGAGCGCTGAATGACGCGAAGATTGGTTCGTCGACACTCGCGCTGTTCGTGTGAGCACGTGCTTAGTTGAGGTTATGGATGGTAATGTGGACGCAACATACGCAACGGTTGTTAGTTGAGATTATACTCGGGTCGTAGCAAGCGTACCATACTCCTTGGTATTGGCGTACTACATTAGTTGTCCTTGGGAAATAAGAATTGGTAGGGTTCTTACATCGTGAAAGAAACTTCTACGTGTTGCGTCTGCTAGTAAGCAATGAGTGGCGCGAAGAGTAGATTCATCAGCGCCGGACTCGAGCTAAGGTGAGGGTAGATCGGCAAGGTTCGCATAAATTGGCGCGAAGTCTTGGAGACGAATGCTGTATGTTATTTCGTACCGAGTTCTCCTTTGAGAGGGCCTCAATTCCTTATGGATGCTCGATTATGACTTTATATTCTGAATCTTATATGTTAGTTTTGATTATTGAAGTAGTTGATACTACTTACGAAGACTAATCGTAGACTCAGTCGAGAGACTTTTCTGCTCCTGCTTTGATGAGGACTTCAACTGGTAAATGTTCAATAGACTCTAATAACTGCTTTGTACGTCTCCTTTCTTGGAGGACGTGTTACGTATGGTCTTTACTTACGCGTAGGAAATTTACTTCCTAATTGACTAAGAACTCTATCGAGAGTAATTAAATCTCGAAATTGTCTCTCTTAAATACATTACTGACAATGGTTTTCACCTGGGATCCCTTCTCCGTTTTTGTGTCCAATCAGAGCGCGGGTGTTGGGCAGCATGAGTCAGCATGCACGCCTCTTTTCCCACTTTTAGACTTGCACTCCCAGACAACGTTCCAACCTAATGGTCAACTGCCTAATTACTACAAACTCAACAATTCTCACTACAATCAGTAACACCATCACTGTAACAACTGCTTAAATAAAGGTCACTAAAACCAATTGTGTTTACTCTCAATTGATGCATTACCCCCCCCCACCATTACACCGGTGGTACGGTCTAATCCACCCACCGTGATCTGTGAACATACTGGTGGCTGGAATTCCAAATGGATAATATAAAAGTAATAATATGTGCTTGTTTTGTATTAAAAAACCTAAGTACTGTAAATCATATGAATTTATTTTTACTCATATAATAAATCCCAGCCATACATTGATGATTTCCATTCTCTAAAATTTTTAATTAATTCATTTTAAAGCCCTCTACATAATGCATATTTACTTAAATTATACAGTTAAATCGTTAAATAAATGGTAGAAAATTAAACTGAAAAAAATATATAATATATGCAATATAAGTAATAATGACTAAATATATTCAAAGTTACATATATCAATTAATTACATTAATTAAATAGATTACTACATTAATAGAATAGAATATTTATTATATTACAAGAACATTATTCGAATACAAAAAAATATATTATATAGTTTTATAAAAGAAACTGATTATTGTAAAAATTATAATTATAAATTAAATTACTTACTAATAAAATTAATAATTACAAATAATCATTATACCACACTTATATATATGTGAGTTCTCCAAAACCTTATCTACATATTTCTTTTAATACATAATCTGGAAAACCATGAAAGTAAATATTTGAAAGGGAAGATTACTTCCTTTTACCATAATTTCATTATCTAATATATATGCATTAACACAAGGACTATGATTATTTATATTAAGATTTGGTTGATAAAAATAGTTTCTAAATGACTGTAAGATATTTTTATTATATCTAGACTTCAGCAATAGTTCAATAGTTTGATGACTTTAAAGAAATTTAGAGGAATTATTTTAAAAATTACAATTCCCATTACTTTCGGTATTAAATTGATTTTCATTATCCTCTTCTTTTCAACCATACCATACACTATCACTTTTGATATTGACTGTTGTCTGTTATAATAAATGACTGTTTCTTTGTTATAATAATCTCGATTAGCCCAGTATGTTAAATAATATTATCTTTTATTAAATACAAAACATCATAAAAGAGATAAAATAATATAAAGTACGAAAATATAAATAAAAACATATAACATAACAGCATAATAATTATAAAATTATATGGATCTATATTTTTTACATAAATGTCTTTGATGTACAAAATTGATACTAAAAATGTTAATAAGAATTAATAAAAAAATTAAGTAGAATTTCAATTTTTATTCCAATTCAATTATATGATAAACAATATCATAAAAAAATTTATGATAATTTATGAATAATAAAAATTAAAAAATAAATATGTTTAATACCAATGAATTAAAATTTCACAATATAATATATAATTTAAGAATTCTTAGAACACATTATTTTAGTTATTTGATAATAATTAATTTTTTTAAACGTGTAGGTATTCTTAAATATTTTAGTCACAAAGATTAAACTCAACTGAAATAAAAATATAACTGTATTTAAAAAATAATGAAATCACTTTATATATATATATATTCGACATAAAACTTACAGTCATGGCCTTTCAAAAATCAAAGCAGTAAAAGTTAAATTGAAAGATTAGTAAAATAATAAATAAATCAAATTATTGTATTAAATAAATAATAGTATATTAAAATTGTTTTTAAAACTTATGCAATAAAACTGTAAATTACAAAAAATAAAATGGTGATGAATAAAATATTCTTCCTCATTTAGGCCTGCATATATTATAAATTAATGTTATCTTATTGGACAAAACGTAGCTGTACGAATAGTGAAATATTTATTACATATTAAGTAACAGTAAAGTATACTATTACACAAATAATATATATTAAAATAAGAAAAATTAATATAAAAAGATTCTAATTCAGATTAATGTATAAAAACTTTATTGGTGGAAATAAATGTATGAAATATATGAAATTTCAATAAAAATTTTAGAAATTTTTTTTTGCTCTATTATAAAAATATTTAAATATTCTAGAATAAAGTAAAATATTTCACTGATGAACAAAAAATCTTATATTTATAATCTAAAATAAACGAAATGAATAAAAATTATAATTTCGCTTTTCAATTAATCTATACATTTATAAAGAAATTTTAATAAAAATATGTTTGTAAATACAATCAATAGAATATTACAATAAAAAGATGAATACATTTTTAAATAAAGTACATTTAAATAAAAACTTTCAACTTTTATTATTATTTGATGATTCTTGAGAGAAATAAAAATTGTTTGTCACATAGGCTAAGCTTGGGTGAACTCATAGTTCATTAACAATTCAAAAGAAAACAGAAAAACAAATTTTTAAATGAGTAATATCGAACGAAACAAAAAGTACAAAACTCTGAATACAGTAATTATTATTTGTGGTAATAAAATTTGCAGCATAATATTAATTAATATAAAAATATGCTACTCTATGTGTAGATCTTCAAATTCTGAGCTGTTTCACACTCCATATTCTGATGTGTAAATAAATATTTTATAATTCACGATATTTAAATTTATTACTTAGTTTAATAAATCATTTATATATTAATAGAATAATAATTAGAACATACAATATATCAAATAAAATATCTAAGTACATTGTACTGAATTTTATTATATCATAATTTATAACTTGTAAAAATTTATTTAATAATCTAATTTAGTTCATCTTCGACAAAATTGAATTCATTTAATACATAAAACTTTAAAAATATTTCTAATACTTATATGCAATGTTTTAAAAAAATTTTATTTATATTTATTATGCACTTGTTCTATTAAAATTAATATTTATTGTTTTTAACAAAAAATCTATTGATATTGAAATTTATATTTATATTAGAGATTATAATTTAATTACAATCAAAGCAGAGTACATTTAAAAATTGAATTGTATCTTTTTCTGAATTATCGAAAGAAATATAAAAAATAAATATCCTTTCAAAATTTAATAATTTTTTCTATCAATATATATATTTAAAAATATTTAAGTTATTTTATGCATATATTTCAATTGTTTGATTTTTTATTTTAATCTAGGTAGAACATCAATTACCTAATACTTATATTCAAATGCATCTACGCGCATCTGTACAGATTTCAAGTAAATTCATTGGACACCATTATTGGTATAAAAACTATTGTTCTGTAACTTGAAAGATTTAAATAAATTTTCTTTATATAAGTTTAGTGTAAGCAAAGTATAGAAAATACATTTATTAATGAATATCAATACCTATTATTTATTTTTGTACCTATGAAAACGTAGTTTATGTAAATTCGAATTAAAATTCTTACCGTCTACAATTAATTTAGTTAGTATTTATGATATGAAAAATCTAATGTAAATGTACAAATCATTTTTTCAAAAAATTATATTTTATCAAATATTAGAAATATTACTTTCTCTTAATACACACAGAAAAAAGAGGAAAATAACCGAAATAATCAGATTTTATAAAATCAGTATTAATTTTGCAATAATCATTTAAATTAACACGAACGTTTTCTATCTGTTCTCTTCTGAACTTCATACTCTCTACTTAATCTTTTTAATAATCAAGTAATTTCCACCTATATGAAAGTATACCTTCAAACTTTCCATGTTGTAACAATGAGGAACTTTTACAGTAGGATATAAATCATTGCGCTTCCAAGCATGAGTACATTTTGTCGACGACAAGTGGAGTGTTTGTTATTACAAAAATTATTTATTTATGTTAATATTCAAACAATTATTCGTCTATATTGAATTTTTTAGTATTGAAAGATTAATAACATGAATCAATTATTTGTATTTAAATATTAATTAAAATTTCTTATACCAAATATATCAGTTGTATAACTCAAAAGTTATATTGATAAGAATATATATTTAAAATAAATACTTTAAGAAAAGGAAAAAATTGATAGATGAATGTTAAAATAAACAATAAGATAGTTTCATTATATCAATAAAACAAGCAATTTTTAAATTACGAATAAATATCGCGATATATAAAATACGAAGATTAATTCATAAATTATCAATGCTTATATGTTTGTAGATTCCTGTTAAACAATTAAATATTTACTAAAAATTGACTGAATATATTAAAAAGTATTTTAATAAATCAAATAGAATTTTTAGTTATGTATTGATATTTTTAAAAAATTTTTCAGAAATTTTTATAGTTTTTAATTCAATACATCTACAGTATAAACTACTTTATAGTACAATATAAGTTATTTTAATTTATGAAGTATTAAATGATTAATAAAATCAATTTTTTTTATTCTTATCATTTTTAAATTATAAATAATCCTATTTTAAGGTTTGTGTTAATTTGTTCATAAATCTAAATTTTTAAATAAATTTTTACAACTATAAATCAAAAACAAAATTAAAAAATATTATATTACAAAATATTATTATTTACCTATTTTTTAACTAAATCAATACATTGAATTTAAATGAAATATTTTATTTAATTAACATCAATATTTATTACCATAATTAATTATAATCTAATTTCTGTTATTTTTAAAATTAAATAAAATAAGGAAATAAATCTGTTCTTTTAGTTTTTAATAATTTAAAAAATTACTTAATGATGTGAAAATTTCATTATAATTTTATTATATATTTATTTCCAAACTACTTGTAGAACACTCTATACTAATAATTATGAAAAAGCCAAATTAAATAGTTAAAATATGTATTTATAGAAATAATGTAGATGTAACTTTTTTGAAAATATTTCTGAAACATTTTAGAAACTTAATTTTAAACATAAAAATTATAAATATAACTCATAAATCAAAAAGTATCAAAAGAACAGTAATTAAAGAGAAGTTAAAAAATATAAACTTTTCAAAAACTAAACGTTAAATATTTATTCATGATATAATTAAGGTTTATAAAATGCTTATACAAATGCATGATGGTTCTTTTATTTCATTAATTATAAGTATTGATAATATATATTTATTCATAAAATAAATAAAATTTATAAAATACTTATATTAATTAATAAAAACCATTTCAAATAACATTTATATTTATTTTATTAATATAAGTACCTATTATGTATTATATATTTTTTAATCTCTTTATGAAAAAAATATAATACCTAATATTAAATTTGTATTGTCTAAATATTTGTTTAATTAAATCATCGCTTTTTATTTTAATTTATAATATGGATATAAATATTATCAAATAAAATATTAAGTAATTGAAATATACAAGTATTGGTACACATTTATTTATACTCATAAATTACCAAATAGTCTTACAATTATAAAATTACTGAATAAAGCTCTATGGGTCAAAATCAAATTTACTATTTTTGGTTTTTAATATCCCCAATTTATCATATATGATCAATCATAATGAATATAAATTAAAAATTAATTAAATTTATATTATAACTTTTCATAATATAATTTTATCTTATAAGAAACTCAGTGTATTAATAATACAATATATGAAATATTTTTTCAAATATAAATAATTGTCAAATAATAATATATACCAAATTGACTTATTAATAAAAAAATATAAATAAATTAATGCTTTTTTGTCTATCGGTTAGCAGCAATTATATACCGCTAATTTTTTAATTTTTTTGTTAAATTACATACCGTTTATTAATTTCACAGAAGGCAGTTTGACTGATTTTATTAATAATTTTATTTCAATTAAATTTTGTAAACTGTTAGCTAATAGTCATTTAGGACCTCATATCTTACTTTATTCAATTTATTTACATGTTTATTATATGCAATATTTAAACATCGCATTTTATCTTATATTAATGAATTATTTTGCTAATTTCTAGTATAGCTATTACTTGTCAATTACTTTACATTACATTTTACGTTAATCGCGCTTAAACGTTATAAGTTTTCAACATGTACAAAGCTGTATATACATTATTTACATATTTTGCGAAGATATTTTCGTCTATGATACTATACTATTAATTTATCCACAACGATCATTATGGCTTTCATCATATTTTTCAAAAGATACACTTACAAACTTTCTTAGAATTATTTATTTTGCAGGAACAAAATTTGTAATAGTATGTTATTACTCTCGATTACTGTGCTCCCTGATTACCGCATACATTCAAAATTTTAAATGGATGGAATGTAAAGATATTACATATATTTAATGATAAGTCCTTCATACCATTATCTGATATTTTATAAAGAATTTAGCTTCCAAGTTAATTGTTGTTTATAACAATTTATATGTCCACTATTTTTAATTAAAAAATATGATCTGTGATACCACAGTAAATAGAATTTTAGGGTGGTAATATGAGAAACCATTTATACATTTAACATAGCAATTTACTATCTAATATAAACGCGTTATATTATTGAAAACTAATTATATGCCCATTTTACCACTTTTAGATGATTCATATTAAAAATGAATTTACAATTATGAAATACCTTCTGATAAATAATCTTTAATTAGAAGGAAATTGGTCAATTTGTACAACACTGACAAATGAAAGACTTCTATAAGGTGACTGCATGGCACAAAAGGCATTTGGCTTTTTATACGACTTGGCCATGCAGATAAAAGAGTATACTTACTACTCCAGTAATCACAATTTACATAGTTCTACTTACACCAAACCACCCTTAAAAATTGTATTTTTTCTATGATATCTTAAAAATGCTTAAGAGTAATAAAAAAATAAATAGCGCGCGAGTTTTCTTAATATTAAGAATTATATCAAACGTGATTAAAAGATAAATCGCATAATTTTTAATCCGTTGTTAAATAACAGTAAAAACAGTCACTAAATTTTATATTATTTTAATATTATTTAAATAAACACTGTTTCGTATTCTTGTATTCTGTTTCTTCATCTGGTCAGTCTAGTTTGTTCTGGTCTCGTCTCATCTCTCATCTCTATCCCTCTCTAATATATTTTCCTTACTCTCATTGTGTCTTGGTTTACTTATTTATCTCTTCCGTATTTTTTTCATTAAAAATTTAATGCCAGGTATGCGTAAATATACGTATGCAATTGATATGTATATTTATAAATATATTTTTTAAGTTCGAATTTTATTATTTGTATGTGTTGCATATTAGCACGATCGCATATTCTGGCACATAAATGCTTATTACATATTTATAAAAATTACATTGAATTTAAATTATTCAAAATTTCGACTTTAAAACAGTGCTATACATAGGGATTGGGTGGAATATGACTATTAATAAAGTAGGACTACCTAATCTACATGTACGTTATAAAAAGGTTATGAAAAAGAACAAATAGAAAGTATTGTTAGAAAGGGATACCCGTCCAAGCTAACGATAATCTAATAGATGGCTGATCACAGTAACCACTCAAATAATCTAGCACTCGCTGTAAGATGGTAGTGCTGAACCTCGAGCTGTGAATAGTTCTGTTTGTGGTTGAAGATGACACACGACTGTATGACCATCGAGGACAGCAACCGTTCGTGTATGATCTTGCGGCCTCAGTTGTTGATGATGTTTTTCTTGTTGTTGATGATCAGTATTTTGAAATGACCGCTGATGACGCTTGTGCTTTTCAATTATCCAAGTAGTATCGAGGCCACGATCGGTGGCAGGAGAGTAAGGTATGAGAGGTCGATGGTCTCCGTAACTACGTGATGACTGACGCGACATATCACTTTGTCGTCGACAATCTTCATCAGACATATCGGAAGTCTGAGTACCGGTACGTTCGATTTCCTCGTATACAGGGTCGTCTTGCGCTAACTGCCTGAGCCCAAAACCATAGCCATGACACTGTAGGTGTTGTTGGTGTCGTGGTTCTCGAATTTCTGTATAGGTGTGATTGTATGGAGAATTAGCACGTCGACCGGTAGTGGCGCGCGAACCAATTTCAAGTTCGCTAAGAAGTCTTCGTTCACGTGCACGCAGCGAATATCCTTGCAATGTCATCGCGTTATGGATTCCATGACTATATCCGCTCACATGTCCTAAAACATGCGGGCTATCTTCTTGTTCAGATCCACCTTGTCCAGAATCGCGAGAGTGTGATTTAAAAGAAATGTTCTGTGGGAAAATAAGAGAAAATAAGTCATAAATTAACTTAGTGATGTCAATAAAATAATCAATGCTTTTACAGTATAAAACAGGCATATTTCAAGAATATTTATTTTTACTTGTTTTTCTGTTCATTTTCAAATTGTTTACCACCCATGTTTGCACATTGCATTAAAACAAAAATCAAGACATAAAAGCATGTAGTCAATAAATCTTTCTCTGTATATATAATTAATTTTGTTCATTTACAATAACAAAAAAAACAGTATTACTCTATTATAAAGAAAATTAGCAATGAAATTACGCTGGCCATATCACCCATGTAAAGTGAAAAAAAAGAAAAAATTTTTTATAATGCATACTTTCACTTGAAATTTTTTGTTATGCATAATATAAGCAAACAATAAATTTATAATGAACCTTATAAACAGAACATTCACTTATTTTAAAGTAAAGCATGTATTTTAATATTTTATGGTGATATCGCAAATTTTTCATTAATTCGAATACAATTTTTTAACTGATCATATATTATAAAGTATAATTTACACTGTCATTTTATTTATTTTTAATTTTTAATATTTAAACAAACTTACTTTTCATATTATTTACATTTCAATGTATAGGATCGAACTTAATAAAAAATAAAATTTTTCATGATTTTACATTAAAAAATTAATATATAAATATATGAATGAGAATCTTGATTTACCTAAAAAACAAACTCATTTTCATTTACTCATTTATAGGAAATGAGTACGTAAAAATTAAATTAGAGCTTAAATTAATACCTTCCATGTAAATTTTTCAAAGGATTTCTGCTTGATAAAAACAAATGTTTAAATATTAGAACTGAAAAGACAGGTTAGAAGCATGTGTGGGTATCAATATAGATGTAGTTGCAAAGACGTGAATAAACTTTTTCATGTTGATCTTGCATTGAGTAGAGACAGTAAACGAATGCTATAATGCAATCTTTCATTTATCATATTACTCTCAATGCGATCAATGAAAACTGGATTATTAAGATTTCTGTGAAGGAATGTACCTATCCTTTTTTCCTATCATAAACCTGTCAAACTATTCGTCTGTATATCCGTCTGTTTAACACATAAAAATATTAATTACACAGATGCCTACCCGTATGTACCATCATCACTATATTGAAATTTATTTTAATTGTAAAATATAATTAAAAAAATTAATGAAATAGATCACATCTTATTTAAACAAAATGACGCATACAAATCTCAAGTCGTACATGATTATATTTAAAATATTAAATGTAATACATTTATATGCATGATTCGTTACTCACAAGTAAATATTAATTTATATTAAAAATATTACCTCAATAGTAATTTAGAATTCTTTAAAAGTATGCAATATAAAAATATTTATTTTTCAAGTTTATCTCACTATGTATCATTCAATTTTTTTTCTTAAAAAAATGTTTAAATTTTTATATAAGATTTGAATATGCAAATACAAATATAACTTCCGAAATGCTTAAAATATTGAACAAATTATTAAAAATGATTTTAATTTAAGAAAAAATGTACTTTTAAAACAACCCATTGCTATTAATAAAAATTAATAATATCTTCCAGTAAATTTGAATTTTAGGAAGTTCTTTTTATATATCTAATATATTTTCGTCTTTGGAAAAAGCACATTCTGAAAAAAAAACATAATGTAACCATCTAATTCTTTTTATAGCAGTCATTGATAGAATTTCATTTGATTCAAATCATTTTACGTAAAATATATAATATACAGAATTCAATAATAATCATATATGTTCTTAATTTAATTTTGTATCAATTAAAGAACATAGTATTAATAAGGTTTTTTTCTAATTTGCAATTTGTTGAATTGTCTTCATATTAATAAAATTATTTATTAAGAACGTAATTATTACTATTAGAAATTTAAAATGATTGATTTAATCTTTATTATTAATTAACATATTTTATATATGAAATATAGATTAAAATAAAAAATATACATTATAAAAATAAATAAGATAAACAAATATCATATAAACAAATATAATTTTAAATTGGAATTTGAAAATTCTAAAATCCATAAAAGTATTAATTGATTTAAATGATTCCATTTTCAAAATTTACTTTTTGCATTTTTGTATATATTAAAATAATATAATATTAATTAATATTTGATCAAATAAACTTTATTTATATGTAATCTTTGAGGAGATTCATTAAAATAATCAAATAGTATTTCAAATTAAAATTAAATTAAGAATTAAATTAATATTGATGGAATTAAATATTTTCATAGCAGATTTTTTAGAAACTACTTTATAATTAAATAAATTATAATAAAGATGTATTCAAATAAATAAATATTTATTAACGTTATTTATTGATCAATAAAATAAGGAATATTTACATTGAATTTTTGTTACTTTTAAATCATATAGAATATGATTTGCGATAAAAGGTTTATAATATTGAGGAAATATTATTGAAGTGCAAGTTTCACTTTTTAATAAAAGCATTGTGCATAAACGAAAATTAATGATATGTAAGAATGAAACTGTTAGTCCTACATTTCATCGCTTGAACATTTTACGTTAGTATTATCATCTCATTTGAAATATAATAGGTTAGCATGCCTTAACATTTTACTATGCAAATTGGCTGCAATCATGAGACAGATGATAGTATCAATATACTAAGTTCGATCATTAAATTATAGTTACTAACTGGAAGGGGAAGGAAAAAAGAAAAAGGAATAATAAATACTCTCTAATAATTATAATGTATTACTTGCAGATCGTGACAAATTTTCATTCAAATAAATAATTGAAAATTTAATGTACATACGAAGATAAACACATTGATGTCAATTAGAAGAATTGTATATGATCATTAATTTTTAGACTGCATGTGATCAATTTAGTATTCCAGGGCTATGATACAGCAATTACTTTTGCAAAAGTAACAATATTTTATATGTGTAAATACGAATGTATATACCTGTATAAGACACAAAAACGAGAAGGAAAGGAAGAAATTATATTAATGCTTAAATATTTTACTGTAGTTCGTCTTAGTTATTTCCACTAAAAATATTTCTTTAATAAGAATATATTTGTAATTTATAAATATTTATTAATGTGAAGTTTAGCTTTTGTAGTTCATGTTTTGTTTTCCGTAAATAATGTGCAAAACATAGAAATAGAAAGATAAGATAATTACTAAAAAAAAAAATGAATTTCATACGATTAAACTTATTTAAATAGCACTTCAAATATTTATTTATTTTAATATATTTTGGCGTTATACTTGGTATCCTTTTTATAATAAACATTTGTAAAAATCAAGGGCTATTTCAACTTTTGAATATTGTACAGCCAACTTTTAAATTTTAAAATTACAATTTTTATTTTCACAAATTCATAGATAATTTTTAACATAATTTTATTTGACTTAGAATTTAATATAGAACTTTATAATATCAATTTTCCTTTAAATATGTGATTTTTTATGATGCAGTAAAATTTATAATAAATTTATATAGATATAATTAACTTAAAACAAATAAAATAACATGGAAGGATGAAAATAGAGGAAAATAAAATACAGGAATTTAATGTACTGGAACGGAGAAGTTATATTAACATTCTAGATTAAAAATATTAAGTAGAAAAAATATATAATATTACGTGCGTTATTACTGCAGTGTATGATTTTTACGCATTTATAAAAATTATAAATCAGAGATGAACAATTCTTTGTTATACTATATTTATATATTTAACCTTTATAATTGAAACCTTTAATATTATTAGAATTAGAATTTTTATCACAATAGTGAAAATAATTGTACATCTCTAATATAAATATTGCTTCCTCATGGACCAGTACGAATCTTACGAATAAATGATATCATTATTTAATATTAAAATATTTAAAAAGGAAATCGAAATTAGCATTTTTCATAAATATAAAAGGATATAATGAATGAGGACAAAGTGGCCAGTAACCGCCTAACACCAAACCCTGCTAGTAAATAAAGCAACACAAAGATATTTCACCTGTTAGTAAAACTAAAAATAGATTTTTATCGTATCATATTTACAATGTTTGTAGGCAATCGTGTGTCTACATATTTGAATATCGTATGTGATATTTAAAAAGCTCTTTAATGAAAACATTAATTAAGTGATAGACGAATGCTTTAGGTTGCATTGTTTTTGGACATGCACATTACAATAGTTAGGATGAAAAAGGTGAAGAATTAATTTAATTCTACTTAAGAACATTAAATATATTCCCCTTATAAAAAATTAGCTCAACGAATAAATTAATTTATCTTCATATAAAGTAATAACTACAATAAATGTAGTGCACATAATTTGTTCAATTCGATATAGAAATATTGGTACAAATAACGTATGGACATAATTACGTAAGGACATAAGAAAATTCATTTATTGATATTAGACAATAAGTTAATAGATTAAAATTTTTTATAATTATCCAATTTTCTTAAAACTTTTGTATATTAAATATTGAATTAAAAGTACGAAAGTATAAATTACAAGCATTTCAAGATAAATAAAAATTTATTAATAATAAATACTAGTTTATTTATAAAAACAAAAGGAGGATGCTTAAAAAGTAGTATCACACAATAATTTTGAGATTTAATATGCACAAATACGTTTAAAATTAATTGATTATAATTAAAGAACTGATTCTTATGGATAATAAACAATGTGATTGTCTGAATTAAATAAAATATTTATATGGAAAATATATCAAAATACGTTATAATATTTGAAATGTAATTTTATTCTCTTATACAATTTTTCGAATAAAAGAAAATCAATTAGTTTGCAAATAAATACTAAAACCCCAAATTAATAGTTTGAAGAGATACAAGCTTAATATATATCTAACGTATGTCAGATTTAAAACTTCAAATTACATTTTTAAATTTTTTTAAATCATTGAAAAATTAATATTGATATGTGCATATATATGGTAACAACAAAAGTATTTAATTTTTATAAAGTAAAGCGCTTTCTTATGTTAGATATTATATATAACTCGTAATGTTTATAAAAAATTAAATATGAAAAAAATTTTATTTATATTTTGTTCTTTTAATTCAAATAAAATAATATGCAAAGTAATTATTATAAAAATTGACATTTAAAAAATAGATATTTAACCAATACATATAATTAATATTTTAATTAGTGCATACATCAACATTAATTATTTATATAAACCAAATAAAATTTTAAATAAAATAGTCCGTATAAAAAATCTAATATTGTAATTCTATTTTTATTTATGATTTATGAACACTTTCTAAAATTCAATGCAACAAAACTATTTATAAAAATTAATTTAATAAAAATATTTTAAAGTATCAAAAAATTAATTTTTTATTTTATTTTTTTATTTTAATAATTTTTGTTTATATTTTATTAATAATATATTGTAAAATTTTTTTTATAAATTTTAATCAATGAGCTTCTTGAATCTATTTAGATATTTTCGCTATTACAATAATATAATAGCAAATTGAATAAATGATTATACTTTATCTCACAACGAATGACTAGAAAACATTGAATATTTTAAGTTTATTATAAAACAAAATTAATTTTCTATTTCAAAAATAAAAATAAAAATAAAAATAATGTAAAATTATATTTAACAAAATAAGTTTTGTCGAATGGTTTGGTGTATAAGCGGCTTTTGGATACCTTGTTGATTAGAAGGATGCCTATTGTGGTTGCTAGGTGCCATGGCGCGCATCTGATGAACCCCAAGAGGATGAGACTGTGATCTTATCGATAAATTGTTGAGATTCATGTTTATGGAAAGATTCGTATTGTTAGAGGTTGCGATGTTGCAAAGATTCTGATTTTTCGTCTGCAAGGCTGCTCCAATACCCACATTACTATTGATGTGTGATGATAATCCAGAGCTGTTCGTTGTCAGGGCTGAGGGATTTGAAGAGGTATTGTGTGAAGCAAAGTCCTTGCCTGCGTTGGTTCCAGAACCAGCGACTGATGTATTGGATATTCCTGAAGTTGATCCTTTTGAACACCTCAAACACTTAGGCAGCCAAGAATGTTGTCGAACAAACTTGCGATATTCTTTACGAACCTGTGAATCACCCCATGTAGATATTGTTTACCCCATCATCCTATTAATTTAATTATTTTCTTTATAGAATATTATTTATCTTTAAATTTAATTAAAGAGTGTTATAAATCTTGAACATTTTAATTAATAAAATATATAGATCAAACTATACAATTTTATTTACATAATAAAAGTGTAATAATTATAAAATTAATTAATTTCAAAAATATTTAAATTCAATAAAATTAGGCTTTAATCATCGATTTCAAATTTATAATAAAAAATAATTTATGCACTAGTATATATATATATATATATATATATATATATATATATATATATATATATATATACTAGTGCATAAATTATTTTTTATTATAAATTTGAAATCGATGATTAAAGCCTAATTTTATTGAATTTAAATATTTTTGATTCATCCATACATACATACATGCATACAGCACTTGATAGAAATATATGATGAATTTGAAGAAAATATTAATATAACGGTATCTTACCTTTTCATTTTGAACGCAGTGAAATATGAAAATAAACAATCCCTGCAAACTGTTTAATGTCGTAAAAATGTACGCCATAACTATAGATTCTTGATTTAAGTATAATAAGCCAAATGTCCAGGTAAGACCCAAAAGAAACACTAGCATAATTGCTCCTCGTAACCACGCTCTAATAAAATATAATATTTATTTACAATCAGAAAATTCATTAAATTGATACCTAACCTTATGTACAATAAATTTTAATAAAAAAATAATTTAAATAAATTTTTATTTTAAATTAGAAACAGATGAAATTAAATTAATTTGATCAATAATTCTTTTTCATGTTGTATTTTATTTCAATATTTGCTATTATATTTTTAGATAATTCAAACTAAAATATAAATATCTCATACTACAATGTTATTGTATATTGAAATTATTTATTATAATGTTGAATGTCTAAAATATATTATAAATGATATTAATAACTATGATACACTGATATACAACTAAGAGATTAATGCTTATAAATTAAAATATAACCGAGGAAAATCTAGTAGCGTGGCTTAATCTACCTTCTAGTTACGCCACAATTAAAAGTCTTCTAATAGCAAGCAATTGAATAACTTGATAAATCAAATCACATAGTCGAAGAATTTCATAAAACTCGAAATCTCGAAACAAAAATTATTGTTATACTATTAAACTATCATTATAATTAACAGACGAAGTATATAGATAAGATAAAATGGATATTAATAAAGAAATTTTCAATTGATATCCAAGAAAATAGGTGGTTTAAAATTGATTAAAAAATAAAGTAATTATAAAATATTTAACATTTACGAATAATGTATAAGCTACTCATCTCTAACATATTATTGAAAAATATTAATTTAATAACATAAATAGGAGCAGATAATACAAAATTTTGCTTAAATAAATATAAATGGCAAAAATCTAGAATATATACAATAGTACATTATATTAAAATTGTGCTATCTCACTTGTGTATTTAAAGAAATAATCAATAATATTTTCATAAATAGTAGCATAGATTAAAAGAAATATAGACTAATGTAATAAATAATTTTTAAAAATTGATAGAGTGTAAATTAATAATAAATTGTAAATATCTTACAAGTGCGATTGTAATTTGTTGAGAAGAGCATTCTCTTCTTTTCCACTACCAACCAACCACACCATGCAGGGGAATGTAGAACAGTGTAGACAGAAGCAGGTAGAAGTTTTAATACAAAAATGAAACAAGACAGTAATAGTTAGATGACTTCCGACACCATAAATATTATTTTTATTTGTGAAAAGTGACATTATAAAGAGATTACTTTACTTTTTATGATCTTTTTGTACTCAATTTATTTACTTTACTCTTTACTATTCAACTCGACAATTAATAATAACTATACAGTTATTGATAATTAGTATGCTAAAATTATGTAAAAGTATACCGTCAATAAGATGGCATAAATACTGTTATAAATAATATAAAATTAAAAATATACTATATATCTACGTAAAACAATTTTTGTTAATATTAATAAGGTTACTTTTATAAAAGAATTATTAAATAAATAAAATTTAATGTATTATACATTAACATTTTTACTCTTATTTAGTTTACTATAATACAAGCTCATAATTGATTTAATACTATAATATTCAAAATAATATGCCAGTTACAAGATTACATTGTGGAAAATTTATATTAAATATAGTCTGAATCTATTTTAAGAAATACTGTCCAATAAAATTAAAATAACAGAAATAAATGAATAAAAAATTTAATGAAAGTTGTCAAGATTGCTACAAAATAATTCGTTTATTAAATATGAAGTTCATGTAGAAAGCGAGTAATAAAGCTTGCATAAAAACTCAAAGCGACAAACAAATACTTAAAACTAATCACTGAGAGATGAGTGTAAAAGCTTATTGTATATATATACACACTTTTATATGAAATATATAATAAATATACATATATATATAATTGGGCATAACAAATATTTATGAAATATTAAATATCAATAATTTTTTTTACATTCATATGAGTGTACATATATAGATGTTTCGTTAATGACACGGAAAAATTTATAACATAATGTGAATATTACATTTTTTCATAATGCAATACTTACCTTGCACTAGCTAGCCGTGAGTGTTCTTTACTTTTCAAAGATACGGTTGTGTGAGCATGCCTGCACATCATATAAATTGCCATAGACAGGAATACTAGATTTGCCTACAGAATTGACAAGTGAAAAAAATAATTTATTATAATCAATTTTATAATATATAAGAAATAAAAAAAAATAAAAAAATTGTCAAAATTGTTCAACTAAATATATTGAAATATAATAATAATATTATAATAATATAATTATAATAACATAATCATTCAAGTAATTCAATAAAATGTAAGAGCACAATACCAATATAACAAGTATGACAGGACCAACAAAGCTAAATATGAAGTAATTGTCAGCGCGAAGCCAACAATATCGATCTGTGCCATAACTAAGTGGATCAATCACAGAAGATATTCCAACAACGAGTAATGGAATACCATAAGCTACAAGATAATACCAGCGAAGTCTTGATTTTTCAGCTTCAAATACCTCGATCAGCATAACATACAACTGAAAACCTAAAATAGTAAAGATGGTTAATACTCTAGTATGCCATTCAAATGATTAAATATCAAATAATTCATAGCATTAATTTAAAACTAGCTTTAAAATTAGATTTGATCCGAAATTTATTTTATACGAGTTATATTCTTTACCTTCAAGAAACATCCAAGCAAATGCACATAAAAAGAAGAAGTGCAAGAGTCCAGCAACGATACCGCATACTATTTTATGATTTGTTTGCCCTATTCCACAAATAAAAAGAACTTCTGCAATAAGCAGACACACGCAGAGATTTTTATGAATCGTTGTTCTGTCAGACTGAAACAATAAATAAAATACTAATTTTTGAATTTTATTTTTATAAACCCTTTCTAAACAAGTTTCAGTATATTTTTGGTATATAAGAGAATTTTTACCCTTACTCAAAAATAGTTACAAATTTAAAATAAATTTTTTAATACCTTTAGACCACGAAACAATTGAAAGGTGATTATTGCAAGCACTAAGCAGATAATTGAAATAATGCAGCCAATATAGGTAATTATTTGAAGGGCTACTTGATCTTGTACATCAAGTTTCACTGCATGAATATCCATAAGAACAGCGAAGTTTGTAAGGTGATTGCATTCACATATCGTATGCGTTTCATTGCTTTTCCGAATGATGCAGCCTTCCTCTGACCATTCGCTATAATTATATTAATTCATTTATAACTAAATTTAGCTAATTTTCCAATTACATTTAATAGAACCTATTTATTCTCCATTACTGCATCTTATATTTTTTATAAAATCTTCAAATATTCTAACTTTATTACTAGATTTTTTTATTAGATTATTAGATAAAAATATTAAATTAGTAAAACTATTTAGAATAACTAAATACATTAACTACATTAACCTTTATGTAGTGTTAATTAAATTATTTAATATTTCATATAATAAATGACAATATTTTATGCTTTTTATTTACATCTAGTATAACATTTGATTAATTTCATTTTTTTAACATTGCAATTAAAAAAACACTATTTTAAACTATTTGTAAATTGAATTATTAAAATAAAAAATTTTAAATTTACTTTTTATAATTAATAGTCTAGGGCTTAATAATTGAAAGAATCTTATTACAATTATAAAAGCGAAAAATAGCATTGAAATACATTTTTAATATAATTATTAAAGAAAACAATATTAATATTTAAGTTTTTATTAGGGAACTCAATCTAAAAGTAATATAGAAATATGTGTATAAAAATGTATACCTTATTGCATAATCCCAGAAGACACACTTCGGATTTGTCACATTTTGAAACATCAAGTGTTGGAAGGTAAGTATAACAGGCTCTGTTAATTGCACATGCTTTCCTTTGCCAAGGGATGCCGAAATTACTTTACTATTTAATATTCGACTAACATTCATATCATGCATCATAGATGAAGAATAAGAGGTGAATTCGCTTCCTTCTTCGGCAAAATACGAAGACTCTACCTGAGGCTGAAGAATTTCTTCGAGCCTATCGAATGCCATAAAAACAAGCCTAACGAAGCGACCTGTGTTATTGTTTCTTAATAGGGCACCTCTAGTTAACTCTATGCGATCATGCATATTTGTCCATCTATGCTGTTGTCCAGCTTCCTTTGGAAATACTTCCAGTTCTTTATTCAGATTGCGCGCATCTAACACTCTTACTTCCATTACTAAAAATAAATAAAATCTTATTAGTTCCCGTCTCTTTATTTAAAATTTCATTATTTATCGTGCTTTCTTCTCTTTTTTTGATAAATATGCTTAGCAAAATTACTATTTATCTTTGCTAAGATGTTAGAATGATTTTTTTATTACTATGAAATTAATTTTTAACATTTGTTTATTTAAAAAGGTTAAATTATTTTTATTTTATGAAATTAAATATTTTAAAGAAAAGAATTTTATGTTATTTTTAAAAACTTATTAATAGATACAAATGTTTTTTTTTGTGATCATTATTTTAAAAATATAATACATGTAATTCTAATAATGATTACAACTATACTAATAAAATGTATGCTTTTATGTAATTTATATTAAATGAGAAATTGTAATATTACGAATATTAACAATTAATATTAATTTAAAATTAATAATTGAACATTAAAAATAAGATTTTAAAAATAATTTTTAAATACTACAATTCTTTGTTCTTTATTTTTATATTGTAAAGTAGAAACAGTATAGTATTTGAAAATAGTAGTTCTAACCAATTTGTATTAAGGGTATATTTGACGTGTAATAGCAATTTGTAATTAATTGATATTTTAACATTTATTAAATGTAATTAATTGAATTATAAAAAAAAAAATGTTTATGTAAATCAGTACCTTTTTCTAGGGTGCACGTGAAATTATAGAACTTACAAATGTTTCTGCGTTCGTGTACGATGTTTTTCTCATAATTAAGTTGATTTGCCATCAAAAAAGCATTTTCCTCGAGACCAATGAGGAGGGAAGTTGCAACAACCATTTGTTCCCGATGACTTAGATCCTTCCAAGAAGCGGATTGTGCTCTATCTAAGAGGTTACTACCAGTAGTAACTGCACCTTGTAGTAGCTCAGCGACACTTACTTCACGTTGTCCCAAATCCAAATAAGTCTGAATGTCTTGGTTCATTCGATCAGCCATATTTTTAAGGATCTTGGTAGTAATAAGCATATCACCTCCATAAAGTTCACGACTATTATTCGTCACTTGACTAAGATCACTGCTTACACCAAGAATCACTTCCCCTTCTTGTACACGCTTTTCAAGTGAAGACAGCCAAACACTACGACATTCACTAAGATCAGGAGTATCACGCTGCCAAATGGCTCGTTCGAAACCTGATGACACGGTTCGTACACATTGCCAGCGCGCCAAGCCATTAGCACCACCCGGGCAATTTTGTACTGCTACTTCGCCAAGCCGGGTCTCATTCCATGTGAGTTTACGAGCGAACCGTCCCGGGCAAAGCAACAATAAATCATTTCCTATAAATTAAAAGAAATATTACTAGTACATCATTTCCATTCATTTTAAATATTCAGATTTTACAATTATAATTGGGTTTTACTATTCTATAAAAGCATAGAATTTTCAGAGAAATTTCTAGAAGAATCATAGAACTACATCATTTATATTAACCATTATATTAAGAAATGGTACCAATTTATAATACCAACAGTTTACAATTAATAATGATTGCTTTTTAGTAATTCTACAAAAAAATATTTTAATAATGAACTTGCTTCATTATATAATCAAATTTCTAATAATTTATGATAAATTAAAATTCATATATTTAAAAATTTATTTCATAGTCTTTTTAATAATTATTATTTAAAATCAGATCAATAATATGTAATTTTAACTAATATGTATATTTTTGTATTAAATTTTGGATATATTATTCAATATTAAGAGAAATTAAGAGTTTGTGATTTAATATTTTAATATTGCATTAATTCATAATAATTATATATACAAAAAAAAAAAATTTTTTATTCAAGTATTTAATTTGCTTAGGATATAATCATGTCCCGACAAATATCGACACCTATGATAATGTAAATAAAGGAACTGCATCAAATAAACATATATATATTATATTAGCTACAGTTAATAAATTGTTCATGGTCAATCAAAGCGAAAAATTTACGTTTTCATTATACTATTATCAGCAAATATCTTTACAATGAGCTTATCAAACACATTCTGCCCTCATTCATATCTCGAATATTTATTTTACGCATAATATTAAATTGTACAAAAGTTATAAATTTACATGATATGCATGTCAGAAATATATTATTAGATATAGAAATATATTAAGTACATTAATCATAATAATACTTTATATGTTAATGTGCATAGAATAGAGTATAATTAATTTTCTGATCAATTCCATAAAAGAACATCTACCATATAAATAACAGATAGATTATAATAATGATGTTTGAGTTTATATTAAAATATAAAAATTATAACAAAATTAAGTTAACAAAACAAAATAACGAATATCTATATAAAAAGCTTATTCATAATACAAGTCAGAATTAAGTGTTTTAGAATAAAGTAAGAGGTAGAATAATGTTTTAAATAAAGTTGAGTTTTTATTTTTACCTGCTGGCGTTCTATGACTAGTTTTCCAAGGCGCTATCGTCGAGGTGAAAGGCATTTCAGACTGTTGCGGTGGTGATGGCTTCACCGTTGTTTCGTGCATGACGGTTGATCCTGGTGTTCTATTCGACTTTACCAACGAAATTATATTTTCTTCCTCCGCCTCATCTTCATTCTCAATAAATTCTCCATCGGTCCATGTTTTCAGCGTTGTTCTATTACACAATTAAATAAGTACTTTTTCTCTTTCTCATGTTAATTTTTTTTATATACGTGATCGCTAACCTTATTTTAATACTAAAAGTCTTATCATTAATTTACTTATTATTAATGTACTCAACTACACCGTCAAAAATGACAAACTTTGCAAAAATTAATGTGAATTTTCATTTTAATATTGTGTAAATCTACTTTTATCAAAACTTTTTTGCAGAATAATATTTAAACCGATTTTTTTTATTTTATTTGTTATTTGTAAGTTTAAAAAATTATCACATTTACTATAACATATAATAATACATAAAAATAAATAAAAATATTATTAATTATTCCATATTATAATAAAATCAAATAGTGAAATAGTTTATATGAAAATAATTTTATATAAAAGAGAAATCGTTTTACATTTTCGATCCTTAATTACATTCATTAATATGCAAGTTGCAATTAATTTGTTTACATTATTTTGTATTAAATATTAATTTACAAAATTAGATTTCTAAACCCCTAAATAAATATAATTTTCAAATAAAAACAACATATAATTTGAAATCCATTCTTAAATTTAAATCATTATATATTAACGATTAATATGAAAACGAAAGATAAATACTCATCTCTTTTAGCAACTAATATAATGTTTATTTTTTTATTTATACTTTATGAGTTTGCATATGCACAAATTTACATAAATAGAATAAAACAATAAATAAAACATGCTATAATAAACGAATAAAAAAATTTTATCGGCAGCCCTATTGATCTTTTAAAGAAACAAACCAGTTTGAGATTCAGTAAGTTAAAAAAAAATGACAAAAAAAATAACTGCACATACTGTACAATAAAATGAGAAAGGCAGAGAAGGAAAGATAAAGAGAAAGGGAGAGTAAAGAAAAGAGAAAACCATAAGTCAGAATTATGTACTTTATTTAATAACGCATGTGGTATATGTATATACATATATATACATACATGTATTCATATTATAGATACATTTATTAATTTTGAATAAAATAATTTATGTTAAAAAATTAATAAAGCTTGTTCATAGTATCATTTCTATTATTTTTTAACATCTACAGGATTGTATACACACGCTCGCGCGCGCGCGCACACACGCACACACACACACACACACGCGCGCGCGCGCACAAACAAACTGTATACGCATATGAAATTGTGCAAAAGAATTTAAGAAAGGCATGAATCGTTCAAGACGTTGGACTTGATGGTATAAAGCATATTGGAAGAGAGAGAGAGCGGTACTGACCTTGGGGCACTGCCTACCGAGGGAGCAGTAATCGAAAAGCCGTTCTCTGGTCGCTGACTTGACTGAGCAGCAGTGCTGGCTGTTGCTGATGTCGATATTCCAAAAGGAGCCCGACTTATGATTGCGTTGCCTGGTGAAGTCGTACTCCAGATTGATGACTGTGAAGTTAGCAACCATGGCGGACTTGGTCGCCAAGTCGTTGTCGTAGTCGTGGATGCTGTAATCGTTTCATTCCAAGTAACATTAGACATTGTTACTACTTCTATTCTATGATACTTTTTGAAATTTATGCTCAGTTATACTTATTTTAAGAATTAAGAACTTGAAATATTATTAAGTCTATTTTCATTCGTTTTATAAAATAAGTAAGTTCGTACCTTATAATCGCTTTTACACTTTTTCATAATTATTAGTATAATACGAATGTACTCTGCATACTATTATTTATAGCAAATTACATAAAATATGTAACTACCAAAATTTTAAATTGAAGTCTACATATCCTATTTGAAATATTAAAATTTTTACAATGCAATTAATAATATAAAATTCTTTATTTTTATAAATATATTATAAACTTTATATATATAATGATTTTAAATTTGACAATTAGAACTAGGCTTTAAAGTATAATAAATAATCGCCACATAAATTCAAGTATATTAGATAAAATTTTTATATTAATTATGAAATATGCAAGACCTGATCTTCATCTCAGTACGCTTTAATCTTACAGCATCATTTTATAATTCGAAATTATTAAAATCAATATTTCAATTTATTAATCTTAATTTGTTTATTTGTTTAAAATACAAAAATGGATATTGTTGAAAATTAATATTTTAAAAATGTAAATATAACAAAAACAAAATTTTCTGCTGAAGATTCCTAAAATTTTTAAATTAATTTATTATTTTGTCGTTATTGTTTGTCATAGATATACATAGAAGTTTTATATATTTTTAGAGTTTCACAGAAAATTTATTTGTTTCACTAACGTTTTTCTATTTAAATCAGTATGAATTTTTATTCAAAATTATATTATAAAAGAAACATATTTACGATTTTTATTATAACAAAAAGTACGCAACATTAAGAATTTTTTATATTATTTCAATACAATAAACAATATTAATTTTGTGACTATTTATTTTTATTAATAAAAAATTTACATAATGTAATTATAGAGTCTTCTATTGATTTATAGTAAATTTGTAGTCAAATATAGTAAATAATCCATTTATAGTATTGGATTTTAATTGATATATGTAAGATTAAATCAGTTATTATCTTTTTGCATATTCGCATACAAACATTTCTCTCTATACCACACTAAATCACTCACCTTTCACTCTTCCATCAATTTTTTTTTTCATCATCAAGCTTAGTCTTTTAGCGAAATGTATCCAATATTAATGAAAATCTTCAAAAATAATTAAATTGTTTAGAATTAATTGCACAAATTTCGTAGTTTAATCAGTACTTTATAAAAATTTTAAAATTTTTAAATTCAATAAATTTAAATCAAATATATTTGATGATCATTTACGAATATATATATTATAATTCATAACTATATATTCATTGTTCAAACGACCGATCCCACTATACTTTATCAGAATTTTTAAGTATAATAATTAGCAATAATTTATGATAACAAATTAAGCAATTTTGTATTATTTACAATATTTAATCTTTATCTTTTATCTATTTTATATTTTATTTTTTTATTTGTATACTTCATCTAATTTACTAATAATTATTTAATTTATTTTTCTATATATAAATTGCTAATCTGATAATTATTACTATACAAATATATAGAAACATTAAAGAAAGATATTGGAAATTGAAAAATTATAAAAAAAAATTGATATTAAATTAAAAATGTGTTCAATTTGGATAAAAAAATTTGGTTAGAAATTGTAAAAATCACAGCATCATGAAAAAAATCTAAGAAAACTAATATAAGACTAAACGAATAATTCTTGTTAACATAGTTTCTTACAGATTAATAATTCGTTTTATAATATTATTTAAAAATATAATGCATAAAAAATTTCCTTCTTAGAAAATGTTCGAATCGTCAACTCAACTTCAATTACCATCTAAAAAGTCGAAAGCTCACTCTACATGAATTTCTGACATCTTATCCTGTATTCTATCATATCAGATTGTCAATCTGTTAAACAGTGAAGTATATATCTAATCTGATAATATTTCATATAGCATAATTATCAATCTCAAAATTCATGGTTTTACATAAGATAATAACATATCAACAAAATATATCACCAACTTGATATAATCCTTTAATCTAATATTACTAACACCTTGTTTATTAATTCAGTATTTAGAGTTTGCATAATACTAAATAATATTGGATTAGTTAAATGTACTAATTATATAAAGTGCATTTCATAGCTGAAATTGGAGATTGATAATTATGCAAAATCAACAATTATCTTATGTTCGATAAGTCAAGTTATCGATATTCTTCGATTTATATTTAAGTTAGAAAAGACATAATAAATAACAAGTGAATCACTGCTTAAAATCTTGTACAAATCTGGATTGTTTTGTATTCTACTATCAGTTGGATAAATGGAGTTTTTAAATATAACCTAAAAAGTACATAATGTTGTACAAATAATACAGCAGCTGAAGAATTACTTCTACAACCAATCAAATCAATATTTACATAAAACTTTCTGTTTAATCAATTTCAGAATTAACTAGAACCAGTGAATTAGTGAATTTCAGATACCTTATATTTCACTATCATTCATTACTATTAAATTAAATAAGACGTTATGCGATTCTCACACAAAATAAAACAAATATAAATTTTTGGTTAAACAAAAGGATCTTTCAGGATATGTCAAATTGTCTTATCTCACTGCTTACCTCACGTAGTTGCATCTTGGAGATTAATGAAAAAATTCTCTATAATTAATTAAAAATTAAATAATACTATGGTATTATTTACAGTATTATTTAGTTTTATCTATTCATTATTATTAAATCAAAATATGTAATATATATTAATATTATAATAAAAATATTATTGATAAAAAATATTATTGATATTTTAATATTTATATTGACAGTTATATTTTAATATGAAATAATTTAACATGAGTTTACTAATTAAATTATTAAATCTCTAGAAATAGTTTGAAAATTTTTAATGGTGTTTATTCGTATAAAAGAAATTCTAATTAATTGACAAACTATTTGTGAAATTGTCAAACTATTTAATCTAACTTTTATGACATTACCCGCATTCATGACAAAATTGCACAAAAAAATTACAAATAAATCATATAGTTTATATCGAGTGTTATTTTAATTTATCATAACCACACCTATCTCTGAATATCAATTATGAAATGATTACTAGTAATAAATGTTTGTTTTATTAATACAATTAATTATGCTGTTTGAAAAAGCAAATAGAGAGAATAAGTGTAAAATATCAATCTAAATTATTATACTACGGGTGCATAGTAAGAAAAAAATACCTCGTTAGTGCTGACAAGTAGTTTAAAATTTAAACGAAGCGCACTACATTTAAGAAACCTATATCTTTATATAGCTATATGTATTCAACTTTCTGATACTAGCTAGTATCAACCGACATTAAATTAATATTGTTTAGTGATATATACATGGAATCAAATCAATATTAAAGAGTAAGCTCACATTATACTTTTTATCATTACTTACTATAAAAATTTACTACTTACCCGATATACATTGATAATGTGCTTCGAGATACTTTAAGGTGTTAGGGCACGGATCTCCAAAATGTGATGTCGACGCCACAATACTGCAGTTTTGTTGTTGATTACACCTAGATACGCCCCAAGAGAAGAACAAAAAATAAATTTTTAGTATATTTTTCTACTTCTCTTCGCCCTCTTCCTTTTATTTGTCACTATTTATAATTGTTTATTTTCAAATAAATTAATATGAGCATAATTATTTATTTCTATTTTTTGGTGTTGCTCTACGTGTATTATAAATATAAAAAATTATCTGTAAATCGATACTATTTAATGTAATTATTTATTGAAAAGATAAAAATAAATATATGTAAATATTAATAGCTTATACTTTCACTTAGTTTCACTTAACAGTCCACTAAATAGCAAAATGAATAATCGCATAAGCATAAATATAATCCATCGATAATTGTTTAATAGATCATTTATTATCAAAATGCTATAAAACATACTGAATAAATAAATAAAATTATATACCAACTGATTGAATTGATATTAAATTAAAGGAAAGAACATTTCGAACAAATTGAACCTGGATGTAATTAGTTATTCGTGAAAGTAAATTAAAAAAAAAACTAAAATTGTATTAAATTATAAGAAAAATTTCTTTTTCATATCCAAATTTGTTATTTCTATTGTTATTCCCCTAAATTATGATGCATCAAATATTAAAAATAATTTAAATCTGTTTACATTTTAATCTTTATATATTGAACTCTTTTTCTTAGCTATATATTAACATTTCAGTTTGAATTTTTAATCACTGGTCTGTATTTTAATTTATATTCAAAATCATACACATTATCAGAGAAAATCAAAACAGTATATTCATTATATTATATATTTTTACGATAAATGTATATTCAGAATTTTCTTTTGTATTTTATGTCAAACAATATTTTATTAGGCCAAAGAAAGATTAATATTTAATGAAAATATATAAAAAGAGCCAAATATTGTATGACACTAATTATAACAGTCACATATAATTAATATTCAATGATCTTTTGTGATTTATGTAAAACTGTATGATATAAAAACTTTATAAATAATATAAATTAAACAAAATTATAGAAATTAAAATAATTTTATCATAAAAAAAATTTGTATAGTTCATTTAAATCTCAAACCGTAATATAAGGTTTCTAAATAACACGTGTATATGTATCAATTTGATAATAAAGAATTTATATAATGATAGACAACCTTAGGAAGTAATTAAATATTTAAAAAGTAATTTGTAAAGAAAATATATCGAAAATCAAATACTTGGAAGGTAAAATTATCAATTTTTCAACATATCAAAAAGTAATAGATAGCATAAATAATATTGTCTATGTTAATTTATTATTAGTTAGACATACATTCGTAAATTATAATCAGAAAATTGTAAAATATATTTACAAACGAGTATTTAATACATTAATTGATAAAAAATTATTTAATTTAAGTACTTTACTGTTTGTAATAGAATTTTAAAGGTTCAAGTTTATCAATAGTTTAAAATTTTTTTACTGTAACTATAATAAAAATTAATAAATATTATTTAGTAACAATTTGCTCAGGGTTATTAAATGTAAAATGAAGCTATTTAATGTATTCAATACCATGGAGGTGATTTGATTAGTTAGTACCATTCTCCATATAATACATAATTATTTACTTTATTGATGGTCGGATACTAATTATAAATGTTCAAAAAGAATTTAATAAAGTTATTAGACAATAATTAAGTTAAGTGAATATATAAACACCTTTTATAAGCTTATGAGGAACTAATTTTAAACAAAATTAATTTGACTATTTTATAAGTATTTTCATCTATAAAAAACCAACAAAAATTCTAAAAAAAAGTATTTATGATTGTTTTACTAAATTTCATTGTGATCTTACTAATGCAAGGATGCTGAACGTAATAAAAGTTCAGATAAAATAACTTCTTTAAAAATACACAATAAGTAATTAATAATATCATATTAGAAAACCGTGGATTAATATCTATGATTTATTAATAAAATTTAAATATCTCGACCGATCGCACTTGTTGTATTTGATATACAAACTATAATATAAAAAGTGACTAACTAAATAGCTATTTTATTTGTTTACAAACACATACTTCATATCATATTCAAGGCATTGTTTTATTATGTATATAATAAAAATTTCATGTAATATTATGTAATTTCATGAAATATTATGAATCATGTATCTTAATAACAATGAAACGTAAATTGTAGAAAAAAACAAAACTCGGAAATATCGAATGATCTCACGAAATACATTCGAACAAAGATAAAGATGCTTCAGATAATGTCAAGACTTTGGTTTTGTATGATTCAAACAATATATTAAATTATATAAAAAAATATTATTATAGAATTAAATGAAGATATAATTATTTAGCTAGAATAATGTGTTTCTCATTGTGACAATGTGCCATTTAAAATTATTTAAATTATGCTATGCATTATTTTATATGCCTTATTACATTATATTATACATTATTTTCCATTCTTCTACTTTCTCTTCGTTCTGTGATTATTACTATTGTATATTTTTTTATTAAACACAAGAATATTTTAACTAATATAAAGAATATATTTCAATAATAATACAATAATACATTATAATATATTATCATAAATAATACATTTAAAAATATTAAATTATTCAATATTCAAACATTTTAATCTTTTGGAACTAATGTATTAAATGTGTAATAATATAATATCGAAAACTAAGATATGTGTGTGTAAACAAAACGTTTATCTGTTTGTAATTTATTGGTGTATGCGAATTAAAATTAAAAATGAATTTTGATAATTTGTGACACTGTACTGGAAGAATTGTATAGTAATAGTTATATTCGAAAAATGAGAAAATCATTAAAATCCTTAAAAAGAATAAAAAATTAATTTCGACGATTTTGAAAACTTCATGAAATCACTTAATTTTCTAGTAAATATGTGCAATAGTAAATAATAACATGTCTGTTTAAAAATATGTATAATAGTAAATAATAGTACAATGTTTTGAATATTTCTTTTTCTAGTTAATTAAAATATTATTTTGGAAAATAAAGTTTCAGATTTAAACAATACTTAAAATTCTTAGTACGAAATTATTATTATGCAATTCAACATATAAGATAAAAAAGTTCGCACCCTATAATTAATATTATACAATATTTATATATCCTTTTAAGAAACCTTTCAAACTAAGAAAAATCAATGTTTAATATCCTATAGTAACTTTATTAAACTAAATTTATTCATTTACAATATACATTTTTACTGTATCTATTAAAAAAAAAGTAAATGGGATGTTAAAATATCTTAGTTTTAATGAAGAAAAATGAAGAATAGAGTAATGAAAATTGAATTATTATCTTATTCGATTTTAATATTAATATCATGATGTAATATATATTTGCTTCACAAAATATTAATGCACTCAAATCATCGAATAATAGGTTAGTGGCTTGCTGAACTATATTAAACTGTTTTTGAGTCTTTCCCGTTTCCTGATTATTATCCTTTCAATCTATCTTTTCTTTCCATTTCATTTTGCCTTTTATTTTTTTGTGTTTTGTGCTCTCTCTCTCTCTCTCTCTCTCTCTCTCTCTCTCTCTTAATTCTTGTTTCCATTCTTCATAAAACATGTGAGGAATGCAAAGAGCAAAACTAAGATATGGTAAGAAAAATAAAAATGAAATATAATAAAAAAAAAGAGGAGTGTGGAGCTCAAGTAAGAACGCAACTCATGGTACAATCAGGTCGGTCAAGGAGAAAGAAAAGGAAGATGACGTGGCTGCATTCCGATCGAAAGGCTCGTCACAACTCTTTTTTCACTACCGCCCCCCTCTCTCTCTCTCTCTCTCTCTCTCTCTCTCTCTCTAAACCACTTCTTTCATTTGACTAGTATTTTATATAGTAATACAGTTGTAATAGTATAGTTATAATAAATATCGAAGATTTAAGTTATTGAGAAACTTTATATTTTCTGAATTATACTTACTTGTTATATAAAACACGAAAAGATTTCGGTGACATACAATTAACGCTCCAGTCAGTATTACCATGTTCATTGCAAATTGTTATTGAAAATCTTCCATAATTGGCTCGAATAAGATGGATAAGTTCACCTTCACGACACTCTATTCTAAGTGTCTTTCCTTCGCATTCATATGCTGTATCGTATCGTTCTAAAATAAAAAGTTGAATAAAAAGATGATTTAATAATATTTCTTAGTTTGTATACAATACTTAAGAAAAATTATAAATGAGTTTTTAAAATTTAATATAACTACTAATAACACACATATTATTCGTAATCTATTTAATGGGTGAATAGAAATGAATTTATAAATCACGTTTTCATATATTTATATTATAAAAAATACAAGTCATAAAATTACATTTTCAAAATTTTCAAATTTACTGTTTTTTCTTGTTAGTAAATAAAATAGTGTGAAATATAATACTTCATATCCTTCATTATATCTAATATTTTTCTGGATTTTGTAATTTTTATCATTTATGCAGTCATCATAACATTAATTTTTTGATAAAATTGTTTATTTTATTCTACTCATGTATTAATAATTAAAAGTTTTCATACAAGTCGAGAATTAATTATTTGAGTTTTTAAAATAAATATATGCATCACATAACGATTTATCTTAAATATCATATTGATCAGAACATATCTTTTTTCATTCATTTCGAAAAATTCTATATTGATTGATCTTTTGAATCACTAGTTTAAAGGTTCTTGCATTGTATATAGTTGTCAAATACAAAACCAAATGTGATTTTTTCATTTTGAATAATAATATATAATATAATAGTAATTAAAATTTCAATTTTAATTGAAATTTGTCTTTTTATTCATTACACTAATCGCCATAACATTATATATTATAAATTCAAATCTTATCATTTTCATTGCATACCATATTTCATTATTACTTTTTAATAAATTTGATGGTTTCTAAATAATTTTCTCACTTATGTTAATCATGTATAAAAAATATGTTATGTTTATAGTTACTTATAGTTTCCAAATTTTCATCTAATTTTTTGAAAACATGTTCTTTACTATACAAAGTTTTATATACAACAACACAGAAGCGTATTTTTCTTAAAATAATAAAGTTTTCCATCTATAACGATTACAAACCATTATAAAATACCATAACTATCTAAGTTTATCTGAGAATACTATTCTAAATAAATCTGAAATTATAATTATATTCTTTTAGTCAATTTGTTATAAAACCTTCGGCTGTATGAAATTCTAGTTATGAACTGACAATGAATATAGATTATATGAAATTGTAAGTAAAATAAGGAGAAAGTTTATGTATGCGTGTAGATGTGTATATTGCAACTGAATAATAAAATAGTGTGTAAGACATCCATATATGTATTTTATGAGCGGATTTTAAATAGAACAATATGGGTATAAAATTTACGTATGTATGTTCAAGAATTAAAGAAACATTTAATGAATAAAGATAATTCATATAATTAATGTTAAGTATGGGATAATTAAAAGAGGAGAGGTAACTTAAAACGAAGCTTGAACTCTTTAATACTTTACCGGGTGTTGAAGAAGGGGAGACATGAATCGTAAACTATAAGGTTGATGTGATATCATTTAGCGCGACCAATCACATAAGAATAAAGAACTATGAACGGAGGGGGAAACTGCCACGCTACGTTATAAGTAACGTTGAACGTGGTTTTGAGGTTGTCGCTTGACGACTACCGTCTGACCTTAACTTCGCGCCGAAGCAGGTCTTTAAACATACTTTCCCACTTTTGATAAGTACAGTGGATTTTCGATCGCTCTCTTAAGTGCGTACGGGCGATATTCGTAAGCAAATCAAAACCCGCACTATGACTACTATATCCATGGAAGATTACGAATACATTTATAGCGTCTATAAGTATATAAACGAAAATACAAATTTTTAATTTCACATTATTACAATATTTCTAGTCGATAAGATCTGATAATACAATAATATTAATAATCGACTTTACTTAATCAATCGATAATAATTATTTTTATTCTCATTATATTTCTGTTATTAAATATCATACTGTATATATTTTTATTGCAATGTTTATTCATTTGAATGCGTTTTTTTTAAATCCAAAACCAATCTAAAAAATCCCTAGTTCGACCTAGATCAGGAATCAAACGTAAGAGTTAACCGTTACAACAGCACTCTCTCTAATATTCTAATTGAATAATTGCTTGCCACATATATACTAACATTGTATGATTTTATAATTACTTTGATTATAATTAACTTACATTTCGAATCTAAAAAAAGGGTAAAACAATTATGAAATTTACTCTCATATCAATACATTTTTAACTTATATAAATATTTTAATGAAATATTAATCTATACAATATATAATTCTTTATTTTATTGCTTCACCTGAACAATGTTGCATGACGTATTGCTATGAAAAGATCATAATCATATAGATATGATTAATTATGATTGCTCGCAGATTAGATAGATAAATAGATAAATAGATGGATAGATACATAAATTTGAAAAAGTTATTTTTAAATACTGTTCAATATATTTAACACATATTCTTTTATTCAATCTAATATTTTGTTAATATTATAAATGAAGTAACTTATTTATTTAACATACATTTATGACTAACTCGAGCTATATTTAATAAACAACATTTATTTTCAAAGATAACAATGGGAATTTAAGTTGAAATAATATCTAATAAATATCATCGATAAATTATTTTATAACTAATCTTATTTCAAATATACATAAATTTTCTTTTTAATCCATTATAATGTTCAATACCAATTATTAATTATTATCCACAATTATTAACTAGTACTCTTATAACATATAGACACATATCAAATATTTCTATCAGGTATATATAATAGTTAAAAATTTTACAAGTTAGTTACACTATGCAGACGTATGAAGCTTACTAAATAAATTCTACAAAAAACTTGAAAAAATTATTTTTTGCTAATATATTGTTATTAGGCATTGTTATAAAAATATAATAAATAAAATTTATTTGACACCTTTGATTTTATTAAGCAGATTTTTATTTTGTTAATAAAATCAATATTAATTTTTTTTTATATTTTTTCAAATTTTATTTTATTTAGAAATATTTTTCACGTATAATATTATTTATATCATTTACTAAATAAACTGCATATTTACTTTATCGATGAATACAAAATATTTTAAAAAAGATCTAACGTCATAAATTTTTAATTTTGCAAAAGTTTTCTCAACAGCTGATAGGTTTTTTTCATAAATTATTTTTTAGTTTTATTTACATGAACTACGACTGTCTTTATTCAAAAATTAAAAATTTAATTAACTTAATAACGTTTCCTTTAGCAATGCTCTACAAAAATTTCTAATCATTATCAACAAAATTTGGATGTTTCTATTTAAATCTTTTAATTAATTTTCGTTTGTTATTAGCATATGGATGTATTCCTAAATATTATAATTTCGCCACTAGGAAGCCTTATATTTATTATTCTTTTGTTTGATACTATATTTTAATTATCGTTGTAATTTAATTTTATTTAATCAATAATATTGTTTGTTTTAATATTATTTTTATAATATTTTACTTATTTTTTAAATCTAAACTGATATTTATTTTATAGAAATTTATTTATTTAAATTTTATTATTTAATTTATTGAAATTAGTTTTAATTGTATTTCTAGTACAGAGAAAAAAAGGGAAAACGAAAAAATTATACACTTTTGTCTACCTTCTAATTTATTACGTTATATTACGTATAAGAATTTTAATAAGATTACTTAGATCCATATATTTATGTTATTTTATAATATATAAACACAAAATGTATATTAATATTTTACGAATCCATCAAGACAATATTTACTATCTTGATATATTATAATATTACAATAGTTTTAATTATATTATAATAATTATTATTATTAAATTGTTTGTTTTTTAACACATATTAAGCACGAATATGTCGCATAAATATATTATTCAATTCGTTCTTTTATATTAATTATAATTGTTCCTCGTTGCTCACAGAGAATGCACATCCCTCTGAATAATGGACTGTTTACTTTTTAAGTACTTTTTATTCTAAGCCTTCCACTAAGAATATATCAAAATTCATATTAACTTAATTTAAAAACATTTTTATCAATGAGAATGTTATAATTATGAATTTTATTAAATTTATAAATAAGTGTTTGATAATTAAAAAAAAATTAACATAAAACTATATGTTATATAATAAAAGAGATTCTATGTAACAGAAAAGAGTTACTCTTAATATGTTAATCCTTTTCTATATTTTATAGCAGTACATAAAAAACGTTATCCTGTAAAAGTTTAACCGATGAGTTCTATCAACCGACTCAGTGGTTACACATTTTATAACTGATGAATTATTTTGTTTAGTGTCTCAAGTTACAGCTAATAAATAAAATATTTTCTTCAATGAACTTTAATTTTATAATAGTGCAACTTATTATACACACTAATAAAAATAGTATTTATTTTTGTATTTGTAATTTTACGAACAAATTAAATAAATAAAACTTATTTTTCTTACAACGTGCATTATATTTACACATTAAAGATTCACATAAACTCATTTTCATGCTTTGTTTTTACTTTATGTTATAAGAGAAATTGAATCTATTTTTATATATTCAGTGTCTGTATATTTCATTTCAAAAGAATTCTGAATTCCTACTAAATCTTTATTCAAATTATTTCGAATCCATGTAAATTGATTTTTTAATATCATATGTATATACATTAAATATTTGGTTTCGATTATCATTTATCCATAAATATCCTTACAATCTATAATAGTATAAGTGCAGTATTGTTTAATTGTAGTGGTTTTGCATGCTGAAGTATTTTTATATATTCTTTTAGTTAATGAATTTATTATAAGTTAATAAATATGCTGATAATGAATTCCAGCATAAGACGATGAAAGGATTACAATACGTTTTAATTGTTTTAATATCGATGTATAATAAGTTTCGATTTATAGTTCCTACCAGGTCTATTCTTTTTTCTGCCTCTGTAAGTTTTACTATTGATAACAATATTAAGTAATCATTTATTTCTTGTTAAATTCTTCGACTTTCACGTAAAAAAACTTATATTGTAAAATAACTTTTTTAACAAAATAAAAAGTCTTAATATCATTAGTTTTCAACTAGCCATATAAATGTTGTATGAAACTCCTTTTGTTTATCATTGCAATCTATTGTCGATTGGAGCTGTTTTATTACCAGTTAAATAGATGACACTAAATCAGGATAAAAGAATGTTGCAACAACAATGATCTAAAACATTTTATCATAAATGAGTTAACGATTTAGAACGCTAAAGTCTGCATCAAATACTAACTTTTCCAAAGATATCGCAAAATTATTTCAGCCCCATTTTGATACTGTAGTAAAACTTCGAAGACTGTCAGATATTCAGTGATAAAAAATTACTATGTAAAATTGAATGTGTGTAGTTCATAATGATATAAAAATGAAATTAAGTTTATGAATATTGATCACAAAAAAGCATTGAATTAGCAGGCCGATACAATCTTTACATTAAAATAATGTAGTTATTTGCTCAATCAGGAATATCATGATAAAATGTAAATTAATATTATAACTCTCCATAACAAAATTCATTAAAAAATGGAAATTATTTATTTAATAAGATATAGCTTATTGCAGAACATAATTCCTTATATTAATATAATTAATAATTTCTTGTAAATACGTCGAAAAAATATTATTACTCCTTATGTAAGTAGTTACAGATTATAACAGACTATAGTAGGGGGAGGGACGTATAAAACATTAAAAAATCATTGAAACTCACCCATATATAAATTATAATCTTCAAGAAGAGTTATTTTAAATTTCGATTAGATTCATGTGATACGAGATTAGTATGAATATATACTGTCTGAAATGTCGATTATCTTTTATCAATAATGTCTTTTTTTCTATTCTAACATATTAACCATCATCACATCAATTTTACAAATAATTATTAACAGTAGATAAGAATAAATGAATATTTCAATATTTAAAGTCTTATTTTAATTTTTATTTTAATTTACAAATAGGTACATAGGAGACTTTTAGCTCTAAGATTTAAATAATTTTTTAAATATTATAATAAATTAATTTTATTAATTTTAAATATTTGTAAATTATTTGTTAAATTTATTTGTTAATTGTTATTTTTAACACAATTGTTTCGATGACAATTGCAGAAATCCGAAAAATATCTAATCCAAAAGAAAATAAACTTTAATCAATATATAATTACTATTTTTTGTTATTATTATTATTTTAATAATTTGGGTTAACGTATTAAACGTATTGAAGATTTATCATAAAAATATTTATTATGTTATTTTATAGATATAAATAGTGACATGCACTAATAAATTTTGATAATTTGTTTGACAATTTGTTGAGGTTGGATTGAATTGAAAATAAAATAAAAATGAAGAAATAAAAAATTAATTAATAAAAAAAAGAATATTTCTCTTTAATAATTATTATTAATAATTATTGTATAGGCCACTTATCGAATAATAAATATTTAATAATTGTTAAAAATAAAAAATTTTTAATTTGAAATAAAAAATTGTTAATTTTATGTTATTAGAATACTATTTATTTATAAAAAATTTGAAAATAAAGTTTAAATCATTTTATATAAATATAAATGTTTTAGTTTTTTATATAACGTGTTAGATTCAAATTGATACATATTGTATTTTATTAATTATTATATTGATTCTACTTTGACTGATTATGATGGTATTTACAAAATTTTATTCTTTACTATTCTGAATTAAGATAACAATTTGAATTTATAAAATTTGAAATTATAGAAAAATGTTTAAAAAACACTTAAAATCAATCACCATTTCCTTCGTCATTATATTTGAAAAAAGTACAAAGGAATATTAGTATAATAAAAATCGTGACTGACCAATAACTAAATTGAATAAAAATAGATGAATTTAACTGTCGTTTATTAATCTTAGTTTTATATTCGATAGAGTATAATGAAAATGAATATACTGGAGCAAGTTTTATTTTATATTCCTTAAAACAATGGGTATCGAATGTATGAAAAGTTATCATCAAATTTTCTGCAATTATGAACTTGGCGGCAGCTTGATGACCATTGTGTTATATACACATATGAATGAATAGTATGTTTACATCTACGTTTTCAAACTGCGTAAGAGAACATATGTTCAAAAAGAAATAAGCACAGCTTTCTCAATACTTAAAGTAAAAACTTTAAAATCCTAATCAATTCTCGATCACTTCTGATTTAAAGAGGAGATAACTATTCTTTTATCTGGTAAAATATACTTAAAAGTATATAGATGTAATTTAAAATTACTTTAAATCTTATTTTAATATTTTTCTTGCAAATAATTATTTCAAAGAAATTGTGCAGTTTAAAAAAATGAATAAACAACTTATCGAGAGTAATGATTCATTTTTCAATTTAAAATTAAAAGATCTATGTAGAAAGAAGAGATTTAAAAAAATAACTTAAATAGTTATCAAATATTTAATCAGCAACAGGAATTTAAAAATAAAAATATTTATGTAGCATGTCAAGTTCAAGATGGATCTTAAAGTATAGTTAATTTTAAGCGAGTTTAGTTTTATTACTTTATTTGACACCTGAGTTTTACATAAAATCAAGTTTTGTATGTATTCTATTAATAAATAATATATTCTACAAATATTGATCATTTACGTTCTACTGATTCATAGGCAATGTTGACCATTCGAAAATAGATATTTTTAAATATTTTTCTGTAAGTAATAAGTAGTTTCCATAAGCTAAATAATTGAATATATTTAAAAGATTTATTTTTCGAAAATTATAAACATAGAAAGTAAAAAATCAATCATACACATGCATACTTTACAATTTTTTAAATTTTCCATACAACAATTAATTCTGGTACTGACCAAATGACAAATATAAATTTAAAAAAAAATTTTTTTCAGTTTTATAATATCATCCGTTATTAATTTTTTTTTAATATGGTAAATATATATACATTTATTTAAATATATTTATATAGTAAAATAAAATATGGTAAATGTAAACAAATTTAATAGCAATATTGTTTATCAAAAAAGATTCATTATAGTATCTTTATAAAATTCGATTGATAATACAGGACTAAAATTTTAAAAATATAAAATTTATCTTGTATGTAGACTTCAGTCTTTACATTTCAAATAAAAGAATAAAAAAATTACACGTTCAATTTTTATGTTAAAAAGAAACACAGGATTAACTAAAAAAAAATAATTCTATTTTAAATATGCTAACATTGAAGTTTATAATATTTCTAATTATTTCATTTGTAATATATAAAATATTAATTTTTACCTTCATTTGTATATACATACATACATATATATATATATATATATATATATATAATTTTGTAATAAAATCCATTTGTTTCTTTTTAAATAATGTCTGATAAATAATTTGCTTTGCTTTAGCATGTATTTATTTATAGTAACACAATATTATAAAATATATTATAAAGTTTTTTTAATACTAACCTATGTTTCGAGCCAGGACTGATGAGCTTATGCATAACCATGCTAGAACGAAGTCTTGGAAAAAAATTTTCCATCGATCTTTCCGAGATTCCATGATATCTTTGAATTTTTGACTATAGCTATGAAAATTATTTCCAATATTAGATATGATTTTTAATTTTGGTTAAATAAAATATCAATGATATATAAATAAATGAATCATAGGAGTTTCTACTTATACTTACTTAAATAAGAAAATTGTATAATATATTTATATTATAAAATATATTATAATGCTATAATAATTAATTTTTTTTTAATTTTAATAACAAATATTAGAAAAACTTAGTTATAAGAAAATAATTTTAAAAAGTACAAGTACAAAATTTATATAATAGTACTTATACTAATAACATCATATATTATTTACTCTTTATCAGTTTAATCTTTGAATAATTCATAACTTTACAATGAGATCATATCATTTTAATTAAAATCACATTTATTGACTTAACAAATACAAGAATAAAACAATTAAGACACTATGTCAATAAATTTTGTGTATATTCAAATAAACTTTAATAAAAATAGTTTCTTGTCTTTTACAGAAAATTATAAACATTGACTTTTCTAAATATAAACTTTGGATTTGAAGACAATAAAAATTATAAATTAAAAATCTAATCTATAACATATTCATACATTACATAAATAAATGTATATAATTGTTATAAAATATATCTATATGTAATTTATAATATTTATTAATTAATTAATATATTTCTTTAGTTATTATTATCACTGGATAACATTTTTTTTTTAAATTATAATATATATGTGTGATAAGGAATGCTTTTAATTAATATTAAAAAAATAAGAATATTCTAAAGAAAGAAAACTTTTAAAGATAAGAAAACTTTTTATAGATAATATTATTGAAAAATAACAAATAATTTATAATACAAAAAAATATATATTTGGATTATTGGTAGTAAATTATTTATTGAATTAAGCTTGGAAATATCTAATACATTCATAAATAAATAAAATCTGTAGAAATTTAAGAATCAGTATATAATAATCAAATAATTTATATTGATTTATTCTTGAACTTATTGTTACTAAATTAAATTAAAAATTATATATAACATTTTTTTAATATTATTTTATATAGTACTATATTTATAAATTTAATAAATAACATATTTACTTTATGTATTATTACAAAAAAATATTTTATTACACTAAATCCTTGTATGTAAATATTGTTACTTATATAAGGAGAATTCTATAAAATATATTCTATATCATATAAAAGAGAAATATTATTATAAATATTCAGTAACAATGTAATCAAACTTAATTATGTTAATGGTGACTTAACTAATACATTATAAAAACCAGTTTATATGTCAATAGTTTAATGCATATCAAATGGTCAAATATATAAATATAAAAATATAAAATTTGTAAACTTTTATTCCATCTGCGATAAATATTATTTAATATCTAAATATATTTGTAATAAAATTAATGAACAAATAATTGATTAATTGATATTAAAAATTAAGACTTAATTTTATATTATGTCATAATATATATATTTTTCATGTTTATAAAATGAAATTATAAGTAAACTATTTCACTATTAAATTAAATGCATTGAATCTATTTATATATATTCATGAATTGCAATTAATAATTTTTAATTATAAGTATATTTTACATATACATATATAATAAAAATAAATAGTGATATGAGATTAATTATTCATGGGTTATAAAAGCGAATGTAATTTTATTGTAATTAATAATAAAAATATATAAATACTATGATAATTATACAATTATTATATTATAATATATTATATATTTGTTCAATTAAATATTTGTTAGTTATTTTATATTTCTCGTTTTTTTCTTCCTTCTGCTTTTTAAAGAATTGTAAAAGAAACTGATTCAAAATTAATCAAAATACATATTTGTACAATTGATTATTATTAAATATTTTTTATAAAATAAGTACTTCTGTGCATGCACTTTTCGGTATTGAAGTACTGGAACAAAATTTATTATATTTATAATATTTTAAAGTCTTATAATCTTATCATTTAATTGAAATTAAGATATATATAAAAATATTAAATTAAAGAATAAGTTATTGAAATGTTATAACCCTTTCTCTTATGATTTATATAACTATAAATTGAAATATTTTTAAAAACAAATTGTAATTGGATGTAATTATTTCTAAATGTAAACATTTTTTTACGACAATTTAAAAATACTTTTAATTTGATATACTTTAAAAAATAATAAATTTAAAAATATATTATCAATTGAAATTATAAATAATTAAATAATTAATCACTTATTAGATTTAGACTTGAAACTAAATTACTGTAAAATTACAATTTTATATATTTATTTTTATTTATACATTTTTCACTCATTTTTAGTAGGATAATCTAAAAAGTATATCAACACAAACAAATAAAATATATAAAATACAATGTTTTTTTATATCTTTATCAATACAAAATTTTATACAAATTTTATTTATTCAAGAATAGAAGAAATTTTGTATAAAAAAAAAGAACTACAACTTAAGAATATTTATATAATGTATATAGGGGGGAGAGTTAATATGTATGTATATATGCATGCATAAGTTAAAAATAAAAAATATATTTCAAATATATCTTAATTTTTCAATCATACAAGAGACAAACATTATATATATTATATTAAGTATAAGACACTTACAAGTTGAATATATAAATACATTGATGTCACATACATTTTCACAAACTAAGTCAATTAATTTTCGTAGACTTATACTTTTGCACAATTTATATTTATTTTATGTAATTACAAATGAAATTTATTATTTTGTATTTATTACATATAAATAAAATCGATTGTAATTAGAATAGTAAATTTACACCAAAATTATTATAAAAACAACTTGAAATTAATTAATCACATCACCACATATTTAAAATAAAAAATTTTTTTAACAAAATGTGTTAGAATTAATTTTTGTTAAATAGAAAAGTAGATACACAAACATGAACTAATAAAAACACTCCTAAATGAACACTTACACTATAAAATTGATTTAGCCTCCATCACTAATATAATAGGAGATACATAAGCAAATTTATTCAATGACTTAACTTTACACTTAAGCACTCAAATCAATTGAATTTCAATACAAATATTTTAAGAAATGATAACATAATTAAATAAAAAAGTTAATAATAAAAAATTATAAATAAAAACATTCAAATTTGTAAATGCAACTACTTTGAATTATCAACTACGAAAAAAACTCGACATACACCTTTCAACGTCAATTGTGAAACTGAGCATCATGAGCAAAATGAAACGGCGTCCCCTTCCCCCACCTTGGCAAATTGGCACATACGGCAATAAACGTGCTAACAAAGTATAATTTTTCTTTTGAACATCAGATGTCACTTTTGAAGTTAAAATGTTACACGCTACAGGAATTAAATAAAACTTGGTTGAAAGCTTCCTGGATATATTTTTATATAATATGAAAAATAATTTTCATAAACAATTTAGTGATATATTAAATCAAAGAAAGTATACAGTGCAACCATTTAAGGCATGCGCAATCGAAGTTTAATTTTATTGGCTGAATAAAGTAATCAGTAAGAAGTTTTATTATTATATATATATATATATAAATCTATCATATCTAAAAAATATAAAAATATAAAAATAAAGAATACAAAAAGTACATGGCATATGTAAAAATATTTAAATACTGTTAATTAAATTTTTTTTAAATACATAAAAAATATATTTACTTTAAATATCAACTCCAATGTAAAACTTAAAAATAATGAATAAATTTTTTTTAATTTTTGATTTCCCGTAAATAAAAAATATGTTGTTTACTTTTAAAATTAAAACTTTGTATCGAAATTGAGCGCATTTCTAATAACCAATAAGCATAGACCACCTTGAACATACCTCAAATTCTATGCTATCTTTCATATACAATCTTTAAATGAATTGTATATATTTCGACAATTGGCCTTCGTATGCACATTATATAAGTTAAAAAATGTAAATTAATATTTATCTAAACCATATTAAATATATAATTCATGTTAATAATAGTTCATGTTATTACTTAAAATACGCAAATTTAAAAATAATAATAATTAGATTTTTCTTTCAAAAATATTTTATCTTATATATACATCTATATAATTTATATTAGCTTTTGTAGATTTAGATATCCTTATACTTCATAGTTTAATAAACACCAACGAATTGAGATCGTTATTCTACATTTAAGAATGAGAATTATTTTAAATTTTAACCTTGAAAAATTTAAAATAATTCGTAATAAAATTAAGTTTTTAGATGTCATTATAAAATAACTTAAAGAACAATATCAACATTTAAATAAACATATAATTATTGCAAAAAATCTAACAACAATGTCAAATTATTTAAGAATTATAAACAAAATTTAGAAAAATATATTTAAAAATAAAATTTTACAATTTCTATGGTTTAATTATATATTAGGAAGTCATATAATTGTTGAATAATTGAAAAACAAAGCAGAGATTATATCTAAAAATTATCTAATATAGTAAAGTAAAATTATCGTAATAAATATGTATTAGAATATTATGTTTTTATTCTTATTGCAAGATTTTTAAAACAAAATAAAAGAACATAAAAAAGTATCATTGGATTGACCAATTTTACAAATTATTATCAGACTTTAGGATATTTAGAAACATAAAATTAAATATTTTTATTTTTATTAATAGAATCGATAGCTATTAATTGTTTTTAAATTAATTTTAATTATTAATGAAAGTACTTTAAGAATTTAATTATTAGTAATTGATATAATTTAAGTACTAGTAATAACAGGTACTTTAAATATTTATGAATTTCTTTTGTGTAAATATTTAAAATATTTGTACAGGAATAAGTCACGGTTTTAATTATAATTATTACTCAGATCATTGACAAAATAAGTATTTGAATAATTGATCAACAGAATCATTAATGTACTATGCACCCATTACTATTAATTTATAACAAATATTTTCTACTGCTTTATTTCTATTTGCTTGATTTGTTAATGTTAATTTGATACTAAATCTTTGCTTACTTATATTAATAACAGGATCTGCTAGTTTACTAGGTAATCAGATAGAATGTTTTGATTATACTAAATAAAGTTTGTGCTATAATATTCACATATATATAAACATAATCTGAATTCTACAGATTTTTATAAATGCAAAATATGGTTAATTTATAAATAACAGTATAATATTTTTTACATATTTATAAGTTGTTAATATATTATATTTGTTATTAATTTAAATTAACAAATTCAATTTTATTTAAATGTGATTCAATGCAACTATGCGATTCTTCAATAAATTCTTTTGACAATTTATAATACTCAACGCGATATTTTATAAATTTTATTATTTAATTTAATATTCAATAATATATTTATCAGTAAATTGAATTTTAATATTATAGTGAATTATTTCAAATATACTTTTCATATTTTTGGAAAAAACATTACAATCTTACTCACAGATACTTCCAAGATAATTTTTATTTTTTATTCTAGTATTTGATTCTAAAATATTTGAAAAAGAAAAATAATAAAAGCAATACATTTTCTGTACTTTCATTTGCTCATTTTCATCTTCTATTGATTTTTTTTCCTTTTTTTTAAACATATTTCGATTCATATGTAACAAAGTAATTTTTACTAGTTTAATATACTAGGCTACTATTACTTCAATGATCTTTATCAAAATCAGTTAAGAATACCTATTCAAGATTGTGAGACCTTTTTTCAATGCAATATAATATCTGCAAAATAACATCGTAAAATTTGTGTTTAGATTTCAAAACATTCTTGCTCGCAACTATCTAGCAATAGTGTCATAAAACATCTGAAAAAACAATACAATAAATACGGAAAAATCCACTTAGTTAGACATCTGTACGAATTCGTTCCGCTCGGTAATTACTTCAAGCATTATTGGGAGCGGACCTACTCCTCCCTTCCCGCTGCCAACAAGTTGTTATGCTGTCGCCAGATGCGTCAATAGCAACGAGAACTCTTCTTGCCATGAAGACCAAGAGACGACTAAGGCCTTAATTAACTATAAGTCCACAAGTGGCGCTGCCCTCGCTCTGTAAGGGAGGAGTATCTGATTGGACGAAAAATAAGGGAAGGGGTTCAAGTGAAGCTCATGGTCAACAAATGTATTTAAGGGGCGCATTTTTCAATATTCATCACTCTCGATATAGTACGCTCTTGATATAGTTCACTCTCGATAATTTCTTATTCAAATAAGTGTCAAGTGGACGTCCATTAACGCTGCCAAGGGAACTGTGATCACACGTCCTAGAAGAACGACGACATACACCCGTATATCCATTAACGCAGTTCAAGAAACCGTTTTTACATGTTCAAAGGAGCGACGACTTCCACTTATCGGATTGTCCATTAACGCTGTCAAGGGAACAGTGCTTTCACGTCCTAGAGGAGCGACGACAATCCGCATATCAGAGTCCGGAGACGAGTCAACGATTAGTCTTCGTAAGTGGTATTATCACTACACAATTACATACTCTGAGATTCAGATATTATGACATCGACAAGCAACTAAGGATGAAGAACTGCGAATTCTGCGATCAAATTCAATCATCACGCTACAACCATAACCTCAACTACGCACGCGGTCATTCAAACAGCGCGAGTGTCGACGAATCAAACTTCGCGCCATTCTGCGATCAAATTCAATCATCACGCTACAACCATAACCTCAACTACGCACGCGGTCATTCAAACAGCGCGAGTGTCGACGAATCAAACTTCGCGCCATTCTGCGATCAAATTCAACCACTACGCTGCATAGATGAGTGCACATTAATCCACTACGAGAAGTATTTCCATAATTAATAATAGTAATACTAGTTAACCTCGTTATCAATAAATAACAGAATAAACAGCATATACATCAGCCATATTTATATTGTATTATTATAATATCCCTTCCACTTGTGACCTTTCATCGCTACCACACAACACCCGTGGTCTCTGAGTTGTCAACGGCATCAATTTGTATCCTTTGAATCGGCCTTGGTAAAACAAGCCGGAGTGGCGAATACATTTTGTACAATACCAGTATAGTCAAATAAAAAGACCAATAATTTATGTTCAATTTTAAGTTTACGGTACATAAGATATGTTAAAATTATTAATTTACGAAATAATATAAAGTTTTAATATTTATACATAAATTAGATAGTATTACGAATAGGAATAGATGTGCACCCAATTCTTCATGAAATAAATTATAATAACAAAATCCACAAATTTTTATCACCGGATTCTGCGGTATATACAACTGGACACATAAAAGTGCCTTGCAGTGATCAATAAAAGCAGAAAAATTACAATAATAAAAATTAACTTAATAATAATTGTTAAACATCGAATTTACGTGGAACCTAATAAAATAATATTGATAATATTGTACACCTTTAAAAAGATGTGAGGTTTAGCAATTATATATTGTAAGATTAATACATGAAATAACACTGTTATATTTTAATATTAAAAGGATATATATTTAAAAGTTCAAAAAATCAATAATATGAATTGGAGAGTTGATAATAAACATTGATGCACGTCATTCTTATAATTTTATATTAATAAATCTATCGCTATTTTAGCTATATAACCGACTTACCTTAACTACAAATGCTCATTGATACTGCTTTAGTAGGTACGTGTTCGAGATTCAGAGAATCTCTCGAATGTTATCATTTCAGAAAAAATCTCAACGGCTACCATTTAAAAAAAATTACAACGCTTATAATTTCAAGGAAATTATTCAACGGTCATAACTTGTAAGAAAATTCTCCAACGGTCGTTGGAGATTCGGAAAAGTCGGGATATCCGAAATGAGTGCACAATCACCCCATTTTTTCTCGCAGCACAGTCGAACCCATTGTTCTAGCGCTATGATCGGCCCCTTTGTCTTCAGCTAACAGCCGCGTAGATATTTAAGGCAAGCGCAAAATGAGAAAAGTGCTGTTCTCAGTCACGAACTAGTCGATCAAGGCACTACTCAGTCATGAGCCAGTCAACAAGAATCAATCAGCCAAACCGAGTCAAGAGAAGCAGTTGCAAGCTATTCCAATAATATTGCGGCTATTACATACACTCTCAATAGAGTCGCTACGGAAGGCCCTTCTTATACTAAGTAAAGTATATTAGTACTATTATTAGTATTATGAATTCTATTTAACAACTTATACTATTTATTCATTATTCATTGTATTAATCGAATTCCGAAAGATTAAATTAACTTATTAGTATTATTTAATGTATATCTTAAATCACATAGTAGTCATTTTCTTTATAAATTCAATTGAATAAATTAATTTGAAAACCAATATTAAGATGGATAAAAATCAACTCTTAATGTTTGTTACTGCAATTTGTAAAAACTTTAGAATAAACAAATTTTGAAGAGAACTAAATTTCTTTATTTCAAACTTCAACGCAAACATTTTACTCTTTATACATATATTAAATTTTATTTCAATTCATTATTTTCTATTTATGTTAATTGGATACTAGTTTTACAAACAGAATCAAAATTATGGCCAAATTAAACTCTGTAATTTATCAAGCTACACATTTCAGATACAAGATTAAGTTTAATCGTGGCGATAAATGAAAATTTCTTTTTTATACTTTTCATTATGCAAAGGTTACTGTAGATAATATGAATCGTTTAATCAGTTTTATTCATATTTATATTTCAATGTTATATTTGAATAATATCTAATAAATTAAACATTTTTACATATACTTTGTTTCTACATTAATTAAGATAAATACATTTTTTTCAATATCAAATCTAACCTGTTCGATTTTAAATTTGAATACAAAATTTATTGAATGTGATACTGTGAAGTTATAAATTATTATTACACAAAAAAATTGAACTTACATTTGTCAGTGCTTATTTTTTTTTACTTTCACTTAAAATTTGAAAACTGTTAAATAAGACCATTATATATTCATAGTAAAAATAATTATAACATATTGTATTTTATTTTAATTATTTGTTTATTTTTAAAATTATTACAAGTATTAAGCAAAAATTATTGTTGTTGATACATTTAATATTTACTATAATTATATCTTCAGTATATGAAACAGTTTGTAAGTAGATATAAAATGTTTTTTTCACGTGAATATTTATGGCACGTCAGTCTTATTAATCGTAATTTTCTATTAATTATAAATTACTATATTTTTATTAGTAATATGTTTCATAAATCTACAATATATTTTATTCTATCGTTATTATTGTAACATTTCCTTATATTTCTGTTTATGCTTACTTAACATTTCAGTAACTGTAACAAGTTGTTTAATAGTTGCCTGTAACAAAGAAATAGTAATTATACAATTGCCATGAAATACATACAAATAAAAAAATGTATTAATTAAATATATAAATCAATTAAAATTATACTTCTTTACATGAGTAAATAATATACCTATTACTCGTTTATAGACATCTATAATTAGTATGCAATATATATTGACATTGACTTTATAGATTCCTGAAAATGCCATACGAAGTAGAAGTTAAGTAATATGAATAAGAAAAAGAAAGAGGCTAATAGTGAATATGCAACTCGAAGAAATATTGAATTTCAGGAAACTGGTACTATATTAAAATTTATTAAAATAAATGAAATAAAAACGTACAAATATTTAGAAAAATGATACTAAAAATTTAAAAAATCAAAGGATTTTTCAATAATAAATGTGAAAAATTGATGTGTCTTTATATATTCCTTAAATATAAATTTTGCATGAAATATATAATAAATGCAATTCATATTATAAATTATAAATATTTAAGTGATATACGCATACTTTTTAGTGACATAACAATATGAAATAATAACAATTAGAAATAAAAAATTGAATAAATCTAAAAAATAAAATAACCAAACTACAAAGTACTAATTAATAAAGAAACGCAAAGATACATAAAATAAATAAAAATATCAATGTTTGTATAAAATATGATCAGCATCAGCAGAATTTATAAAAGAAGTAATACAAAAATTACAGAAAGTATTAATTTATTTAATATATATGTGTAAAGCTTACAAAAAAAATTAATTGAATAATATTTAAATATATAAAATTGTATCGGGCATTTTGTATGTATTAATAATTAATCATATTACAAGCTACATTGTTTCGTCAGACAATCATCGTTGTTGAAAAAGTAATTTGTTAAAAGTACATTCATATAATTATGTAAATACTAATAACAAACAAATTAAGATATACACAATCTTATTAATTTTTTTTAATTGAATAATTTTGTCCTGTACAACTTATTCATAATTTTATGTATTTAAATTTTTCTGAAGTATTTATATAATTAAATATATTTATCAAAAATAATAAAAAAAAGTACCTGCTGTTTCGATAAAATCTGCAATTCTTTCAAATGTAATACACAAATATGATGCAAGTTAGCAAGATCTTTTGCTATATCCGATATGGATTTATTTCGAGAAACAATATTATCAGGTTCTGGTCTATCTGAAACATTCTACAGAATATAGGGCTTATTCATTTATATTAGATTAAATTTAATCCATTACTTTAATTCAAATGAACATTTTATTTAAACGTACCGATATTAAAATTAAAAATTATAAAAAATGATAAATGTGCATATCATTGTATATACGTGTATATATATATATATATATATATATATATATATATATATAATTGAGATACATTTATAAAATAATTAAGCTACATCGATCAAGATTAAATTTGTATTGAAGAAATTCTATTATAAATATTATTTTGTGCCTAATAAATATGCTTTCATATAGTTTTTTATTAAAATTAAAATAATAAACTTTGAGATAATATTTGTGCATACTTCAAACAAAATATTTATGAAAATATAACACCAATACGATTTTAAATAGAATTGTCAACTAACAAGCAATTTTTGTCATACCATATGTCTAAATAAATTTAAATATTACTGTTCGAGATCGAAACCAGTTTCAAGACCGCCGATTGTCGGCATCGCTTTTAGATAGCATATTGGTATATATTGTGACGACGACACGTGACCACATATTCGGCAACCAACCTAAAAATACAAGTGCGTTAAAAATAAAAAGAAATCTGTCGCCAGTTTACAAGGTACATCTTCTTATATTATTAAATAAGCTAGTCACATACAAGCAAAATCACGCTTCAGAAATCTGCCTTTAAAGAATAGACTGAGAAAGAGTACGCTCGATCGAACTAACACTTCGACAACGTACAGGCCCACAAAGAGTCGATAAGAAAACAGTACGCTCTGTCGAACTAACACTTCGAACACCGTACAGCCCCTCAAATAGTCGACACAAGTGACGCAATACATCAATTACATTGTCAAGGCCAGACAACATGTAGACAAATAAATTACTATAAATAGATTTTCATTCAGTCCTTCAAAGTTCAAAGGCTTGTCATTTATGATTCTTGCGTGTGACTAGTACTTTCTACTACTCCCATTATAAATAAAGACATAATTGATTACGCACCAATTTCCATAAACATCTTACATCATATCAAATATTCCATACATCAAGCATACTTGATGCAAACACCATCTTCTCATGCTACCTCATGAGCATGATTGAATACACCGGCTGATATTTGCAACATCAGCATAACCTCAATTACAAGATACACAGTAATAATATCCATAGAATCTACGATAATCAAGAAAGCAAGGAAACACCGTCACTACTACAATAGAATAATTTTCTCTCTGAACAACAGTGCAATATTATTATAATATTTAACAAATAATAAACATTGTTTTACTAAACATGCATAATACATAATATTTTTGAGCCCTTCCACTTATTATTTCCTCTTAAGTTATCACGACGAGAGACTAATCCACTGAACTATTGAATTAGCAGTTCGAGTCATAAAACAAACCTTCAATAATCGATCAATTACAAATCCTCAAAAAGTAAATTTTGGGAAATGTTTAATTATATAAATAGCGATACGTATAATGTCGGTAATAGGTGTAATAAGGATTCTGCAACATGACAATCGTATAAACTATATTCATAAATTAAGTATCTATGAATGAAACTAAGGAAAATTAAAAAGCTATGGACAATAGAAAACGAATTTAGATACAGAATTTAGAAATACATTTAGAAAATTACGTATTAGTAAAAATTTAATATTTAAATGAAGGTAATTTAAAAATGAATGCAATATAATATGCATTACTTCATATTCTAGGAAAATCTCTATTTACAACGAATAAATAAATAAAGTAATTATACTAAGAAAAAGTTTCCATACATTCAAATTAATACAAAAACAATACTAAATTTTAATATTTAAACCTTTTTACAGTTTCAGATATAATATGTTACTATTCATATATTACTGTAAATTCATAAGAATTCAAAGAAACATAAAAACATTAATAGTTATTAATTGAATTCACAAGTTAATTAAAGTCAAAATTATGATTTATTCTTCGTTCTTTGTGTTAAATACAATACTGTTTTAAAAGCTCTAATATGTGAATGAAATGAAAGTATTTCCGTATATATTAGATAATAATAAAAAGTTGATATTTTTATAAACAGAACTCTTTTCAATGAAAATAAGCCTTGTTTAGATTAAAAAAATCTAGTACTGAACATGTTTTAGTTTGGTTTAAAAATTCTCATAGGGTCTATCTTATATATAAGAAACTGATGCCGAAAATTAATTTAAAAAATAATATTAATTTTTTTAACGTTCATTTACAATTTTTTTTTTCAAATTTGTATTATTGATTCTGATTAACAATATAATTTTATTTTATTTTAATCAAACGTTAAATATATTAAATATAAAATTATTATTTTAAACTTTTTAATTGTGAATTTCTTAATCGTTAAAAAATCAATATCTTACAGTTTAAAAATTATTTAAATTGATATTTGTTTATAAATTTGAATATACAATAAATGTTATACTAAATTGTTTTGAAATTTATGATTCTCGGTAAACATTAAAGTCTTTGCTTAAGAAAGCCTTACAATTTATCCGCATAGCAACTAAAGAAGATTCTCGAACCAACTAAAGCTCACTTTCCGAGAATTGACAGAATTTCCCAGAATTGTAAGCTCTAAATCTACACAACCATATATAAAAAGCAGCGTACGTCGAAACAAATTAGTCTTGTTGAGTAAGTCAAAGTGAAATAGTGCAAGTCACATCCAGCAAAAGTTCTACACGTCTGTCTATAGGAATCCATGCAAGGTATACTTCTTTGATTACATAATTTATTGCTGACCAGCTGTCGATGCGCCTTCCACAAGTTAACTATTGTCAGACCGCATTGAGGGCGTCGGTATAATCTGGCAACAACAGGAATCTATTTATCATTTATTGTTATTACCAAATATCGCCGACATTATCGGTCAGACCTCTGCAACTTGATTCCTATCAGAATGCAGAAAAGGGCGCCGATACTGTCCGGTAACTCGGGATAGACTATCGTCACTGCGACGCAACATCGGCATTATCAGCCAGGCGTCTGCAACTTGATTATTAACAGACCGCTGAAGAGGTCACTGACATTGACCAGATAGTCCCCACATTTCATATCGCCAATTAGAGCGCCCATGGCCACGCGTCTTGCGACTTCTCCTTCGGGAATTACTGGTACATTTCGCTAATACAATTAAGCGCATTCAGTACAAATAGTCCAGTCTCATCTTGCACACCCGGACGACGCCCTGCAGTTTATCAGAATCACGACAAGCTCAACAATTCTTACACCGACTAGTAACACCAAAGATCTACTGTAACATAACCTTAAATAAAAGTAACTAAATCTAATTGTGTTATACTGAATTGATGCATTAACCTCTCACTCATCCCCCCTTTTTTCCACCATTAAACAGGTGGTACTGTCTAAACCAACCACCTTGGTATTCTAACCATCCGGGTGGCTAGAATTCCAAACACTAATATAATCTAAGATATCTTAATATTATTTCGTACACTGTAGAATAAATGATAATTTTCATTGCTATCAAGTTATTAAAAATGTTATTACAATCCTTTCATACAAGATCAATACACATATACGTAAAACATGTTTGACGATATACGTATATAGCATTACCATGTAAATGCAACAAATATTATCAAATATTATAATATATATTAGTTTCCACCATTTTAGGTTTCAAATTTCGGTCATTACTAATAACGTTGAATGAGTAGCGATTAGCACATAGCAATATAAAATATATAAGACAAATATCGGTCTGATAGGCTCTAATGTTAAAATGTTCAAAATAAGAAATCGGCAATTTTAATTAAATCTATTATGCTAAATCATCTAAAAGTTTTATATTTCGTTCTATTGTAAATAAGAAATTAATTTTTTTTCGACCACAACAAATGTTAAGTTTTTCTTTTCATGTTTGTGCATTAGTAAAACTATATATTTGTAACACAAAATAAAGTATTTAATATTTTATGTACAATATGTATATTATATAATTAAATTTTTGTTCAAAATTATTTTCATGATTATATGTAATAAAATAATACAAAAAACGGTTTCAAATTCATTTTAATTGAAATAAACATTATGAAATTACAGTATTATTATCTTACCGATAATTGATCAAGAAATACTACCATTCTTTCTTTATTTTTTAATATAAATGGATTAACAACCTCCATATACGGTTCTTTTCCTCCAAATTCTATAAGGTTAGCTAAATTTTGTAAACATTTAGCTACCATAACTAAAGATCTGTAAAATAAGATGGTATTAAATAATTGTAGCTTTACCAAAACAACTTGTACTATTTTAAAAATAAAAAATTGAAATATTTGTTATAAATTTTATACACTTAATAACAATGAATTTATATTGATAGTTGTAGGAAATTCTGTCTATTATAAATATAAGCGATATTGACATTTATTTCCTTATCCTACTAAGTATACTATTTAGTATTATTTATCATTTTAAACGTAGTTGAAATATTTTGGGTATGAAATAAAGGTATAGTTATAAATGGTATAGTTTGAAATATGTATTATCAAATTAATGAGACGTAATAGTAACTCCGAGTTCGTCATTAGTACTTATTAGCTGCTTATTGAATTTTGTAATAATTTTTTGATAACTTTAATTTATATCTCGAAACCTTAAATTTATGTTTTTCTCTGATAAAATAATTAAATTATACCAAGACACTGTCGCAATAATATCTTGTAATTATTTAATCACCATAATTATTATGATTTATTTATCTTTAAAAATGTTTCGATATAAAAAGTACTTCTTATTCATCGTATTTCGATGATGCGTATTTATTTCGATGCACTATGATAGATCATTTTTGTTGAATCAACGTTTTTGAATTTTTCGTAATGGTAATACAAAAATTCTTATTCTTCATATTAGGTTATTTATTTCTCTAGCATTTGAAGCAGTGCATAATTAGTATAAAGTTCTATATTTGACACAATGACCAATCAAGAAACATATTAATTACTCTTATAACAAAGTAGAAATTTGAAAAACAGATTAACTTTTTTATAAACTATGATTTAGCATTTTACTTAGTTTTATTAAAACTGCATAGAAACTGCAATCATTACATATTTTAACTTTTAAAGTGATCACAATTTTCTAATTTGCCTTATTTTAACTATCTTTTGGCACTTTTGGATGTGTTGTGGATTTCTTGTACAATATTGTTTTTTATTTTTAATATCGCGTTATTCTTGATATTTGATTTATTTTAATTCATTTTTATAATTATCCAAATTATGGTATATTTTGACTTATTCATTTAAAATTCTAGCTCTCGAATTTTTGTAAACATTTGATTCTCGGAATTCTCGAACATTCTAAAGCTTAACTTTCGAATACCCTATAATTTTTTCCGCATAGAAACTCCTATGCATTGTTGCCAGCTAAGTAAGCTGCCGCGTGGATATTTAAAGCAAGCACATAAGACAAAGGATAGTAGATTTTCAGTCATTGACTTCAGTCATTCAGTCATGCTATTAATCCATGACAGCTATTGACCACAACAGTCGGAAGACGCGTCAATTCTCCTATGCTTCTCGATAAGGGTTTGACACTATCTGCGTCATATCAAGAGAATGTCATACTACAGCAATCACCACAGGATCTCTGTGAATGAAAACATCATCTTTGTGAGTGAAAGCAAGTCAAAGACATCTTAATTATTGCTAGTCCTTAGCTAGTACAAGACTAGCATGACGCTGTTATTAATAACACAAAACACGTTCACTAATAAGAAATGAGTATAATCATTGCTGATCCTTACAAGATCAACATCACCATCGTCAAGTAACATCTGATGTAGATAAACTATTCACCACATGAGCAGTTCCAAGCAACTGCATCATCGTGATTGAACATAGGATACATCTTTCCATCGCATAAATGCAACACATCAATAATATAATTGTAAATAAACCATAAAAAATAATATTTAACGATGAAGCACACACTGTATTTCTACAGCCATTCCACTCAACTCCTTCTCAAGCATCCGCTAGGGCGGGCGGCAATTATTATAAAGCTATTGAAACATTAGTAATTCGAGCCAGGAAATCAAACAGTTTCGAACAGAAGCATGACAATATAAAAACGTATTAATAATGAATTATACTATACAGAACAACCAATTTTTATATAAAGAGATGTTATTAACATACAACAGTATCATGACCGAAAGCTATATAAGCAATGATAAATACAACTAGAACCTTATATTAAAATATAATTTGTTAAAAATGAAAAACTAAACATTCAATTTAACAAATGTTTTTGTTTACACATAAAATATAATAAATTTCATAATAAATTTTGTATTATTTAAGATTATACAATTTAATCATAATTATCTTACCGAGTTGCTGCTGGAGAAGGCGATTCGGAAATAAGATTGAATGATTTTGGATTTAGTATTGCAGGACAAAGGAGACGTAAAAATATAAATCCACTAACTACTCTTGTTCTAACTAATCTTTCTTGAGGCCATTTAGACACCACAGCTCGTTGCAAACAAAAACAAATGTATCGTAAACTCTTTGAGCATACATCAGGACTTGTAAAAATACTTAAGGTTACCTCGTCCAAAACCTAAAAATTGTTATAATATATTATAGGGTTATATATATAACATATATTTTGGGTTATTATTAAAGGTAAAAATACAACATATTCTAAATAATTGAAATTCAATAATGGTAATCGTAGAAAATACTTCTCTAATATTTAATGAAATAATTTATTTACTAATTTATTTAATAATAAAAAGAATAAAAATTGTATACACAGCCCAACGCCAAAAAAGAAAAACCATCGATATGTAATAAGGATCCAAACTTACATCTTGATTTATATGCGTAAAATCAATAGATATATGAAAGATGCACTGATAATTTTACAACATACATTTTTTTCGTCAGAATATTAAATAATATCCAAAAAACTTTTTATTGTCTGTTGATATTTAAATTTTTGCATATGAATTTGTTCTGATTTTGAAATTAGAGCATCAATAATAATTTTTAATTCCTAAAATAAAATAATGTTTTTAATATGTAATTGAAATAAAAAATTGAAGAATCTACAAATTAATTTACATATTGTTTTACATACTCAAATATACGTTTTGTGTAATTACTTAAAGTTGCTGCACAACTTTTTAATACCTTATAAAACCGTAAAGCAATGCGACTACATATTGACAATTGCTTTTACAATATAAAACAGCTTAAAATAGTTTATTAAAATAATCATTTTTTTACTCGTTAATTAATTGAATGGTGACTTTCTGTAAACGTGTTTTTAAATTATTCATAATAAAAATTAATTTTTTATTAATGTTTGTTATTTATATGCAAGATTAAATTAAGAATATTTAATGAATCTGTATATTATATTATAACATGATCGACAGGAATCTCAACAAAAAATTATTTTTAAATTGGAGTTATATATATAATCGGCAAAAAGTATAGATGATAAATTTATGTAAAAATATAATTATGTGTATTTTATTATTATGTAGGAAAGCATCGTAATTACAATAAATAATAATATCAGGATTTGAAGATTATTAACAAACATTTTTATTCTTATATTATTATATTAGTTTTATATATGTTCAAAAGTTTGTATATTTGATCCGGTCGAAGGATCAAATGTATTTAATTTTCTGGCTCGAACTGCCAAGTTCAATAGGTCAGTTTATTTGTCACCCGACTTATCGATGCTTAGGAAAGGACATAAGAGGAAGGGCTGTAAATATGTACAGTGTGCGTAAACTTCGTTAAAACATCGTTTATTTGGTTTGGACAATTACGCTATTTTTGTTTTGTATTCACTTCTCGTGGTAGAGTGTTCTAGCACAATGATGTAGTTGCTCTTTGGTGATGGTGAGAATATCGTCGATGATGTTATGGGGGTCAGCAATGGATTTTGTATATTCCTTGAAGGGGAATATGGCTTGGTTTGAGATCTATGCTAACGTTGTAAACGTTAGCAAGAAGAGCCGACCATACTCATAAAGGGAGTATAGGATTATTTATGGTCTGTGCTAACGTTGTACGGATAGCAGGGAGAGCCGACCATACTCATAAAGGGAGTATGGGATTATTTATGATGGTAGTTATTCTCAATGAAGACTACTGGTTAACATTCGTGTGAAGGAGGGTCTGATACCATGGTTCGTGTGGTCAATTATTTCTTTGTATTGCAGTCAGTCCTTAACTGGTTGTTAACCGTTGCGCACTAGAGAATTGAACGCGTGTTCTTTGCCATGGCTGCACTGAGACAGCGTGGATTGTGTGACTTTCTTTCTGCTGTAAACTCCGGTTTATTAGCGTGGCTAGAACGAGTAACTGACTCGGAGGAATAACTGACACTGTGTAATGAGTAACTGCTGAGTGATAACTATGAGTCTTGATGGGCGCTTCCTTATCAGCGTGATATTATTAGTATCAGTGCGGCAGCTTAACTAGTTGGCAACAATACTTAGGTAGCTACTATGCGGAAACTAACCGGCTTGCAGAAGATTCGAGAATCTAAGCTTTGAGCTATTCGAGAATGCTGCTTCTCAAATTTTACAAACATTCGAGGACTAGTAGGCTTAGAAAACTTCCCAGAACCGAAGGCCTCCAAAAAAATGCTCCAATTCCGAACAATATAATTTACAATACTCATTACTTGTTTATAATAGTTTATGTTTACAAATAATTGAATATATAACAAGTACATAATTGTAGTATAAATATTAACAAGAAAAAATATAATTTAGATATTATTTCATTAATCAAAATAAACCATAAAATTATGTTCGATAAAATGCGAGTTTATTTAGTAAAAAACATGCGTTAAATGTAATATAAATTACCCAACAAACATAGAAGAATAAAACTGAATAATCATATTTTCATAAATATTATGTGTTTGCTTGACATATTCAATTCATCAGAATATCAAAATTATAAGTTTCACATATAAAAACTTGCAAAAAAAACTAATTGAAAAAATTGACAAATACTGTATATATGTATATTTAGATTAATTTATTCCTTTTATAATTTATTAGAATAATATTAAATGATATATGCTTACTTGTAATAAAAATTCCGCATTATTACATGCATCTTCGGGTGAATCCATTTTCGAAGGATTTAATTCACAACTCTGCTTAGTATCTATTAATTTAAGAACAGTATCTTGTAAAGCAGATTTCAAAAATGATGTACATACAGATTTCATATATAAATCCATAAGAGTCGTTGTTAAACTAGCTGCTCTGAATAATGTAGGTGTCTCTTCTTCTTTATCCACCTACAATAAAATAAATGAATTTCCTTTTATTAATTATATTATAAAAGTTGAAAATAAAAATTAATTTTAAATTGTACAATGATCAATAAAATTATATTTAAACTTGTTTTCATATACAATTAGATATGTAGTTTATGCAAACCAAAAAGGTAAAAACATTTGAAAATGAATTATTTTCCTGATCTAATATTTCTTTTTACATCTTCTTATTTTGTTTGTACTTTTTAATGAAAAGATCACTTTCTGATCGCAGCTAATGACATTTAAACTTTAAAACTACACCTCTTTAGTAGTTTCAAAATTATAATGAAACAATTTTACAGCGCCAATGAAGCTAAAAAATTAGTAAATAATATTAATCAACTTATATTTATTCATATATTTATGATAAAATATAAGAAAACAATAGTTTTTCCCTGTATTTATAAAAAATTTTCATATTACTAACAAAAAATTTCATATTCATACAAAGAGATATTAATAATAGTTAATAACAGTAAATATACCTCCAATAATAAAACTGAATAAAACTTAGTTATAAAATATACATTCTTTTTTTATTCTTATCTTATTATATCCTCAACTACTATATCTTGTTATTGCCCTAAAATGCAATATTAATGATTAAATTAATAAATAAAAATTTTTTTTATTAAATATTGTTAAATTTCATAAATGAAAGTGATCACAATACCATAGAAATAAAAGGGATTAAAAAATATATATAATCGTAATTTGTCATATAAGAAGTTTTTTAAAGCCAATAATTAATATTATAAAAATGTAAATTTACAATATCATAAGAATGGTAAATTAGCTTTTTAAAATATTTACTTGAATCCTTTAAAAATATTATTCGCAATATAAATGTTTTAAAATTAATAAAAAATACCACATATAGTATTTATAAATATAAAACCTATTGTCAAAGTAAATAATAAACAACAATTTACAGTAAAAATTTGTATTATGATAAAAATATTTAATATTCTAAAACGTTAAAAATTAGTTGTTTATATCCTATTTAAATTTGTAATTTATTACAATTTTATAATTTTCAAACTTAAAATGAAATATAAAAACCTTTAATAATTATAATTTAGTAATATTGACTTACTTCAGCTTGAGTTAATGTTTTTAAAAGATCTGCTTCTTTTCTTTCATGTCTGCAAGAAATACATATATTCATTATATATTAATTATGTACTGATGTTTGGTATATATATTGAATTTTAATAATACATATATTAATTCCATATCAATGTTTTGAAATAATTATTTATTCCCTATTACTGATGTACAAACTATTTTATTTAATATTAAATCAATTGTTTCAATACAATTACTAATTATAAAATTCAAACAAACGTTATTGTGACGTTAAACTTTTACATATGTTTACATATAATTCGATCTGTGTAGCATTTCAACCAAATTTATTTTCTCATCAAATTTAATATTCATTGAATAGTTTAAAACGAAGATAATTAACTTGAAATTCATAATTAATTATAAACATTTATGTTAATATAAATATTACAGTGTATATCGTAAAGAATTTTCTCTCTTTTTTACAATATATTTATATAAATAATATATTCTAAATATAGAATCCTATGTTTTATATTTTCGCCAAATCATTTAAAAATACTAATTAATATATGTAATTTTAATACTCATAATACGCATGAATGTTATTGAAATAAAATCTATATCATTTAAAATGGTTTTTATTTCTCCAGCTCTAAATGATCTTAAAATTTTGAATAAACCATATAATAAAAAAGAAATTACGTTATTTCAATATCAATAAGCGTTACAATGAAAATTTTATTAAAATTTTTTTAATATTCTTTAAATATTTATAAAATAATCTTCATTTATGTAATTACCTTTATAGTGCATATTACAATTAAATATACTTTACATATCTTATAAACCGTATTAATTAAAAATATACATTAATTATGCCGTTTTTTAAATTCTATTTTAAAGCATTTAGTACATAATACCTAACCTTGTAACGCGCTAAAATACATTAAATTCAATGTATATTTAATACACGGTGAATTTTGTCCAACCGGTAAGCTACTTTCATAAAAAACTTTTTTTAATTTGAAATATAATCTTATTTAATAATGGCCATAATATTGATATTTTCGTTATACATAATACTAAATGTAGATTATTTGCGAATCCTTTTATCCATTAATAATAAAAAAAACCAATCACAAGCTAGCAATTGTATCTTCTACAATCATCTTTAGGAACTATGACCACCAATTGTCTGGCGTATTAATTTAATATTTAACAAATCTGCTTTTCATGCTGCTTATTACGTTTTACTTTATAAACTACACTATAATCATTCTAAGTTGGTAATGAGAATCGTTGAGATCTTGCAGTTCCATGTTGGTTACCACGCATTGTTAGCATGCACTACATGCAGATGTAGAATGTCGTAAATCTCCGGATCGTCTTGACGTAGTGTGCTTCGTGGTAAATTATTACACCGAGAAGAGGTCGTAAATCAATTGACACTTCTTCGTGTAGTGCCACGTGGTGATAACTTGATTGTGGTCTCTTCCTTGAGAAAGTACTCGTTAGCACTGTGTATAACTCTACTTAGTATGAAACTGTTGCGAGCACCTTGTTCTGTGGAGCGTGTGCTCTTGGTGGCATCTAGTATGGGGAATGCTTGAGACGACTTCGTGCTAGATGTATTAGTATTGGAAAGGCCTGCGACTGTTTCTTGACGATCCACTGGAGAGTGAGTACGTTCGTTCTCTGCGGCGTCCATCGTAAGAGAGAGAGCGCCTCTTCCATAGCTTTTGTTAAGACAGACCATCTTCTGCGGAGTCCCCCGTAAGAGAGAGGATTTCTTCCATCTTGGACGACTCACTAGTGAGTGTGTGTCTTATGTTCATCTTCTTTAAATGCATTCCGCTGACCACGGCATCAACTTAACGACGCTTGCTTCCTTGGCGTCTTTACTTGAAGCGCCCTCGCTTACCTATCCAAGCAACAGTATGGCTACACTTGACAATAGTGGATGCGATTGTGTACCATTAGATTTGTATTTTGGGGTTTCATGACTATTTCCAGATGTCTAATGACCTGGGTTTTCCAGGTGTTTAACGATTTGTGTTTGCCGGATGTCTAATGACTTGGGTTTGCGAAATGTTTAACAACTTGGGAAGGGTTTTCGCAATTTCGAACAAATACATATCCTTTCATTATTATTTGCAAATGCAATTGAAACATTGATTGCAGTACAAACTATCGTACTTAATATAATCACAACGTTAATATTAAATATTTCAAACAACAAACATTATTTATAATTCATTTTATTAAACAATTATTCTAAAATAATCATTATTAAAAAAATTAAGGCTAATTCACTTATTTTAATTGAGACACTACAAATATTATATTAAAAAGATTATATTATAAAATTAAGAATTGTTATATTGTTATAAGACACTGTCATGTTTTTACCTTAATTTATAATCTCAATCTTGTTTATCAATTTGGATTTGGTAAAAACATTATAACTGAGCGATATGTATCATTAAAAAAGTAACAATCATTTTTATAAATATATATTTGTTAAAAGCAAATTTTTTATATACAAAACTAAATTTAGTGCCAAATACTTCATTTTTGTTTATTAATAACAAGTCCATTTTTTTACTAATTCTTTCAACAGTATTGATTATAATTTTAATTTTTCTAATTTTTAAAAATTCACCAATCAATTAGATAATCAAATTATTGATATCAATTTATATTAATGAATAATTTGTATATTATATACTTAATTTTTAGTTACTAAATAAAAAGAAAGTGATTTCCTTCCCTGAATGTGATTAAAAAATACACCAGTTGTCTAGTATTCAAGTACATTAATTGCATTATATATATCATACATTGTGTTCGAAATTGATGTAGTTTTCTCCGCTCGAACTGTCGTTACTTCAATAGATTAGTTTGCCGCCCGCCCTAGCAGATACTCGGGAAGGAGTTAAGTGGAAGGGCTATAGAAATGTCGTGAGTTTTGATGAATATATGATTTATTTACTATACAATTACATTTTTATTTATGACAATTACATTATTATTACAATTACATAATTATTTACTATACAATTACATATTGGTGTCTTGGAATTATCTTGAGTCTAATGTGAAGATGCGATTTCTTCTGTTCAGTGGATTACGCAAATACTTAGTCACTAGTTTTCACCAATAAGTAAGAGCTCTCTTCTGACTTGGCTTCCCTACGCAGACAGACCTTTCGAATTGGCTTTTCCACACAGACAGCCCTTTGCTGCTGGCCTCTCGCAATTAGTCTCCACTCAAGGATCTTCTGGTCTTAATTTTCCAATCAGGGTGCGCCGCTTTTCGGCGGTATGATCGAATGTGCACGCCTCTTTTCCCACTTCCGAAGAAATTAGGCTTAGATAATGACAATATTGAAAAGAGTGTCTTTGGCCGCAGCACCTTAATATGGAAGACTTACTCTTCTCCGGGAGTTAGCGACGGGGGGAGGGTGGTTCTTGGTCAGGCGTCTTCGCTTGGCCTATGCAAGCGGCAACATTTGGCGTACTTGAAAACAATGCATGCGTATGCCCTTGTGGCATTGAAGGCACGCGTGCGACACAGATTGCCGGACGTCGCACGAGCTGGTTTCTTCTTACAATGAATTTTAGGAAATGTTTTTCAACTCGATTGTTTTCAAATATTTTAACTCTCAAAATATTCTCGTGTAAACAGACTCGCCGCGTTTCCGCTGGTAAATAGCAATGGTCGTTTATTGCATTAAAAACAATGACTACGTCTGTAGCGCGAAGAATAATAGAAGTGGCTGGTTACGAGTATGTTCCAGATGTACTGACCTTTTCAAACCTCAAACGACTGTGGGAAAACTTTCTTAGATTTTATGTTCATTCGATATTTTCTGTGATACGTTCAATACATTCCATGTGTAATCATCAATTTATACATGTTTCATAATACTATCCATACATTATAATTTGATGCAAGATAAGATTTCCTAAAAATGAATTTCTATTATCTATCAAAACATAATAAAAATCCAAGATATTTGAAGTAATTTGTAACATATATAAAAATCTAATTAAAATTAAACAATAGTAAAATTTGTGTTGATATATTAAAAAATGGAATTAAGTTAATCGGACATTGATTTATAATCATAAGTATATAATCTATTAAATCTATTAAATACAATTAAGATTATGTCCAACGATTATAAATTTTAAAACAAAAATATGTTCATATTTGTTATTGAAAAAAAGAAATTGACTATCTTTTAAATAGATTTAATATCAGAGTAAATTTTAGTTTAGCACTCCAAATAATTTAATGAATAATGAGATAAGCATAAAATTAAATTATAAAATATTGATAAGGTATAAACCAAATATCAAAACTCAATTTTCACTTACCATTTGCAAAAACAATCAGTTCTATGTGCAGTTACATAATAAAGGAAGAGGCAATGAAATTAGATAAATTTTTTATTACGCATGTACGCTTTTTTGAATCCTAAATATAAAACCATAACTCTTATTTTTTATTGAAAATATAACTAATTATAACGTATGTTTCTCACACTATTTTTCACTATATTCTTTTTTTAAAACCGAATAAAAAAATTGCTGTAATCATATATTATGTAAATAAATATAGTTGATACGATAAATTTATTGCTTAACGTCTATTCAACCTCTCGATTGTAGTACCAATATTATATCATTTTCGTTTTCTCTTATTAATTATTTTATCTATATACAAGTACAGAAAAATAAAATAAAAGATTAACTATTAATTCATATTTTTTCGATAATCCTGATCTACATAACCTTATTGATATACACTTGTATATACTCTGTTGTGCCAATTCTTTGCTTACTAAACTTAAAAACTATACAATTACGATTTATTTGCCCATTGAAAAGATAACGATCAAATCAGATGTCGAATGTAATTTTTACTTCTGCATTATTTAAATCTCTTTCTTCCTTCTCTCTCTCTCTCTCTCTCTCTTTCTTTCTCAGAAGAAAAACTGCATCGTTTTACACTTTTTATCTTACAATTTATTTTGTCTAGATCAAGTACTTTATTTATTCCTCCACTTATTTAATGCTGAACTCTTCGATTGTAAATAGTATAAAGATTTTAGTAAGATGACACTCAAATATTTGCTTTAAATAAATTGATCTAAATTCTTATTAATATTTATAATTAACTAAATTTGTATCAGAATATTAAATATATTCACATAAAGTATTAACACTGATATGATTCTTCGTTCAATTACATCCAGTAATCTACATTATGACATATAATTTACTTAAAGTATATCTATGTCTAGCAATATATATACTAATGATGGATTTTATTATCGTTGCAACTTCATTGTTTGTATACCACTACCATTATGTTTAATTACAGATCCATTAATCTTTACATAAACTCGTAATTTGAAATATAATTCAATTCAGTTTATGTTTGACAGTTTTTATAATAAATAATATTAATTAATAAACCGTAGCATATACCTTATACATTATAAATGTGTCTTCAGCATAGTTGCAAATTTACTACCTTATATTTTTGTTGAATTTTCAGTTTTTATTTATTTGTTTTCAACTTTTCTACTATCCTGTAGCCGAAATAATAATATATACACACATATATATATATAATATTATTATTATACATATATAATAACACATAACAGATTAACTTTTTATAACTATAAATAACTATTCCTTGCATGTCTTTAATATCCACTGGTAATATTAAGGAAATTTTATAGTCTACAATTAAAAGTAGTTTTTATAATAATCTCAAAGAAAATAAATATGATTTAAATTTTACTTCGTAAAAATTGAATTTAAAAAATATAAAGAATATATTTGTTATAATATAATCTATTAACTATAAATGTAACCAAAATTCAACCAAAACTTATAAAAATAAAATATTAAATCAAAATTTTACAAAATACTCGAGTAAATTATACTTGCTTTTTAATTATATATATATATATATATATATATATATATATTTGAGTTTAAATTATTTATATTGAAGAGTTTTATTAATTTATTTTATATTTAAAATCTAATATGCATATTCTTATTATTAGATTGTTATAATCTGACTAGTAATATAGCATTTAATATAAGTAGTGTATAATACATAATAAATTATACTACAAACATACCTAAATATCCTTAGTAAACTGTTGGCTAAAGGAATTCGATCAAGATGGCACACATCAGCTAATGCTTTAACAACTTGCAATTCTGGATCAAGTAATAATTGTTGCAAAGGGCTATATTCTTCTGGTGGCATTGCTAAATCATGTCGATATCTACAAAAATATATAGGTAAACAAATGTTAAATATCAATTTTAAAACATAAAAATTAATTTAATTTATAAATTAACATTATGCAATCAATTTCATTGAATCTGTAAATACAATTTTAGTTGAAATATTTACATAGATAAGATAATAAATTAAAAGATATATCTTACAAAATATGGATTTATGAATTATATTCATAGAAGAATTTTAATTAATTATAAAGTTTCCTTCATTATCACTCATAATTCTGCTTTCCAATAAATTAAAACTGTTTATCTACAAAATCGTTCTTGATCAAATATTTGTTAATAAAATTACACTATGTTACTTAATTATCTCAACTGCAATATCTCATAACGGCAAGTATTTTATCAATTTAAACGTTTCTTTGTCGAGATTGTCAAAAAGTTTTACTCCATTTGTTCGAGATTGAAGCAACTTCCAAAACCTTTGGCTCACGGCATCGCTAGTCTCTCTAGCTCTCAAGTTTATGTAAATACTTGGGTACGAGAATTTTCGAGTACTTTTATGTTTTGGTTTCAAATAACCTGCAATGTTTTATATGATTTTCGCATAGTAACGTCACTTGAAATTCTCCAAAATTTCTTACGCCTTGTTTTTTCTTAGAATTCTCAAATCATCTAGATTTTCCCTTCTGTGCCTCATGTAAGATTTTCCAGTGCAGCAACAACGATGCTTTGTTGCTGGCTAAGTAACTTGTCGCGTGGATATATAAGGCAAGCACGCGACGAGGCTCACTCTCTAGCAAAAGCTCGTACAATGAACTCACGCAGTAAACATTTTTCAGCAGAGCCGCCACGGAACGAACAAGTAAGTCTTCAGTTTCGTGTGCATATTCAACAGGCTTGTAGGCTCACGATAAATTTCTCAATCAGTTGTCAGTTATCACTCTATACCGTAACGACATTACGCTATGTAACAGACCGTTACCTTTACTTATTATACGTAGATAATTTAACCAGACTCGGCAACAATAAACTAGTAAGCCAAATACCGTGAAGTCAAAGCATTTACCAACTGTTTTAAGTGCGCTATAGTTCAAGCAGTCACGAATTCTGATTGCATTCCAAGAACAATTAGGAATAAGAAGCGTAGTGGCGCACTCATTACAGAATTCAGTAAGACAAATAAATTTCTTTGAAGTTAATTGAAAGCACTTACGCGCCAGCCTTGTACGGCATTGATTGAAAGCATATACGTGTCGGCCTCGTAAGACATCGAATGAAAACACGAACGCGCCAGCCACGTACAGCATTGAAGGTGCGCGTGGGCCAACCGCGATAGGTATTATTAGATCGCACAGCTCATGCGAACGGCTGAAGGTGTACCATGAACCAGCCATAAGGGCAATATTAGATCGCGAAGCTCCCGCGAACGGCTGAGGGTGTATGGAAAGGCACTGGCTACAAGGGCATTATCGAAAGCGCGAACGTGTTAGGCACGTACGGAATTGAAGGTGAGAGTGCACCAGCCACGATAGGCATTAATTGAAGGCACGAGCGCGCCAGTCTTCACGGCCACTGCACGAAAAAGTACCAGAGATTTACGACCGCCTACTTTCAGTGTAACCGTTTACCATCGAACTAGGTCAAGGATCAGAAGATTAACAATCTCCTACCCATGCATGTAGTGCATGCACATGTCGCGTGACAACTACCACCGAACTGCAAGATCTCACAAATTCTCAACACCATCTTAGAATCATATTTATTGTGCAGTCTGTAAGTAAAGAGAAAAAATGTCAAGATATGCTATTGTGTTCATTATTGAACAAATGTGCTATTAAGCTATTTTAATAAAAAATTTCAATTTCAATTTGCATCTTTGTAATTATTTATCTGTATAACTAAAAAAAAATGTTCTGACACACCATCGAACATATAACATATAACAGTTTTATAATTATTTAAGATTATTTAACATTGTTGTATAATTCTATATGAGATTAAATTTTATTTTCTTATGTGCAATTATTATTCAATAACAAAAGCATAATAAGGTTAATGTTAAAATTTTCTTAATAATTTATTTATGTATTATATATATTTGAATATCAAAAATAGAAATCAGATACTAATTAACCAAGTATTTTAATAGTAGTTGTCCACGAAATAATTTTCAAAACAATGTGTAAACAAAAATGTAATTTTCGTATAAAAATCTATCTATTAATATGAATATCGATATAAATTTATATGATTACGATAAATCTGAATGTATACTAAAAAAGGATGTTTTAATCGTATATATAATCAATCTTACAATATAAATTTTTTATTTAATATATTTAGATGAATTTGACAACGTATAATTGTGACAATATAAACAAATGTGTTTGTCACTTTCTGTATGCTTGAAGTATACCATTATTTTAACTTTTATATTTAAATGATTAGCCTTTAAGTTTTTTTTGTATCTTTGGCTTTATTTAAAATTTATATGATATTAAACAAAGACCCATCTATTATATTATAAAGTAAATACAATATTCAAAAAATTAATTACATTAATTATTATTTATTAGATCAATTGTATACTGCTATTTTCATTTGTACCCTATTAGATTGGCGGAACCATTGTAAAATATCAATTAATATAATTTTTTTAAATTATAATTAAATAAAAAATTGTATTTACTATTCGAATTTCCTAGTATTATTTAGTAAAATCGAATTAGCACAGATCCTAAATAATTGTTATGAATAATTTTATATTATGAACATTTAAAACCTAGTTTTCTGTATTCTTTGGTATTAAATCTTCGGTTATTATAATTACGTAGCTTTTGAATTACTGTACAACTTATGACTAAACCAGATAGTAATAGATCCTGTTTTATTACTAAAAGTAATATTATGTTAACATTTTATAAAATTGTAATATAGAATAGTAAAAGGTACTTATTACCTCAAACGTAAACGTAATGCACCCCAATCCCCAATAGGTGTAACACCTGAGAAAGGATACCACTCGTCCATTTCTTCTCCATTAACCAAACTTGCTAGTTCTACTGTTAATTCCGCAACTTCTGTATCTTTACTACGTTTTCCTTTATTATATAAAGTTAACGAAAATGACATAACATCAGGAGGTACATCCCTTAAAATAAATATTAAATATTAAGTTCGTTATTCCTAAATCAGTATATTTAAATTGCTTATATTAATTAATATATACTCTAAAATAAATTCTTCATCCCAAATTGGACGTGTTCCTGTTTTCATTTTTGTACGAGCTACTTTAACATTATTTAAAGCAACTATTATAAAAGGATTTGGAACTAATTTATATGGTAATCTATGGGCATCTACAATATGCAATTGAAGTGAACGTAATTCTCTAAGCCGAGCAACTTTTGGAGCTCTTGTTAATTGAGACACACATAATGGCTTTAATGCATTAATCCAATCTAGGGCAGTTTCACAGTTTGGTGCAGATAAATATGTTATTGTTGATAAACATGGTAAAGCTCTTTCGACTAATTGTAAACAATGTGGCCTATCAAATACGCTTTCATGGACCTGAAATATTAATTAAAGCTTCTACTAATTTGTTGTAACATTTATTAGGGTAATAATAAATAATTAAATATAAGTCAACTGAATTCATTTATTACACTATTAATGTATTGTGAATTTTTTATAAAATTAAATAGTTTAAATTAATTTAAGTTGTGTATTTGCTATACTTTTTAAACTTTAAAATTACACAGATTTTTAAAGTTAATATATTTTTCATGTTAGAATTGTACGATAAAAGGTTGCCATTACCTTTGTACAACATTTTTATGTAATGTAAGTTATATTAAAATGACATTGATAATTATGTATTTAATCTTTTAGGTTAATATATTTAATTGAATACAAAACCAATTTTCAAGAATGTTACCATAAAATAAAGGGCTTACAAAATTACAGTACATTAAGTACGTAAATGCGTTTTATTTTTAGAATTAAAACATAATTTGTTGGATTTTGTAAAAGCCAAATAATAACATGAAATGAATTAAGGAGAAAAAAGTAAGAGTTCATACACTACGTACTATAATTATAGGCCTCCACAAATAAAAAATAAGAATAACTAGCCTACATCTAAAGTTTGCTCATAAAAATTAACAAACCGTTCATGTACGCTCGATGTATTATCATACAGTTACAATTTCTTACAAAAAAATACCTAAATTAAAATATCAAAGTCATAACATATTTTTAAATTATTTAGATTCTTACCTGATATAAATAGGCACAGCTTAAATCAATGAGACCTTTAGGCTTTGTTCTTTTTGGATTATCGTACAAATACAAATGTGTATCACTTCCATCTACAAGTAATACAAAATATAACGCTTTCCATTTTTTATTTTTTTCTGACTTTTTTTCTAAATATCCTTGCATTTTTATTCCTTTGTTTTTTTTAACTCCTGATTGTTCACGACATTCTCGTAAAGTAGCATAAATTTTTTCAGCGTGTTGTACTTCTTTATTAATTCTTACCGTTCCATCCGGTTCAGTAATCATCGCTTGTACTAATGTATGACCTTCGACAATCTGCTCTTTACGATATCTAAATCATAGTAAATTCCAAATGTAGTTTCTCATTTATATAATAATTTTTAATTTTTCATTTATACTTCAGATTTTAGAAATTGTATTATCTGCATATCCAGACTATAATTAGTCCATTGATTAAAGTGAAATTATTTTTATATTCTTACGTATGTTATGCAAATGTGAATGATTAATTAGATAACATCTCATACAGCAGTTTAATTTTCCCAGATTAGTGTCTACAATACATGAATAATGACCTTCGATATGCAACTTGTATTGAACAACTTGTATAAATAAATCGATTATTATTAAATGAACAGAATATGAATAATAAATATCTTCATTTAATATTAACACTAAAAAATAACTATTTTTATAATATTATAATATAACTAAAAACTATAATCCACAAAAATAATCGAAAATTTTTTTTAAAGTTAAACTTTACAGCTTTATAAAGAGACATTCCACATTAAAAGTATTTTGAATGACGAAAATTTGTACTATTAAATTATTAACCAAGGTTAAAACATTGTTTAGAATTAGACTATGTTGACCAGGTTAGTGGTGGGAGAAAGTGTAGATAAGTGGAAGGGAAGCGCATTAATTCAATATTAAACACATCTGTTTTTCGTGCCGTTTATTGCATTTAAATTACAACTGCACAATAATGATTCTAAGTTGATGATGATAATAGTTGAGGTGTTGCCACGTGGTGTTAGCGTGCACTACATGTAGAGGTGATAGGTCGTAAATCCTCCGATCCTCTTGACGTGGTGCGCTTGATCCTGGATGACTACATTGCGAAGTGTGAGGTCGTAAATCTCTTGACACTTCTTCATGTGGTGCCACATGGTGGTAACTTGATTGTGGTGTGGACGGATTAGGAAGGCCTGCGACTGCTTCATGTTAGACACACTAGTATTGGAAAGGCCTGCGGCGAGTTCGTACTCGGGGCACTGTGTATAAACTCTATTTAGTATGAAACTGTTACTGAGTACCTTCTTCAGCGGCTCTGCTGAGAGTGTGCGCTCGGTGACACCTAGTATGATGAAGATCTGCGACTGCTTCGTGATAGATGCATTAGTATGAGAAAGACCTGTAGCGGCTTCGTATGAGAAGGACCTCTGACTGCTTCTGCGAGTATTTCCTTCTTCCTTGACGATCTACTGGATAGTGCCTGTTCCTCCTATGCGGCGTCCATTGTAAGACAGCACATTCACTAATGGTCATCTCCCTTAAGAGCGCTCCGCTTACCACGGCGTTCCCACTTAGGGATGGTTAAGGACTGAGTCTTTCAGATGTGTAATGATCGGGTTTGCTAGATGACTGACTTGGGAAGGGTTCTTGAAAGATTTATATATAGTTGCAAACTTCAAATAACTGGTTTATTTAAAAAATGTTGTAAATGAACACAATATATTAATTTTTTTCAAAGCTGTCAATTCTTGTAATAATACTTAAAGGAAATAAAAAAAATCCTTAACTTATCCATAACTTTTTCCGATTAGTTAATATGTCTTTATTTAATCTAGTCTTTAATCTAGTCTAGTTAATATGATATTTATTTACAAATCTTTCATTAATTTTTAAATTAGTTTTTCATCAAACTATAATCAAAAGAATTCTACATTTAATTTCATATAAATTTCTATTTGTACGAATTTGAGGGTTTGTTTTGTGGCTCGAACTGCCAATTCAGTAGTTCAGTGGAATGGTCTCTCGCCGTAGCGGTTTGAAGGAAAACCACAAATGGAAAGACTGTAGACATGGATAATGTATATTCTTGGATTAAGACATCCTTTATTATGCTTTATTAATAATTATAATATTGCGGTTTCATGGTTGCTTCAAGTAAAAGGAGAAAAAAGTATTCTATTGCAGTGGTGAGGGTGCTTCTTTGAAGTGACGGTGATGTCATTGACACTATGGAGATTATTGTGGATGTTGAGCATTGGGTCTATGCTGATGTTGTAAAGATCAGCATGAGTAGTCGACCATGCTCCTCAATGAGCATGGGAAGATGGTAATGGTAATGGTAATGGTAATCAGTAGTGCTTACCAGGGAGAGCAAAATACACTCAAACGGAGCAGAATGCAAATTCCCTGTAGTAGTTGTCACGTAAATCAACCATAATGTTAAGGATTGCAGTAGTTTCTAAGCGAAATAAAAATTGGGAGAGGTATGAGCGCGCGAGCATTTGTTTTGTAAAAACTGACTAACGAATTCAAAGAATGCTTATAACAGAAAAACTCGAATATACTACTATAATTCCAAAAGTAATAAATGAACTCTACGAGGCTATGCCCTGTTTACGTCACGACAAATATCGGCATAGAAGCGATCACCGATGCAATTTCAACGCAGCTTGTTTCTACGAGAATATTTAAGGAGCTGCACATGACGGTCTCGTCCTCTTACTAGTTCAATCAAGCAATCATCAAGATCAAATTATTGTTCTACAAGTCAACGCCATTTACACAGAGATCGCCTTCAATTCACACAAATCGCTTTCTTACAAGTCAAATAGCACTTATATAGAGGTCACTTCTACACACGTATGCTACGCTATTACACACGTCCTTACGTACCATCAATACAACTGAGATTGACTCCACACACGTAAGCTATGCTATTACACATGTTCTTACGGATCACTAACACACGGCTCCGTGAACTAAGTAAGCAGCAATACCAAAACCACGGCATCATTGCCATTGATCAGTGACGTCATACACCAGCGACCACTCAGGCCTCTTCACCGTATCGGTAGCGGCAATCGGTGGCGTCAAGCACGCACCATACCACAAGAATACACTTATAAGATTATCATCACTCACATTACCTGAAGAAACTCTCACCTACTTATTCTATCATACACTCATTTCGATATTCAATAAAAGGGAAAATCAACTCATATAAAGGCAGTATTGAATTATTGCATTGTCCATTCCACTTACCAGCAATCCTCCCTTCACCATCTCAGGGAAGCGTTTTTAGTCTGATCTCAGACACATACGCAAAGGGGAGTATGGGAATATTAGAGAGCTAGTCACACGCAAGAATAATGATGATGTGCCTTCAAGTATGAAAGGACTTGGTACAATGGAATTATAATTGACTATTTGTTGAGCTGCAGGCTGCCCTTGATAATGTAATTAAGTGAACGAACGTTCTCTGCAGTGAAGGCACTGAGCCACCTGTCCATAATGTGGTAAAGTCAACGAACGGTCTTGGCAACGAAGGCACTGAAAGAGCCTACTGCACCACTTATCCTTGACTTGGATAAATAAAGGAACGATCTCTGCGATTGCTGTACTAAGCTACTTTTTTGGAAGACTCGATATGAAAATGTGATTCGAGCGTAACTAGCTTGTACAAATAATAAAAGGGGGTGTACCTTAGGACTACCGACAATGTATACTGAATTACTGCTTAGCAGGTGCAGTTGATTGATTAAACTTTTGGTGGCTTCACTGATGAATTACTAACCTGTTATTGCAGATTCTGAGAGAATTACGGACGTGTGTATTGCAGGCTGATTGCCAGGCATGCGGCTAAGCTTCATAGTCGCAAATTATAATTTATACTTGATAGTTGAAAATGCACTGATTAGTAATAGCAGATGAGTAAACAATCGGTAGAATTACAACGAGCTATAATTGATAACTCAGTAGATAGTAAAAACACCGTGAGCCAGGTGCGTGGTGACTGAGTGGATGTTAAAAGTACAGTGCCACTTGCGACGCCGGCAGGAGCGTCGATGCATATTGCTATGCCGAAAATCGTAGTGACGTCATAGAACGAAGCTCTGGAATATTCTAAAAGCATCGAAGGACACAGCCTTGGAAGGTTCTAGAAGTTTCATCGGTGTTGCTATGCGAAAACATTGTCATATATTCGAATTTAAAGTGTAGGAAAATTCCCGGATTCGTTGAATTGTGTTTACAAACATGAATGTCTGAGAGCTTGTACTTTTCCTAATTTAAATTCTTGAAAACTGCTCTAATTTTCGAACACTATTTAATATTAATTTTCATAAACAATTACTTGGAAAACGATTACAATTGCTTAAAATATAATATTTATGTTCAGCATCTCTAAAAAAGATAATTAACATAAAGCGAATTTATTGTTGTTCGGGATTTGTAAGAATTGTCTCTTCTAAATAAGTAATAGCGAACAGATTTAAACAATATATTTTTGTTTCTAGCAAAAGGGAAAAAGTTAGTAAAAACTAAACCAAGTTTTATATTATTAAATTATGAACAGATTTAAAGATTCTATCTTTCAGACGATAAAAACATGTATTTTTATAAATCATAGATAGATATTGAATGCCAAGTTTATTTCAATTCTATTAATTTCAAAATATTAATATATCAGGTAGATCATTATATTTTCACATAATTGTATATAATTTCATTGCAATAGCCTATATATTATACTCAACAATACATTGGATTACAATAAATATATTAAACTGAAAGAAAGGCCATAATCATATTCGGAATGTTCATTGTCTTAATTATGTTCCAGGGGCATAAATATTGATGAGAATTATTTCGAAAATAGGAAACTGTATAAAAAAATCAGCATTGGAAGATTAATATTTTATGTCCAAGAGTTATCAAGATTATATAAAATTTAGAATATCCATGTTTGGAATTGCAGCCACCAGTCTAATCGCAGATCAAGGTGGTTGGATAAGACAGTACCGTCGGTTTAATAGAGATGGGGGGGGGGGCAGGTTAATGCATCAATTGAGAGTAAACACAATTGGTTTTAGTGACCTTTATTTAAGCTCTTGTTACAATGATGTAGTTATTACTGATTGTAGTGAGAATTGTTGAATTCGTAGTGATTAGCCAGTTGGCCATGAACTTTAGACCGTCGTCCGGGAGTGCAAGTCTAAAGCGTGAATTGGTAGTACTGGGCACGTGGTTTAGTCTCTAAGTTTAAAGGAGTCTGTCCGGTTCGAGAATCATTAGACAATTGATTGGGCAATAATTTTCCAGAGAGCTCTGTCGAGCTTGGACTACCTTGACGACTAATTCGGCAATAAATTTTACGGGGCGTTGTTCGGCTCGCGAATGCCTAGTCGTTTGCTTAAATTTCCAGTGAATTTTTCGTAACGTATAATTCAAATATATTAATCTAAATATAATGTATCGGAATCGTATTATAACAAACAATAAATTATTATTTTTTGATAGCTAGTTTAATCCTGAACAGTCCATATTATTAATTCAAAGTTGTAATCATAACATTATTTACTGCCCTAGAGACACTATTAAAATTGAATTAAATGAATATACTTTTATGAACTCCTAAGAACGTAGATTATTATTTAATAGATGTGAGCCTAAAATAGGTGATAAATATTATAAATAAACTAAAATTACTTTTGAATTAGTTTCAGTAATTCCGAGCATTTTCAAAAACTTTCATTTTCGGAGAAGTATAAGCTTTTTAACTCTCGAGTTCGTAAACATTAATTCCGCGAATTGTCGAATATTCTAAGCCTCATTTTCGAGTGTCCTATAATAATTTCCGCATAGCAACGTCGGTTGGAATTTTCCAATCTTTTAAAGCTTTGTCTTCCTGGAGTTCTCGAAAGTTCTAGAGCTTTAGTAAGCCTTGTTGCCAGCTAATTAAGCTGCCACGCGGATATTTAAAGTAAGTACATCACGCGATGGCGCTCATTGTAATTAAGCCATTCAGCCAGAGTTTATAGCTAAAAACTAGTCAATCAATAACGCTAAAACAGTGAAGCCATTATAAGTAATACAGGTTCAATTCGCAAGTGCGCAATAATTAATAAGCATTCAACGGTGTTGACTGCATTACACGACTACAAGCGCAGTAACAAGGCATTCGTCACGGAATCAGACAAGGAAACTGCATTGCTGTGAGTACCACTAGTATCTAATACAGAAGTAACAAAAGGCTAACAAGGCCCTTCGAAGAGTGCGTCTAGCACAAGACCAACAAGGCCTTTCTAATAATAGTGTGTCTAGCGCAAGACGAACAAGGCGATTTCAAGAAGGGTGCGTCTAGCTTAAGGCCAACAAAACTTTTTCAGTGAGGAGACGCAAGTTACCACCACAGAACTGCAAGATCTCAATGATTCTCAACACCAACTTAGAATTATTATCGTGTAGTTTGTAAAGTAAAACACAATGAACAGCACGAAAAACAAATATAGAATAAAAATATATAATAAATAATTTTTCTTAATGTAATATTTACAATATTTTGATTGTAACGTTATCTATATGAAATGTAATATATTTGTATTCCCAATTTCAGATTCATTGCGTATTAAAATAAATAGCAATAGCTACAATTCCAACTGAAAACTTCTTTACTATTATATATAACTTTCTGTCTAGGATCAGACTAAAAACCTCCTTATGATTGGTGGGTGGAGGCTTGCTGGAAAGTGGAAGGGGCAATGCAATTATTCAATACAGTCCTTTGTGTTTGTAGTCGTTACTTTATTAATGTAATGAGTAATGAGTAGTTAATGATCTATTAATTATTATGAGTGCATGATATAGTGAATATTATTAGTGTTTCTTATTAATAGTGTTTATATAATTGTTTATAATATTTATATAAATGTTTATAATAAATACAATATTAATAGTGTTTCTTCAGTAGTAGCGGTGACGATGAGTCTGTGCGTGTATTCTTGATGGCCTGAAGCGTGACTCCCCTTCTTCTTGGGTTTAGTAGTCATGGTGGGGAACTCGTGATGGTAGGGGAAGCAAGTTAGTACCGTCTTGGCAGCCGGCGAAGGGGGTGAGCTGTAGTGTACGAAGTGGTTGGAGAACGTCCGTGTGACGTCACAGCTTGTGTCTATGAGCTCCAAGGTAGTGGTGGTGTTGGTGCACGTTCGTGTACTCGATGCGAGCGTAACTCGCGGTGTACAGGTAAAGGTAAGAAATAGCTTCGACGTTACTTACATGCGAGGGTAAATCGCTTGAAAGGTACTATGCAGAATGAGAGTCAGCGTTACTTGCACGTGGTGGCGGGAACTGTTTGATGTGCTAGCAGTAACCGCGTGGTGAGGTAATATGCAAGAACGTGAGTCGGCGTTACTTGCACGTGGTGGCTGGAACTATTTGATGTGCTAGCAGAGTGGCGATCGCGTGGTGAGGTAATATGCAACAACGTGAGTCGGCGTTACTTGCACGTGGTGGCTGGAACTATTTGATGTGCTAGCAGAGTGGCGATCGCGTGGTGAGGTAATATGCAACAACGTGAGTCGGCGTTACTTGCATGCAGTCGGGAACTGTGTGATGAGCAGAGTGGCGATTCTGTCGTGCTGTGTGCTTGTAACTAGGAGGAATCGCGTCACATACAGCTCCTTTCACATTCTCGTACGAACTGGATGCGCCGATGGCGCATCGGTGGCTGTTACTATGCCGCTATTTATCGTGGCGGCAATAGGGCATAGCTTTGTCGGGTTCATTTATTATTTCTCGGAATTATGGTCGTATGTTCGAATTTTTCGGTTAGAAGCATTCGTTGAGTCCGTTGGCCAATGTTTACCAAACAATGCTTCGCACGCTCATACCTCTCCCACTTTGTATTCCGCTTAAAACTGTTGTAATTCGTAACATTTTCATTATATTATTTATTCCTATAAATTTCAAAACGCAACTATGATACATTATCTTGTATATGAAATTGTGATGCTTAAATTTAAATTTAGCAAATCGATTTTTCTACTGGTACAGTGATAAGATGAATTTGGTAATTATTTTCTTCTTATATTAAGTTTAGAAAAATACAATATATTATTCATTGAATCGTTTAATATATTGTATATCTTATATATTAGAATTATACTAGTATTAATTCTGACAATTATACATGTGAAATGTATTATACATTACACGCATATATATATATATAATACAATGCAAATAATTTCAAGTAATACCAGATTAATTTAGATTTAAGTTTTTAAAATAATTCGCTTCATCCTTTTTTACATATAAACTTATTGACTTTTCGTCTTATTAATTCTATTCATCTAGATAGATGATAACTACATTCTTGATAACTGTAAACATTGTAAAATGAATGACAATAGTTTTTAAACTAAAATTTGGTAACTAAGATAATTAAATATTTGTTATAAATTAATAAATCACATAAATGTTATTCAATATTAGATATATGAAATCATCTTGATGCTTTAATTAAAATAAGTTACATCTAAATTTTATATTTCAAAGAGTAATTCAATAACATTATTACAAAAAAAAATATAAAATATAAAAAATACAAAAAAGTGTAACAAATTATTTGTAACTGAATACGTTATACAAATATAATTTCAATAACACAATTACAGATAAGTTTTGTGACTGCAATTTATTAAACATAATTGAGACAATGTTTCTAATAATAAATATTTTTATTATATTACCCGCATATGCATATATGTATATTAAAGATAAAAGTTTCACCTATTATTTTAAGAGAATAGAGAGACTGTAATATGATGTAAATATACTTATAATTAAATATTTTGTTTATTATTTAATAAATGGTCGTTTTGATTCCCAATTTGATACAAATATAGAATTACACTTATAAAACCAAATAAAATTGAATCATGGCATCTCTTATCACCAAATTCCATAATTACCATTATTTAATTAACTGCATCTATAGTTATATATTATTCTTATAGGACATAGTAATATTATTTTTGTAAATATTTTAAATATTACTAATTTTTCAAACGCGTTAAAAATTTGAAGATCACTATGCAAATGTTTATTAAAAAAATTTAAATAATTCATAGAAAGTAATCGATAATCTCTGAAACTAATTAAATGCATTGGGAACATTTGTACGTACCTTAAATTTTTATATATCGTCATTAAACTAATAAATGAAACATATAATGAAAATAAACTCATTATTATATTTACATTCTGTTCTTAAATATATTAGTTATATTATTATCATTCTTTACAGTAAGGAAGAAAATTGTAGAAAATTAAGGGAACAACCGAAAAGAAAGATAATAAAATAATATACCTATTTGATGTGATAAATTATCAAAGACGATCAATTATTTAATATATTTTGCTAAAAACGGAAAACAAAAGATTAAAATGCGTCTAAAAGAAAATTCTATTACAAAATTTGAATAATTATATTAAACACATAGTTGACATTGCTTATAAACAAATAGTATAACAATTCTTAGTATTAAAAAAAAGTCAGTATTAAATAATACATCTAAAATGTACAAATTATAAGCATAAGTAATTTACAAAGGCAAATTTAAATTATGCATTAAATAATATGTATTTAGTACTATATATGTTTTGGGTAATCATTATTAAATTTACCAACTCAAAATATTTATTTTTTATAAATATCAAATTTAAAATATAGAAATATTTAGTTACTTTTATATAAACAATAAAAATTGAATACATGTACTAATATACATATAAAATAAAAATAAACAATAGAAAAAATAAAAGCTTAAACTACCAAAGATAAATAGAACTTATTTTCGTTAAATTAAGAATCAATTTAGTAAGTTTTGCATTAATTATTTTATCAAATATAAGTTAGTTTTCACATTACCTGTTAATTACAGCATCAAGACATTCAAACGTTCTCCCTCCCATTAAATATCTAACACCTTTCTTTTCAATTCTAAATCTTTGAATTTGATTATTTATATGAAAAAAGAGAGAATAATCGCCTGGACTATTATCAGACGGTCTCACCTACATTATATAATTACAAATTATAGTTATTTATATCTAATTATATTATGTAGTTATATAAATATTAATAATTTAAATGCTACACACCAAAAAACTGCCAGGGCCTGCTTTAACTAACATATCCACTGCTTCACTTTTAGTAACATTAGGATGAAACCAAGAAAACACTGTATTAGGATCTATAGAATCATCTAAATTTTCGACTAAATCACGAAAAATTAATCCTTGTTCACCAGTCCGATGAGCAGTAACCCACAGCCAACCATCACCCATGTCATTATGTACGAAAAAAATATCTCCCTTTTGAAAGCTTAATTCATCAGTATCAGGCATTTTCGTATAAGGTAAAATAGCAACGATTCGTTTTTTATCGTTAACTGGTTCTGGAGGTGGAGTAGGATATAGAAGTCGTTCTCTTTTTAGTAAATCGGAGCAATGCGAATAGTAAGCAACCAAATCAACAAGACTACTAAATTGACGCCCACCTAAAAAATTACTATCAATATAATGATCTGAAAATCTTTATGTAAAGAATGTAATCTATTATTTTTATTTATTTTATATAATGAAGGAATAAAAGTTCCATCAATAAATTTTATATGTAATTAATCATATTAGTTATCTATTTATTAAAATCAAAATAACATTGAAACTATTAAACTAAAAAGTATTAATAAATTCAATAATTTCATGGATGTTATATATTAGAATATATATCTCATAATTAATTGCTGTATTTATGACATCTTTTTCACTAGATCTCATCACAATTTGAATAAAAGTGAAAAATAACGCAACTCACTTTCTATTAATAAATTATATATAGGATATTGAACCACATAAATTTTTATATATATATACTAAATTCATAATGTATAATATTACACCAAATAGAAGTTTACTTGTTACTTAAATCATAATTTATCAACGTATTTAAAAAATAAAACATAATGTTATAGGCTATGATGGTGCAAGCTCGTTGAATCCGACACTTACAACGTGTGCGAACACTTTACATAAGAAAATAGTTTTAATTTTTCTAATAATTTTTCTTTCTTTTATAATTAATTTTAAATATTATATTATATTCATTGTATCAAAAATGCAAAATTTCAAAAAATTTCATTTTATTAAATAACTTACCAATATAATAATCTCCACAAACAGCAGTTATGCGAAAATGGTTGATACCAGTTCGTCCTAAATAAGACAATACATAACTACCAGGCTTTCTATCGCTTTCTCGAACTAAATAATTCCCCATTTTATTTGCATCCCAAAGTCGTTCTTCTGCAGAAAATCTATCTAGCCTTCCATGATACCACCTACAAATGAAATATTTTATTATAATTACATTGTTATACTAATCTAATTGTATCATTAACTGTTTCTAATAAAAATTATTTGATTGTATTGAAAAAAAAATGATATTGAAGAAATAAAATAAATTATGATAAGAAATAATATTGAATAAGCTTTCTAGTCTATGTATTAAAATATTTTTTATTTTTATCAACAGTTAAATGCTACATACAGTAAAATAGAAAGTAAGAAATAATCCACTTACTTTTAAATTAATATTTAGGTAATTTGTTATAAATTGTGAATATAATTTATGTTTTTAATGGCATAAGGTAAAAACACGAAAATGAATACATTAAGATGTTTTTTATTATTATAATCTAAATATAAATATAAATCTAAATACTAGTAATATATTAATTTCATAATAATTTTGATGTTATTTTTATAATATCATTATAAATATTACTATTATTAATGTAATAATTAATATTTTTATTATTTTATTAAAAAACAATTTATAAAATAATTGCAAAAATAAATTAAGTAAATTAAAAATAAAAGTATTAAAAAAAATAAGATTTTCTATTCAAACTCTTTATATAAGCAAAATTCATAAATTTCTAATTGTTAATTGTACCTTTTTAAAACTATAAATACATATAAATTTGTAATGGTTTATAGTAAAATACTTGTTAACAATCTTTCAATTGAATTTCAAAGAGACTAAAAAATCAGTAGTAGTTGAAATTAACATAAAACCCATTACAATAGGTGGAGTTTAGAGAAAAATATGGTGCTTCCTTGTATATAATTAAAGAATAATGATACACAACTTTCTAATAGTTAAACTATAACATGACACTTATAAACAAAATGAAAAACAAAAAATTAATATAAAATAAAGTTAAATAACATTATTTATTTATAACACAATAGTTAAATGACAATAGGTTTTTAATAGAAAATTATCATTGATTCATATAAAAATCTTGATTTTTATGAAATTTACTACGCTTTAGGTACCAAAAATAAACAAAAAACAATTATGAAAGTAAAAATAATTAGTTTTTACTGTTTATTTAGTTGTTCGATTTTTTGACTCGAAGGGCCAATGTTCGATATTTCAATTTAATTTGTCGACCGCCATAGCAGATGCTTAGGTAAGGACTTAAGTGGAAGGGCTGTAAAGATACAGAGTATGTGCAGACTTTGTTAAATATGGTTTATTATGGCTTATTGACAATTACATTATTGACGAGTTGAATGATCCTTTGATGGCTAGTTACCTTCAATAGAAACTACTGGTATACCTTTGTGATAAGGAGTACTACGATGCCATGTTTCTTGTAGTCGAATATTTTATTGTAATGCAGTCAGCACCTTTGACTCCTTGTTAAGTGATGCGCACTGGATAAGTGACGTGTGTTCCTTGTATAATGGCTTCACTGAAAGAGTGCGTGTTTGCTTTAAATATTCACGCGACAGCTTAGGACGTTCGAGAATAATAAAGCTTTACACGGTTAGCGAATTCCGTGAGAGTAAAGCTTTAGAAGTTTCGAGAATTAGAAGGCTTATAAATTTCCGAGAGCTAGAGAAGGCTTGGAATCGCGAACTTTAGTTCATAGTGTTCATTAACAAGGATATAAATCTATCAAATCTTGAGCAGTTAACCAACATGATAATTAAAATTAATATACGAATAAAAAATCTTAAAAGATTACAATGTTTTTACAAAGTTAAGTAAGTAAAAGTTTTTAAGTCTTTTAAATAAATTTTGAAAAATATAAATAATTTTTAATTACATGACATACGCATTTATAATCGAATTAGAATAATTTGTTTATGAATTTATGCATTTATCACTGAAATTGTATATGAGTAAATAGTAATAAGTAAAGATAATTTATTACGATCTATAAAAAGATAAAAGCTATGCTTAGAATTAGATTAAACAAAGGAACATATTGTGTAATTAAAAAAAAAAATTTTATTTCATTGTTTAAAAGTAAAAAAATTCTTTCAGATTTTTAAATAATTCTATTACATGGCATAGGATCTTTTCACTCCACGATATATATGGGTATTATAATCTTATACATTTATATTAGAAGGGATTATAATAAACTTATTTATTATAATTTAAAACACAAAGAAAATGTATTTGTTATCATATTTTAAGATATTAAAGGTATTGCATTAATAATATATAATATATAAAATAATCTAAATGATATCGATAGAGAATAAATTTTGAAAAATAAATGCAATAAACAATTGGCAGCATTAACGACAGAAGTTTGTTGTATTATTCCTCCTACTAAATTAATTGTATCAATCTCAATAGAAATTATAACCATTATCTATTTCTAACTACTTATGGCAACAATTAAATTTTTAGCATCAATACAACTACTTTATTCCTTTGTATAAGCATCATAATAGTTTAAAGTTCCGTTCCTTCCTCTATTTTCATTTAAATAATCTTCCATAATTTTTGCATAGATTAAGATTTTATTTATAATTAAATAGATTATATCTTTACATTTCATATAATTATTTAAACATCTTATTTGTATAAATTATTTTATCTCTAAGACAATTTTACAAATTTTTGTTGAATAAAAAATTGAATACTTCTGTAACAAATTTAAGTATAATTTCGGATATATAGTGGTTCGTTCATTGGATAACTTAAATATCTAACAAATGTGCATGAATGTACAAAAACAAATATCAATAATAATTATAACTAGGCAACAAACAGTACAATAAATTTTGCAAAATGAAGCATTTTCTCAAGTGTCTCGAATACAATCACGAAATTTTCAATACATATAAGAGTTCAAAGCGTAATTCGATTTTGTTGTTGAAAATTTTATTCGTACTAAAATACATATTCAAATTAAATTACAATATTTATAATTTATGTTAATTATTATGAAATAATCAAATGAAATACATGGAAATATAACTTACTGATTTTCAGGTGGTGCTGTAAAAATATTAATATTGACATTATCTGGTTCTTCCGTATCTTGTATATCACCAGGTATATTATCAAGAAATACGTCAAAATCGTTATCAATATTTAATGATTCAACAAATACTCCGTCTTCAGTTTCAGCACCTGGTGAATCTCCTTTTTTATTACATTCAATCTGAAAGCGATACATACATTATACTTAACTTCAGTACAATTCTTTCTTTTAATTTATTTAAAAGAAATGATATAAATTTTTATATTTTTTTTATAATTGAATATTGAATTCAAATTTACAATAAGCAGTATAAAAATAAAATTTCACAATGACACTTACAAGTGTATATGTTTAAAAATTCGCAGCTAAGTATTTATTTCTGGTTATATAATAAACTATAAGTTATTTTATATACACTTATAGTTTTATATATAATTTTCAATGCTTTTATAGTTTTAAATATAAGTTTATTAAAACTTTTTAACTATAAATTATTTAAAACCCAGAGAACTTTATGATTAACAAATCAGGAACACCTCCCAGATTAGTACTGACATAGGCAAGAACGTATAATGGACCATCTAAAAAGATGATAACAAAACGGTTAAATATATTAAAGGTATTTCTGATTGCATTTTACACTGTAGAAAATATAAATTGTTTCATTGCACGAATTCTGTAGTCTTTATTTTGATAAATTCGCATTGTTCGTAAATAATATATACACGAGGATATCAGAAATTAATTGATGTAGATAATCGGTTACGTTAAAGGATCCTTTTTAATACTTTTGTCTCTTGAACTCATTGATGTTTAGATTCCTTGTCATTCTGTTGCGCGTGTTGACTGGTTTTTCTTGAATTTTTCTAAATTTTCAATATAAATTGGTTCAATTATAAGTTACATTAAACTCCAACCCTTTAAACTTAATTCAAATATGAACTTTTCTAACTTCAATTAAGAAGATATTAGTGTGTCTACCATATATAGATTAATTATAAGAATTCTGTTTCAATAATTTTTTATATTACGTTTTATCTAATATTTTATTTTATTTTATTTTATATTGTAGTATATTACATCACATATTTTATTCTTTAATTGGTTTCATAAAATCGTTCATCCTCAATTACGAAAACTTCACTCGATTCTTGGGTTAAGTTAGTACATTAATAATAAAAAAATATGGCTCAGATAACAAAAATTGCCAAGCAAGATTTGAATAGTTACAAAATATTATGAAGATTTTTTATAATCTATATAAAAATCTAATTTTAATAAAAAAACTGAAATTGCTTAATCTTTTAAATAATAAAAATTTATCGTGAATAGATCAAACTAGAATTATAGAACCGTTCATTTACAAATATATCTTTATCTCTTCAATATATGCTGTAATAATGAACTATTAATCTACTTTAAATGTTTTTTTTAATAAAAAAATTAAGTATCTGATTTATATGAAGTATTGTGTTAGTATTTTATAAATTAGTTGACGATGTATTTTAAATTAATATATGTAATTTTTAAATACAACTTCCTCTGAAAATAATAAAAATATTCTTATAATTTCTATAATCATATTTCATAAGATTATATTTTCAGAGGAAAATTTTTAGATGAAATTTGGTGTCAAATATATTAATAAAGAGACCCATAAACTTTCAAATTTATTGGTGTTATTAATTTTACTGCTTAATAAGTTCATTATAAATATCAATCTTATTATTTGTCAAACCAGTATAGTTAGAATCATCCTACATAATTATACATATAAATGTTTTCATTACTCACAAGACAGATCAGAGTTCTGAAAACTTGTCTCTGTTTCAAAATGCTGCTGTTTTAATTATAACAAGCTGCTTTAATTTAGACTACTTATATAAGACTGTTTATTTTACAAGTTTACATGATATCAGCAGGCTTTCTTTAATATTAATTCACAATATCATCAATTGAATAAATAATTTTTAAACAATTAAACAATATAATTATTTTATATAATCGAAGAATTTTAATTAAACACCAAATAGCCAAAGGCATGAATTGAATTTAAAGAGCAATTCAACTTAATTATTTCTTTTTGTGCATAAAAATTTGCTTTCATAAATATCTTTCTAATATTTTTTATAAAAATTGAATTCAACTAAAATTTAATAAAAATAACAACAGTATTGATTGATTTTATTATTTAGTTCAAAACAATAATTTTTAAAAATTAAGTAATTGTTCAAAGTAATTGTTTGAAATTTTAAAATAATTAGATGTCTTAATTTATATTGATTGTATGATTTCATAATTAAATTATAAATTTTCAATTTTTTATAACAAAATTAGATTAATAAATCTCATTAATAGTTATTCAAAAAGATTATCACAAATAAATAAAATAATAACTTTTATTAAATATTTCTATACTTTTGAAGAACCTTAATATTTAGTAATTTTTTACAATATTTTAAAATGATTTTATTACACAGCATATTAAAATTTGTATTTATTATAGTATTGAAGTATATATTCATTGTTGTGTATTTTAATATTATCTAATTCATAATTATCTGATATTATAAGAATTATTCCGAATGTTTCTACATTTATTGTAACTTATAAAAAATTCATTTTGTTGAACTATTTGAAAGTACCAAAACTTTTATTATTATTTTATCATAGGAGAAATTAAAATATATAACAGTAAGGAAAAAAATTAGTTACACTATTTTAGTTATATTTTTGCAAAAAATAAGTACAAAATGTAATAAATGACTAAGTTAGTCTTCATATTTTATATACTAAATTGTATTTATTATATATTATAATTTTATCATACTGTATACATTAATAATATTGAATAATTACAAATAATTTTTGTAAGTTTAATTTATTTTTAATAAATTAATTAATGATTTATAACAAAATATATAAATGACAAAATAGAATTTATTTACAATTCAAATTTAATATTTATTCAGTTAAAATAAACTCAACTATCAGCTTTTGTTTTATAAAATCTTTTCTCTATAATCTATATTTTATATTATTTAAATAGTATCTAAAATTTACTATAAAAATACATTGGATAATTTCTGAATGTTTATAATATTTTGTTAAAGTTTTTATCAAAACATGTACATTTATTAAAAATACCATAAACAGATATTATAAAAAGCACACTTAAAAAATAATACCCTGTTACTAAATTTTCCATTTTATTACAAAGTTTGTATATTCTAATATCCATTGTATTATTTTCTTATTATTATTATATTATATTATATATTATATTCTTTTTTCTGTGTATTATATTATATTATAATATAAAATATATATTATATTCTTATTATACTATAATCTAACCAAAAACATATTACATGCATTAAATTATTTTAATGTTTTAAATTACTAAACAAACAAAAAAACATGAAAAAATTTTCTAAGTATTTTATAAATATTTTATGTAATATACACAAAATAATACCATATGTTAAAATAGTTCTGAAATTTTTATATATTAACAATTCATTTTAAATTTTGTGTTCGAAAACATAATATATATTTTATGTGAAAATAATTTCTTTGTACAAATATATTACATAAATATATATGTATTTGTTTGCATCTTATATTTCTATTATAATTATATTTGTAAAACAAGTTTCATATAATTAATCATTGCTGAATTATAACAAGATTATAGTATTTTTTTTTAATCAAATATTATGATTTTATTAAATTAACTAGAATTAATGTTTTTAAAATAAATTTTGAAGTAAATTTCATTATATTTAAAATAAATAATTAGTTTTCTTTTTATTATAAAAATATTACAAAATAACGACAAATAATTTTAATGTATTTATATATAAATATTACCTTTGCATTGTAGGATACACTAGGTCCACCACGAACAAATTCAGCCATTGTTGGAATTTTTATTTAAAATTTATCAATATACAATTTTTAATAATACATTAAAATCATTCGTGGTATCATAAATTGAAATATAAATTATAAATAGTATGTTTATATTAAAATTCATTTACATAAATAACACAAATATATTATGAAAACCATAATAATAAACAAACATGATTGCAATCTATTTAGACGTTTTGAACAATGTATGTACACCATTGATTATACACATTCTATTATGATTCAACTATAAATAAAAGCTGCTTCACATATTCACTAAATTGCAATCACCAAACTTATAATATTAAATTTTAAAATAATTTGATTGGTTAATAAATTAAAATGTCATTTATTATTAATAAGTATCATTCAATTATTATAATTAATACCTAAATTTTGAAATTACGTATTTCCAAAAGAAATTAATTCTGATAATGATAATCAGCCAATCAGATTTCTTATAATTTGAATAATCCTATGTTTACTTTTACTTATGATTTTACCGTTATATATTTATAGTTTTGAAAAATTTATCATTTGCCGTAGTACTAAAGTATTGGTAAGACATAATTAATTTTAAAAAGCTACAAAGTTGACTAAGCATATGAATTCTTTTTCAGTACTATAATAATAGAATGCGTTTCTACAGTCCTAACCTCGAATACTATAGTTCAAAGTAAAACGAATATATTCAATTAAATGTAATTTTGAAAAACTTTAATTTATTATAACACGTAAATTATACGGCATATTTAGAATTTTTATTATGATAGTATATTAAACCTATAATTATTGCTTCATGAAAAATAAGTTGTATAATCATTAAAAAATATTTTTTAATTATCATTTTTTTTTAATTTTTATTCTTACAAAACTATATTGCATTATTAATATGAACAAGATAATTTCATTATTGCATATAAAAACCTTTTTTAAAATTAGTTAATATTTTTTTAACTAACATTTAGATACATTTCTAGCAATTTACTGAATTTCTAATTGATTAAAGATTGTCTTTATATTTATCTATAAAATATTATTTTGATTTAATATTACAAAATTTAAACTGGTAATTAAAAACACGTAGTTTATAAATTGAAAAAAATTACATAAAATGCGTTGTATGTTTACAAAAATAGTTTACTTTTATATAATTGTATACAATGTAAAAATTTAAAATAAAACTTTTAGCACCTAGAAATTTGAAATATCAAATTCTTGCATGCATGCAAATATCAAACACATGCACTTTGATAACATTTAACAATTATTATAAATATATAATTTAATATAAAAATTCAGCAATTCTATAGTTTTTATAAAGCCAAATAAACTACCCATTCAAAATATATATAAGATGTTTAAAATCGAAAATGGTTTGTCGTGTTATTAGTCAAGCTATTGGGTTATTTTTCTTTTTTACTTTTATTTTAAAAAAGAATCTTAGATTTTCTTAATTGCGTCTCAAATAGACGGATAGATTTGATTTCGAAGCCGTTGTTCATTTTTTTTAAATTATTTGTTGGCCTTTTCTATATTGTCTAACTACCGATATTACTTTGCCACTTGCATTTAAGAGTCAATTCATCATACAAATCTACTTATAACTATATAAGTTATAGTTAAAAGAAAAATTTAGTTCGACTCTTAAATAAAAAATATATCCACTTTAGAATTTAGATTTTCCGATATTTCCTTATTGTCATTCACGTAATGAACTAAGCAGCTGAATATACACATTAAAGCATACTAATTTTGTACATATTTAAATTATTTTTTTTTTACATTTGAATCACAATATTTATTTATAATTTTTGTAAAAAATTTAGATTCTTATTCGATTAATATTACAAAAATTTGTAAATTCTTATTTTCGATTTATATTATTTTACATTGTTTGATTGTTTATTTTTACAAGAATTGGGTTTTACATTCAATTTAATTTAAATATACGCATAAAATTAGTATGCTTTAATGTGTATATTCAACTGCTTCGTTCATTACGTGAATGACAATAAGGAAATATCGGAAAATCTAAATTTCTCATTCCTTTTCATCTGTTGTTTGAACACTATTTTTTACCTTTTTTATTTATTTGTTCCTAATATTTTCAAATTTTTTTTTACTAATTCAATCTAATTCGCCGTTCTTTTGAACTCGAGTTTCACTGATTCATTAGGTTTGATATTATGATAAATTAAGTTTCTTAATAATGTAACTAAATTTCTATATTGTTTTAATTTTGCAGCTATAAACATTCTTTTTGTTTAGTATTATCAAAGTTACATATTCTAGATTCAAATATTACTTGGCTAAACTGCTTTAATTGTGAAAAAGTTTTGTTAATTGTATGAATAAAAATTTCCGTCGTTAAATCTGTATTGTTTTTAATATAATTGTATGCGCCGACAGCTATAATTCCCTTTAACTAGCAGTATATTATATTTCTTATATTTTAGACTTAGTCTCTTATTAGAACGTCGGTTATTTTCTGTAGTTACTTGTGTTCAAGTTTGTTTTTAATTATCATTTTCATTATTATAAATTCTAAGAAACTTCTGATAATATTGTTTTTACTGTTTCTTGAATATAAATTGCATTGTCGACCATTCTACTGATAATTTACATTATCACGAGTAATACTTTGACAAATTCAATTAGTTCTTTTACAGTTTTTCAAACTATCTTTTTATTTAAATTTTATATTAAGCTGATTTGCAGGCACTGTATAATAGATAGTCTTCAAAACATTTTATATTAGCAGTATCTGTTATTCAATAACTTTAGTAGGAGCAATTTAAAAATTGAAAGTAACATTTATTTAATTAGTTGTTTTATTTTTTCATTCATTTTGAAAGCTTTCCTTACAAATCTGTTAAGTAATCAGATTCTCTTTGATATTTTTTTCTGGGTCTGGTTTTTATTGTTCCCTAAATCCTGTAATCAAGCTTTTATTTTTTATCTGTACATAAACTAAAATTTAATTGAAGGTCCTTATTAAAAGATTTTAGTTTTTTTTCTATTGTTCAGCTTTTTAGAAAACTTAGAATTGCAGATTTTTGGACATTTGTTTAAAAAGCAATACGTTTTAGTATTAATACACTTCTTTCTCTAACTTTAAACACTTTTTCAAAAATATTATACTTTTTATATATGGAAATTGATTAAAATTTCATTTAAAATAAACGTTTGGCATTTTCTTTGCTTCTTCTTATTTTGTATTTCTATTCCTACATTACTCGCATTAACTTGTGTAGTAGTGAACTAATTTGTAATTAATAATTTAATTTTTATGCTCAATTTTCCTCAGTTTTAAAAATCATCGTGAAAATATTGTTGATTTGCTTGTATATATTTAACAATTACTATAACTTCGACTTAATAGCAATTTTTATATTATTTAGTTTTTGTTGCATTTTTTATTTTGGCTTTCTTGTGATTGATACTTTTTAATGAAGTTTTTCGTCATTAATTACTAAATATATATTATTATTTAATTTACAAATACATTGATGACATATAAATAAAATTTATAAATTCCTTGATTGCTTGAATTAGTTGGAAATTTTGATAATCTTCTGTATTATTTGTAATTTTATTACACTAGGTCTTTTTTTACAATTATCCAGTTGAGTGACTTAAACAATAGGACTTCGACAATTTATCTTTAAAATAAATATTGTCTAGGATTAGACAAAAAACACCCAGGTGTTCAGTGGGAGGATTGCGGGCAAGTGGAAGGGGAAGGCGCATTTATTCAATAATGAACACAATAGCATATCTTGACATTTTTTCTCTTTACTTACAGACTACACAATAAATATGATTCTAAGATGGTGCTGAGAATTTATGAAATTTTTCAGTTCGGTGGTAGTTACCACGTGGCGTTGGCATGCACTACATACAAGGGTAGGAAGTTGTAAATCTTCTGGTAAATGATTACACTGAAAGTAAAAGGTCGTAAATCTCTAGTACTTCTTCGTGTAGTGCCCGTAACGACTGGCGAGCTTGCGCCTTCAATATATTGTTTCTCCTTGAATTAAATTTACAGAAATTCATTGTCTTGCCTAATTCTGTAAAGACTACGTTGATGGTCCACTTCTTATTTAATTTTCACTCTTGTAATGCAATCAGCATTCTTGATTGCTTAACTGTGGCACACTTAAATGGTTATAAATTATTAGGGCTTCACTGTTGGCTTATTAGTTTATTATTGCAGAATCAGGTTGAATTATGTGCGTATATTTTGTAAAACTGATTGACTGGTATAAGGCGGAGTTTAGTGGCTATGTAAAGTAATAATTAACAACTAATTGATTGAGAAAATTACAGAGAGCCTAAAAGCCTGCTAAATACGCGTACGAAACAGAAGGCTTAGTCGTTCCGTGGTGGCTCTGTTGAGATACATCGAATATTCCATGGCGGTCCTGCTAAGGCAGACCGTGATTCGTGTCATGGCGACTTCACTCGGTTTCACTAAGAGAGAGAGAGAGAGTGAGTGATTCGTCACGTGTTTTCCTTATGTATTCGCGCGACAGTTTACTTATCTGGCAACAATGTATAGGTGTTACTATGCCGAAAGTCTTAAGTTGAAAGTAGGCTCTAGAAATTTCAAGAATTCCAGAAGGACCAGCTTTAGAATGTTCGAGAATTTTCCATCGACGCTGCTATACGGAAATATTGTAGGACACTCGAAAATAAGGCGTAGAATATTCGAGAATTCGCAGAATCAATGTTTACAAATATAGGCATTAGAAGGTGTTCGAGATTGCAAGAACCTTTTCCAATGCGATAAAACACCTAACAAAACAATATCGTTAAATTGTCGTTAGTCTTCTGAAAAATTTTGCTTATCTAAATATCCAACTGGAGTGTCATAAAAAACTTCGACGAAAACTCTCTCACAGTCGTCGATGGCTCGATAAAGTCAATACATCTAGAAAAAGTTCGTGAATAGTCATGTTATTTATTTTCGCATCACGATCGCGCTCATTGTCTTTTATCGCGTTAAACGATCTTGTTGTTTACTTGCCAGAACGTTTTCTGTCTGTTTACTTTGACTGTTTATTTTGAGTGTCAGATGTACGTTAACTAACGAGTGGAAAAACATTTCCAAAAATTCATTGCAACTCAAAACCCTGCACATGCGGAATCGGGCAATCGGCACATGTGTGCATTCAGCGTCATGAAATAATGCGCACATTATTCCCAAGTACGCCGAATGTTGACTCTCGCACTAGCCAATCGATTACGCTAGTATAAGAGACCCGCCATATCGCTAAGTCCAAGAGAAGGCGACACGACCAATAGCGGACGCTCGCCCCCCCAAAGACACTTTTCTGATATTAGCGTTTTCAAACCTAAATTTCGAAGGAAGTGGGAAAGGACGCGTGCATGGTCAATCATGCTGTCCAAAGGCCGCATTCTGATTTGAACCAAACAAAAGGAAGGGGTCCCAAGTGGACACCAGAGTCAGTGACTTATTTAAAAAAGACAAACACAATATTCAGGACTCAGTCTGCTCGGTCTTTTCAGTTATTTATTCAACAGTCTTTCCATCACTCACTCACTCACTCATGTTGAAGTCACCAAGAAAGGGGGGAGTCCCCTCAGCTGAGTCCGAAGAAAGTCTTAGTCAAACACTCACGCTAAAATCACAACGGAAGAAGTAACATCGTAACAGCTGAGTCCGAAGAAAGCTTAACCAATCATTTTCGCAACTCCAAGAGAGCGTCAGCATTGTCTACGACTCTCATTCCTCAAGGTCACACGGTATCTCCAGCATATAGTACGAGTCCATGTAGATCTTAGTCCGCGCGACACGAGAAGCCTGCATCGTTCTTTCAGTTACATACCGCGTCGAGCCTAACCTTTAATAGAAGCCGCTTGTGCCTAAAAACACGACGCAGTCACAGTTTCCCCCGCATGGCAATACTCTATGAAGTGGTGAGAGCTTTACAATCTCCCTTTTTTCAGGGTAATCTACCATCAAAGACACTACGTCACGAGGATCCGGAACTTTACAGCCTCTTACCTCCAACCGAAGTGCACCGTAACGCCATATTCCAATCACCAAAGAGTAACAAAGGTTCATCTATAACTTAATCGGCAATAATCATCCCTGTATTTGGAAAGTAGACAGAATAAACAGCAATAATAAACGCATCTGTTAACTATTGAATCAATGCATTAACACTTTCACTTGCCTACGCATTCTCCCACATAACATCTAGTGGTTTCTCATAGTTAATTCCAAACAGAAAGCTTATACTTTTCCTATTTTAAAGTACTTGGATATTGCTCCAATCCCGAACAAATATACTAGTATTTTTAATATTTGATAATTATGTTTATTCTTATTTAGAAACTGGCTTTCTTAATCGTTATTTATTATAACCAAGATAGTAATAATATTTGTAAAGATTTATAAACTGATAACCAATATATATTATTACATTTTTTCAGAACAGTTAAATAAAAAAACTTCTTAATTTTACTAAATCTCTATTGTATTGTTTTACGTTACATAATCTGCATTTTTTTTAAATATTTTGTTTATTTCTTCAATCCATTTATAGTTGTACTAGTTATATATATTAATATTTAATGTAATTATAAATATATAACATGCACGCCGTTAGAAGTATGTTGGATTTATTCATTTGTAAAAATACGAAAAGGTTATTGAACATATCAAACATAAATTATGAAAGTGAAATTAGTATTTTAATTAAAAATAATAGAGTATCAAAATACTTAAAAACAAAACGCTGACAATTATAAACACGTTTATAGACATTTTACATATTCAAAATATTTATAATGTGTATATTATAGATTTTTGTTTCGTGAGATGAGAAAAATAAAAATAGAAACGGTAAGTTAATACAAGTAACTTTGTTTAGAATGCAGACATTTTTTATTTATTTATTATATGTGTTCGAAAGTTTAGTTTCTGGTTCGAATTGCCAAATTCAATAGTTCAGTTTATTAGTCTCTCGCCGTAACGATGCTTAGGAAAGGACACATATGGAAGGGCTGTAAATATGTACAGTGTGTAGCTTAATTTTAAAACATTGTTTATTTTGTTTTATTAATAATTACAGTATTGTAGTTCTAGGTTCACTGCTCGTGGGAGAGAGTGAATTGTTCTATTACAATGATGTAGTTGCTCCTTAATGATGGTGGCGATGTCGTTGATGATGTTATGGGAATCATCAATGGATTTTGTATATTCTCTGAAGGGGAGTACAGCTTATTGGGTTCTATGCTGACATTGTAAAGGTCAGCAAGAAGAGTCGACCATGCTCATCAGGCGAGCATGAGAAGGTGGTAGTGGTAGTTAGCAGGGAGAATCGACCTTACTCATAACAGGAGTATGGGAGTATCTGTGTGCTAGTTATTCGCAATAAAGACAGATGATATACCTTCGAGAGTAGAAGGATCAGATACCATGCTTTGTGCAGTCGACTATTATATAGAACGGCAGTCAGTCCTTGATGGATTGTTCTCTTGGTGCACTGGATAAGTGAACGAGTGTTCCTTGCAATAGCTGCGTTGAATGAGCGTGTGTTGCGTGACTTTCTCCTTGGTGTAGACTCCGTGCGATAGCGTGGCGTCTGGGTAGGTGACTGGCTAGCACGAATGACTGATTGTGAGGAATAACTGATACTATGCTCTTTATGACTACTTTATGTTAACTACGTGGAGTCTTGTCGCGAGTTTTCTTAAGTATCGGCGCGGCAACTAGCTTTAGTTCGAAACAAGCTTTCGGCTAGTTGAGAATTCGGCGAAAGCAAACATAATCGTTCCAGGCTAAGCAACAATCGGAAACGATCGAGAATTTGGCGGAAGTAACGTAATCGTTCGAGGCTAAGTAGCCATCAGAAACGATCGAGAATCCAAGCTTTTGGCTACTCGAGAATTCGGCGAAAGCAAACCTTGGAAGATTCAATAATTCAATCGATTTTGCTACGCAAAGGCTAAGCAGCCGCGTAGAACGTTCGAGAATTCTGCTTTTGGATAATTAAGAAATCAATGTGAGAAAATGTAAACATTCCGAGAACCGAAGGCCTCGAATAAAACGCTCCAATTCCGAACAATCTGTTTCTATATAATCTCTTTATATATTATTTTTAGACGAGCAAACACGGCACTTTTTTTTATTAATTGTGGAAAATTTATAAAAATAATACCATTTATTTCTTCCAATCAAAAGATTTTACCTTAAATAATGGAGTATTTTTATACCATTATTATTTTATACAATAAATTAATTTCATTATTATAATTTAAAATATTTGAATATCTTTCTCCTGCATTTTCTATTATTTTTTATGAATATTTACAATATGAATTTATAATAATGATCATAACGAATGAAAAATATTATAAGATTTTCAATCTAATAGTAAAGTAACAATAAACTGTATAGAATTTTACATCACTTTTTATTTATAAATAAAAATTAAAAAAATTTAATATTTATTACAATACAATATAATTATATATAACTATTAATTTTCTTTTTAAAAATCATAATAATGATGACAATTTAGGAAATGGGTTTTGTTTAGAAATGACTACTTTCTTATGTTGGTGCGAAATATATCCTTTAATTTTTCCATCAAAAATTAAATTTGCTACTAAGCACTCAGTTTCGTCCATATTTATTTCACTTCTTCCATATATCTTCAATGCGCATAAAAGGCTTTGAATGTCTATTTGATGAGTATTTAAAATTAAATAAACTTTTTTAAATAAATTTCTGTAAGCTATTAATTTTAACTTTTCTACAATTAAATATATTCCAGCATTAATTAAAAATGATTCTTGTTTACACATTACAATATCTAAATTTTGCAAATTGCCTTTCTTCACGGCTTCAATCAAATCGCAAAATTCAATTAAATTATATTTTTTTAACAAATTATGTTTTGGTATATAACCAAGTAACATTTTTACAGGAATTAGATACATCAAAATCAATCTTTTATTTTTTTTAGACTTTTTATGGCAATGTTGAAAAGCATATGTCAGATATTCGTCAGCTGCAAAATAATAAGAATGTTCAAAATGACGATTATTTTACCTTTAAATATGAAATATACACACCAATTCGCATACATTTAAGCTCATGCATGCGTGCATGCGCGCGCGCACACGCACACACATGCACACACACATGAACACAGAGAAACGATTATAATATTGAGACTACGCAATCGTACTTAAAAAGAAAATCTTAAAGAAAAAAATTATTCAAAGTTTATAATTGTAAAATACATATTTCATGACATCAACTTAACACCTAAACTTAAATACACATAAAATAAAGTCTCAAAATAAATAATTTATGAATTTCTATATTTTATTAATTAAACTTGATATAAGTAATATAAATAAATAATATAAATACGGAAAAATATAACTGAAACTCATTAGATATTCATTATACAGAGAAACCATACATTTACCGACACCGAATAACAATATACCTAAGTTTTAATGTAGAAATATCAATATTATAAGTGTAAATTATTAATTTATTAATAATTTCAGAATATATTTATGATATTGTAATTTAATAATTTGATTTTGTATGGAATTGTTAATATATATTTGTATATCAAATTTTAATCCCAATTAATCTGAACCCTAAATATTTTTAATTGTTTAGATGAATAAATACATAATTTATATTAATAATTAAAATAACTTAATTTAATCCTACAATTCCGTTATGCATTTATGACTAATTTATTCCAATTTTATAAATAAGCGTATATATTTAAATGTATTTATAATTTTCTTTCAGTGGTATTACCTATTATCTTTTCTAATTACTAATCAAAAATAATTTTACGTCATTAGATTTTTATTTTGTTATATTAATATCAAACAAATATATTTACATACTAGAAATTCCAATCTGCAAACAAATTTATAATATATGAAGATTTTATAAAAGATTTATCGCATTATTTAAGAGTTCTTGAATGAGATATTTATTTTCAATTTTAATTATCAAAAGAATTTTTGGAGGTCCACCGATATCTACATTCAACAATTATAATATAATGTAAACTGAAGTTTTCTTAAAATAATTTTTAACAGTATATAAAATCGATTAAAAGCTTTCCTGTGTATTTTCAGCCTTTATAAACTGTACATAAAATAGATCGAATTAATTGAATTAATCAACATCAAATAATAGAATCGATAGTTATCCTTTTTTATAGAGTTGCAAGTGATTATTTGTTTCTGTAATTATGACTTACTAGGATTGTAATTTATCTGATAATTTGTTAGTCTAACTTGTCTTTTATAGCACCCATTATGACTTTCTCTCTTCCTTTTGCTATCTATAAATAATTCTATCACAAAAGACTTCCATAAAAATTTTATAGAGGTTGAGTTTTTCTTTCCCGTTTTTCAATAGTATGTGAAATTAATATTTGTAACAAATTATAATGAAATGTATTTTTTGTATCCTGTTGAAAACGAATTATGTATATGATTAAAAAACTATACACTTTGTTTATAAAGAAGCACTTTTATATTTAATATCTCTGTAAATGAGTATTTTATTTAAAATATCTATCTACCTTTTTCATTTTTATTATAATTTAAATATATACTACGGCTTATGATCAGCCTTTTCTTACATCTTTATACAGAATAATAAAAAAATTGAATTATAAAATAAATAATAAAATTATCTATTCTTAAGAAGATAAATTTTAATAAGTTCAATTTATAATAAAAACAGAATAAATATTCGATAAACACATGTGTCTAATATACAGTAGTATAATTCTGTTTATTGGTTATAATATGAAAAGTTGATAATATATACATTTAAAAAAATAAAAAAACAAAGTAAAATCTAATATATATATATATATATATATATATATATATACATATATATTCGAATTCTATATCTAAAAATTCGTATATAATAAACTTTTTGAATATATATGCATATTAATAAATTCATCTTTATAGAATAATATAGTAGGCAAATATCTGTCACCTATGCAATTTCAACGCAACATGTTTATACGAGAATATTTAAGGAGCTGCACACGACGGTCACGTCCTCTTACTAGTTCAATCAAGCAATCATCAAGATCAAATTATTGTTCTACAAGTCAACGCCATTTACACAGAGATCGCCTTCAATTCACACAAATCGCTTTCTTACAAGTCAAATAGCACTTATATAGAGGTCACATCCAACACACAACGATCTATTTCCACACACGTAAGCTACGCTATTACAGACGTCCTTACGTACCATCAATACAACTGTGATCGACTCCACACACGTAAGCAACGCTATTACACACGTTCTTACGAATCACTAACACACGGCTCCGTGAACTAAGTAAGCAGCAATACCAAAGCCACGGCATCATTGCCATTCATCAGTGACTTCATACACCAGCGACCACTCAAGCTTCTCCAGCTCATCGGTAGCGGCAACGGCAGCATCAATTCTTCTCACCAGTGACGTTACATACCAACGCCACCACCCAGATCTCTCCAGCGTATCGGTAGCGGCAATCGGTGGCGTCAATCACGCTCGATACCACAAGAATACATTTATAAGATTATCATCACTCACATTACCTGAAGAAACTCTCACCTATTTATTCAATCATACTGTTCGATTTTGAAGGGGTTAGCTTATGGCTCGAACTACCAATTCAATAGTTCAGTGGATTAGTCTCTCCGCAGGATAATTTTAAAGGAAATCAATAACAGACAAGGCTGAAAAATATAATATATTTATTAAAACAAGATTAATGATTATATAGCTCATCGATAGCGGCAACGGCGACATCAATTCTCCACAACAGTGACGTCATACACCAGCGCCCCACACAGGCCTCTCCAGCTCATCGGTAGCGGCAACGGCGGCATCAATTCTTCTCACCAGTGACGTTACATACCAACGCCACCACCCAGATCTCTCCAGCGTATCGGTAGCGGCAATCGGTGGCGTCAATCACGCTCGATACCACAAGAATACATTTATAAGATTATCATCACTCACATTACCTGAAGAAACTCTCACCTATTTATTCAATCATACTGTTCGATTTTGAAGGGGTTAGCTTATGGCTCGAACTACCAATTCAATAGTTCAGTGGATTAGTCTCTCCGCAGGATAATTTTAAAGGAAATCAATAACAGACAAGGCTGAAAAATATAATATATTTATTAAAACAAGATTAATGATTATAAAACAATTATTACAATATTGCACTGTTGTGTAGAGACAAATAATTCTGTTGGATTATTCAAATGATGTGTTCTTGTAATTCTTATGCTATGAAGGCTTCTATGGATATTACTGTGTTGCTTTGAGGTTATTCTGATGTCGTCAGTCAATCATGCTTGCGAGGCAGCATGGGATGATGGTGTAGAATCAAGTATGCTTGATTGATGAATAGCTATACTTGATGTGGTGTCAGATCTTTAATGTAATTTATTATATAATCAATTGTCTTTAATTATGTAAAGGGACAGTAGTAGAATCTAGTCACAGGTAAAAACAATTAAAGGTAAGATTTCTAATTCGTGAAGGATTTAATAATCTGTATTTATAGAGTCTATTAGTCTTGTGTAACCAATGTGTGTGAACCACAGTGACTCTTGAGTCAGCTGTTCAGGGCCTGTACGATGTCGAGGGTTAGTTCGAGAGAGCGTAAGTGTGCCCAGGTTGTGCTAGCGGGCCTGTACGTTGTCGAGGGATCAGTTCGAGAGAGCGTAAGTGTGCCCAATCGACTATAGCGCGAGATGTGGCTTGTTTATTTATTAATATAAAGATATGTACCTGGTGAACTGCAGGCTGGATGTATTCGATGCTGTGTAGGTAATGTTCCCCTTGATTACAATTTCATTGGCTTCACTGTAATCACTTATTAAAAACTGCCGATTGTCTTTTCTATGCACGGGGGTACTCTTTACTATGCTGCAGAAAATATGGCCACGCGGCGTCTTTACAGTATACTATGCACTGACCGGCAGTTACGCTTGATTGAGAGCGAAGTGATTTTACGAATGAGCGTCGCCTCATGGCGCGTTGCGTTTAAATGTGCATGCGGCGTCTTCAGCGCCGGCAACAGTGTCGATGCGCGTCCCTTCCAGAAATTTTCCTTTGGTGTGTGAAAACGAAGCTTCTAGAAGTTTCGCAGGCGTCCCTTTTTTGCGAGTGCTGGCAGTAAATTATATTTCAAATCGTAAACTTGCTCGGACTTGCCGAGTTTTGCTAGTAAACATTTTGCTCGAGTACCCGCCTCGGTCCGCACGTGCGGATCAGCCTAGGCGCACGTGGTGGTCAGCCTTGCTGCACGCGCGGTCAGTCTAGGCGCACATGCGGTACGCCGGACTGCGTATATGACCTTTCTTTTGTTTGAAATTCATGGGACTGCTTCAATCCCGAACACATACACTCATTCGATATTCATAGATTATTAACTATTCATTATTTATTATATTCAATAAAAGGGAAAGTCAACTCAGATAAAGGCAGTATTGAATTATTGCATTGTCCATTCCACTTGCCAGCAAGCCTCCCTTCACCATCTCAGGGAAGCGTTTTTAGTCTGATCTCAGACATTTTGGTCCTTCGAGCCGGATAAGTGGAAATCATTGCATACATCAAATACTACCAGTCATAAGGATAATAGTACTATACGCAGATCATTGACTACGAGAGAGATTCTTCATCACTGAAAGTTATGCTATTTAAAAATACTAATTATTATATTAATTAGAGTAACTGAGAATAAAATATAAAATGTGTCAAAAAACTTATATTTTGACAGTTTACATGAGTTTCAAGTCCAAGGTATTTCATATGTACTACTGTAAAATGTGCATTATCAATATATATTTTTGTAAATTCTAAATAATGGACTATTTTTTGTTGTATATATTTGGTAAAATTTCAGATATTATGATATAAGAATTATGAACAATAAAAACTTACCAGCTTTATAATTACTGTCAAACATAGCCTTTCGCCCAACAAAAAACCTATAAGTTATTTGTTGAGCAAGCGAAAAATGATCTTTATATATTGAAGACTCTATTGCTCGTATAAGAGGCTTACAGAGATGTAACTTATTTATTCTAAAATAAACTTTTAAAAGTTGATTGACAAGCGATAACATTCCCCATCTTTTTGTATCATCTTCAGAGCTTCTATTGTCAGCGGCGCAGATTCTAAAACAACTCATCAAACATTCGGCACATTTTTCTAAATTTTCACCTGGTTTTCCATTTCTTATTTTTTTAGATGTTTCTGTTTTTACTGCCAGCAATCTTAATTCTAGACACATCATATTCATAACTGGAAGCATCCAATTTTCTTCTTTTTGAATTTGTAATATTTTTATTAACACTTGAACAGCGGAACTATGACTCATATATGCTATTAAAGCATCATCTTCATTCAATGAAAATAATGTTCTACACAAAAAAATAAAAATACACGGTAATTATAAAAAAAATTTAAATATTAGAATATTTACTAAAAATTAAATTATTATGTTGTACTTCAGACTAATGTAAACACGATTGTTTAATTTAAATTCAATTACCTGTAAAACTAATCACATTTAATATTTATCGATTTATTAATCCAAATGCATAAAATGGATGTCATATATTATTTGTCGATTATCAAATGTAACACAATAATCGATTTCTACACAATTTTACTAAAATTACATGCAACAAAATATATTGTATTGTATTTTTTTTCTATAAATAACATTATTCTAATTCTTTATCTTCTTTTTTTCACTATAACGTTTTATATTTTCCGCTCTACTAATACTTTAGCAATTTCCCACACATCTATTTTTCGACCACTTACATTTATTTATTCACTCGACCTTTTCTATTCCCATTTGCAGCTCACCTTTTCCCCTTAAACTCTTTAAGTTTTTTCATATATATATATATATATATACACATATATAGTACATAGTATATATATACATATATACATAAAATATCCATGTGTCTCGTTCTGTAGTAATGGTCTATGTTATGCATTCTCTCTTTTCCTCCAACAATAGTAACTTATAGCTATACGTCCTTTCTGTATATAGATCTATGTGCTCTATTGCATTATATAATCATAACAATAAATAATTATATTATATAATTTCAAATTAAACTTTTATTTTAGAATCTCTTTAAATCATTTTTGTTCCTATTAATGTGTTAGAAAAATATTCTTAAGTAGCTGAAACAACGAAAGTAAATGTGGCAGATAATAAAGTGAGAAAGAAAAAAATTCTAAGAAAAAGTTTGTATTCATTAAATAAAATCTTAATGGTTGAAATTAAAAAGATTCTATTAATATATATCTAATAACAGAAATCAACTAAATCCAAATTATTGAAGTATGAAATATTTTTCATTAAATTACAGTATAAAAATATAAAATCTAATGTTTTCTAGTACTTTTATTTTATTGCTTAAAGAAACAAAAATAAAAAAGTGAGCTGATATTATATATGCAATGCTGATTATACAGAGTGACTATTAAATAAGGGAAGCAAATTATTATTTAAAGAGTTATGTCAACTTTAAAAAAATTTAATAATAATGAATTATTGTCCTAATTATTATTATTAATATTAAAAGAAAGAAAAATCATTGAACATCATTATTTTTCATTCTAATAGAATGAAAGATGAAGTGAAAATTATTTGTTGTTCAAAATATTGATCTACAAACAATAATAAATGAAAATACATAACATGATTAATTTTAATTGCATTCACAACTGCTGGAAGAAAACTATTGTAAAGGAAGCCCTTTAATCAGCCTGTATAATAGAAAGCCTCATTCATTTGTATAAATCTAAGCAGTACATTAATATATATCAACTTATAGAATAATCTCAAACCCATAAAATTATAATTTGCAATAATTAACCAATAAATCTATTAATTGAATGCATTACATTATTATATTACATATACACTGATTAATTAAGGAACTTACTTTAAGTGATATAAAACAAGATCATCAAATGGTGAAGGTAAAACTTCGATTACATGAGTCATATAAGTTTCTGAAGTTGCATGAAGTTGAATATTCTGTCTTAGAGATAGTAAATTCTGAAAATAAAATATAAATTATTAAAATTAATTTAATAATACCTAAGTCCTAATAAGAATTGTTTTTTTCTTTGCTTCAATCAATAAAAAGTATGTTAAATTTAGTATTTTATGAGTCAGACAAAATAAACTACAGAAAACGTAAAACAATATTTCTGAACATATATACCTATAACTAAATAATTTATTAATAAATGAGTAGCAATTAATAATAAAATGAAAAATAATAAAATTAAAAATTAAAGTAGAAAATAAAATGTCATTTAAAATAATAGAAATTAATTTTTGAATAAAAGAATTTTAAATGTTTTAAAGATGTTTTAAAGAATTTCAAAATGTATATATAATTATTGAACGAAATTTGAAGCCACGTTTTTACGATAGATTTACAGAATATTAAATTAAGATAAATTAAAATAATCTTCATCTTTTTTTAAATTAAAATAAATATCATCTGTTAGTTATATAGGGATGAAATTTAATTTTCGAATGTATAAATTCTGTTTTTATATAAAAGTTGGTAAAAGGGTCTTTAAATATTTTTATATTATATATATAACATTAACCGTATCATTTTTGGTACGGACAAAAAATTGAAAGTCAAAGGTGGGAAAGGTATGAAAGCGCAATTCAGTTATTTAAATAAAATACTAGCAACGAACGTTCCAGGCTATGTCATGATGACGTCACGACCAATATTGTCATGGTAACAAACATCAGCTTTGGAGAATTAGTGCGATAATATTTAAGGGCTGCGCTTCACGCGTAGCAGTCAGTTTGCTTCAGTCTATTCATATTACACAATCATTATAATACGCACTATATATTTTCTACCACATCTACAGAAACCACAGTTTAATAATAAATAATTAATAATCATTTAAATAATAATCTACAAAGAAATAGTGACATTTATTCTAAAATTATTAATTACGTATTAGTGACTATAAAACAATAGTGAAACATAAAATATATTGAAGCAACTCATACATAAGACAAGACCGATGTAACATAGGCTCGGCATTAATTATATCACTATTAAAACACATTATAGATAAGACCTACGTATCATAGGCTCGGCATCAACCATACCTCATATATAAGACCGATGTAATAAAGGCTCGGCATAAACCATACTACTAAGACCAACGTATCATAGGCGCGGCACAAAGCATACTACTATTGAAACATATTACAGATAAGACCGACGTATCATAGGCACGGCACCAAAGTATAACACAAACATCAACAATTTAATGTATGCTAAGATAGCATTTATTCATTTTACAACAAAGGAAGAATACATTCATAATACGTAACTGTTACGGATTACAGCAGTTTTATGCGGAATACAAAGTGGGAGAGGTATGAGCACGCGAAACATTGTTTTGTAAACATTGGCCAACGGACTCAAAGCATGCTTCTAGCCGAAAAACTCTAATATACGACTATAATTCCGAGAAGTAATAACAAATGAACCCTACAAGGCTATGCCCTATTGATGTCACGATAAATAGCGGCATAGTAACAGCCACCGATGCGCTATCGGCGCAGCCAGTTCGTACAAGAATATGTAAGGAACTGCACGTGTCGCGATTGCTTCTTGCTAGTACCAATCATGCACTCTTCACATCGGGCTCGCTATCCAACCCTGCAATCGCCATTGGGAGGCCATGGCAAGCATCAAGCATCCTAAGGAACTAATAGCGCTGCCACAACTATACTGGCACCCACGCCTCCGTAAGCAACGCAGACGCTCGTTCCTTACTACTTCTTACTAGTTAACAAGCAGCCATCACGACAGAAACGCCAATCTATACACGCGGTTTACGTCCGCATGTAAGTAACACCGACGCTCGTTTTTACATCTTACCCTTACACCGGGGTTCCCGCCAGCTCATGTAAGATACGACCAGACGCTCGTTCTTACATCTCACCTGTACACCGCGGTTTACACCCACATCGAGCACATGAGCGTGCACCAATCCCACCACTACCTTTGAGCTCACGGACTCAAGCTGTGACCTCACATGGACGTTCTCCCACCACTCTGTTCACTACAGCTCACTCCTCGCCGGCGGCCAAGACGGCACTAACTTGCTGCCCGAAACCGCCACGAGTCCCCCACTACAACTACTCAACCCGAAGGAAGAAGGGTAATCACATTCCAGGTTATCAAGAATACACGTACAGACTTATCGCCACCAATATTAATGAAGAAACACTGATCTATTCATTCTATCATACACTCATTCCGATATTCATAGATTATTAACTATTCATCATTTATTATATATACTAAAAGGAAAGACTATAAACATTAAAGGCAGTATTGAATAATTGCTTTACCCTTTCCACTTGCCAGCAAGCCTCCACCCACCACTATAAGGAGGTTTTTAGTCTGATCCCAGACAGTAACAATAAAGGAAACTCACAACTCCTCAGGCTTGAAATTTTGATTATAATAGTATTGATGGAGGAATTACTTACATTAAGCATTCTAAGCAATTTTTAAATTTCCTAATTCTTCTGGCAATTTTATTAAACAGATATATTTTAAATATATTATATCATTAGTGGTAAGATTTATAAATTAATATTGATTATTATTATCAATTAATAATAATTGATAATAATAATTCATAATAATTAATGGTAAATTAAAAAATTGTGTTAAAAGTGTAAAATGTTTAATTAAATTTGAAAAAAATACTTACAGCTAAAGAATTACCATCTTGATGTGACCAACTTCTTCGAAGCTGAAAATAAATAATATATCAGCGTGTATTGTCTTACTATAAATATAAATTAAATCATGTTATCAAAGAAATTTCTTAATATAAATGATAATAAAAAAAAATTAAATTGAAAATTAGTCTTTCTACAAGTAAATTAAATCTATTTTGAAAGATAATTCACAATGATATAATATACTAGTTCTAATTTAAATCTTCAATTCAAAAGAATGGAGTAAATAGTATTTATTTTAAATTTTATTACAATTTTCTTATATAATTTAATAATTAAAAAATTGTATTTTCTTTACAAATATCAAAAAAATCCATATTGATCAATATTTGTGATGTAACACATATTATAGAATTTCCTTGTTCTAGTAAAACCAAATGCAAGAATTAAAAGAAATTGTTATTTTGTTTTTACTACATTTAATTGCAAAGAATGTTATTATTAAGCTCCCTATTCTTATTAATGATGGCTGATCTGTTTCTATAATTTCATCAAAAAAATAACCGCATTTTTTAAACTACATTAGATCACTGATAAATTTTTAGGTATAAGCACTTTCTTTGTGCTGATTATTATTAATGGTTTTAATTCTAAAACAAATAAAATTTTAATTGTTAGTAGCTAAAAGATATCTGTCATTGTTTTCTGTATTATATATATTTTAAATACTATGAAATTTTACGACTCAAAACATTCATCTATTTATAAGCACTGTATTATCCAACTGTATGAGCATATTATTTATTGTACAAAAATGCAATTTTTGTATTGATTTAACAGCAAGTGTGAAAATTGGATTAACATTTACTATAATTTGCATATGTTTCTGAAAATTATTTTACATTCATTTTAACATATTTTATTTACAATTAAACTTAATGTATTTTAGATTTTAATTTTTTAGTATTATTAACTGACTTTACATAATCAATATAAGTGTAAAGTTATTAAATATAATTGTAAAATATTATATTTCAGAACACTAATATGCTTATTTACAAAATTCTTATTCAATATTCAGTAAATTTACGTTTATGAACAATATATTATGTTGTTCAATTTACAAATAAAAAGGATTTATTTTATTAATGTATTTCCAATACCACTCATAAGCAGTATTTGTTTTTATATTTTAATATCAAAATTATTTATGATAATATATACTATATAATTATCATTAAAAAATAAAAATTTTTAAATATTTTATTATAAAACTGAACTACACTATAATTATACGAACTATTATAATTAGTTTTTTATTGATAAATCGTAATATATAAATACTTCTGTGAATATGAATCATATTTATATGTATATTTACAAATCAATTTGAATTTCAGCTTAATAACAATTTTTAATAATATTAAAAAAAATAAAAAGTAAATTGATTTTATTATATATATGGCATAAAAATAACAAATTTAATTTTTGTATTTTTAATGTACATTGAACTTTAAAAATTTAAAAAACCAAAAATTAATAAATTCCAGTTCTTCATAAAAGGTTACTAATAGTTTAGAAATTTTATAGATATAAATTCAAACAAAACAATCATTGTTATGTTCAATACATTATGTATCACAATACTGTACGTTATATAAATACAAATAATAATTGGTTATAAATTACATCTTCTGGTAAAATAGCCAAAAGTATTTAACTTCTGAAAAAACTATTTACATTTTATTCATTCATCCTATAAAACATTATAGCAAATTTAGTTACATATATTAATAATATTAATTTAATAGTATTTATATTTATTGGTATATATTAACTTATACATATATTAATAAAATCCACGTTACATATTTTTTTAAATTTGAAATTATGAAAACATTTTAATTTATTAAAAAAATAATTCTATATTTTATTTTAATAAAATCCTTTTTTTTTAATTTAAACTGTTGACTTTACTTATGTAAAATGTATACAGAATATAAAAATGTTTCATCTTCCTATCAATTAATAGTTTACATGGAATATTCTTTAGTTTAAATTTGACCTTGTTTTAAATAATTATTCATTCAGTGATTGTTTTGTAAGAATTCATTTAAATATAAGAAATTAAATAAAATTTGAGTAAATTTTATGTAAATGATGTATGAATTTGCGCACACCTGTAAAATGTAATTCTCCATACTAATTAAATGACAAGTTATGAGTAATTATAAGTAATACTTATAATTAGATTATTATTTGTATACTCTTCAAAATTTTATTCAATTATAAATTGATTCTATACAATTTAACCATCGATTAATAACAGCAGAAGTATAGGGTGCAAACAATGTACTCTTACGGCCATGTGCAAATATGGCTCTGAATAACGTGGTCAGTAAATTCAAATTATACAGATGTATTTATAATATTATTGATTATATAATGTTTAAAAACATAAATGTAATTGTTCTATTTAATTGCTCTAACAATTTATTGTTTTATCTGTAACAATTATATATAAAACATTACAACTAAAATATAATAATCACAAATAAAAATAGTAGTTACGTTAATAGTGTGAATAAAAAAAAATATATATATATGACTGTTTTTAATAATTTAATTTATTAACAAATATATATTTTTCAAAAATAATTTTTAAATTTATTAACAAAAATCTTACAATTATAAATAACTGCAAATTGATTTTTACTTATAAATATAAAATACTTTATAATTTTTTCTGTATCATCTCTATCTATATTGTATCAATGGTAGATACCGCATATAAATTAAATATAAATGTTTAAACATTTTTTACAGTATGCATAATAGACATCTGAATTTTATGACTCAATTTTGAATTCAACAGAATATTTCAATAATTACTAAGAATAGCGATATATTTTATCATAAAAAACATTAATTTTGTATTTTAAAAACTATTAGTTTTATTATATTTAAAATTTATAAGTTGTTTTAATGATATATTTATTTTATAGAGTACAATTTAAAAGTAATATTCTTAAATATATGTTTTACTTTTAATAATTTAAACATTACTAAAAGTAAAATTTTCCTAAATGAGTTTGAAGAACTTAATTTCAATTTTAACCGCAAAATCTTTACAGTCATCTAGTAAACCAATTAACCACTCTGACCAATAGCATCTTTACTTTAGTGTATTCCGTCTTTTTAGTTTCAACATTGAAGATCAGTGTGTATTTACTCTTGGAGTGTTTAATGATGGTGTATCATATTGTTACTAAAATTGTGGTAATACTAGGCGTGTTTTTAATTGAAATCTACACCGTACAGTTTATCGAAAACATTATTTTCCTTCCATGATTTATGATTAACAATTATTTATTATTATGCTACTACTGGCATAATATTCGATTATAATAACGGAATAACTTTTTTCCAATAAAATTCGATACTCATGCTAAGCACTGATTATGAGTCACAGTACATTCATAACAATATTTTTAAAAAAATAATGGGCTATATTAAGTGATAATTTTACTCTTGGATTTTTGTATTTTATCCTTCAATTTAGTTTCTTAACAGGGATAAGAAAATACATGATTAGTTAAATGAAAAATTCGAAGGGGTGGTCACGTGACTGCTCAGTAGAAAGCGCGCGATTTAATTTTATTCTTTTATTAAAGTTTTCTATATCCATTATGTAAACTATAAAATTAATTGTAATTATATAAAACTAGTTATATATTATTATTTGTAAAAATTACGAAATAATTATATGAAATATTAACATTTTAATAATCTATCAAGGAAACAATAAATCAGTAAAATAAATATCTAGGTTTAATCAATTTTGCTATTTAAGTAAATCTCTAAAAAACAGTCCAAAGTTATTACAACTAATTTATGTAAGTATAATCATCCAAATATTCATAAATATTTTGTATTCTATGCGAATTCAACAATATTCTTATTACGAAGAAAGTGACACACATTTTGATGAAATAAGCTGTAGAAATACTCAAATGGATGATTTTTACTACGACGATTAATACTATAAAAAAAAATTATTGTAAATGTTAGATAAGGCACAGCTATACAAATAATACGTAGATAAATTACAAAAAAAAATGACAACAATAAAATATTTATTAGTTAATCCATTTCTTTTTTTGTTTTATTTATAATATTAGCTGTTCATTGTAATTATCAATTCATTCGCAATTACAGACATTAATTATAAATTATAAATAATATAAAATATATTTTATTTAAGTTAAGTTAAAGTATATTTTATTATCTAATTAGCTATTTAAATGATTAGAATAGCACAAATATAATATAATATTCAGTATTCAAGCTATGTGTATTTTATAACCTACAAATAATAATAGTAAAATTTATTTGATAAAAAAGTATAAAATTAAATGTTAGTTAATTATTAATATTGAATACAATTATTATTCAGGTTAAATTATTAATTAATTAGAAGGAATTTTAAGTAAGTAAATGTAGAAATATTTAAAACTTTCAGACGCATAGATATGCAACTTAAATATATTATTAAATATGAAGAATAATATTTATGGAACAATTACTTCATCATAAAAAATATTTATGAAATACGATTCCATACAGAAAGTGTTTATATTTTATTTTAGAATTATAACATAAAATCTTATAAAATATATACAAAGTATTTATAATATTTACTATTTTTAAAAAAAAACTGAAGTATTATTTGAATAGTTATAATATAATAAAATATAATTATTAATTTTAGTAAAAAGTAGGTTTTATAACACAAATTGAAAGATATAATTAATTGATTTTTTTTACAGTATTATTTAACTCGTAAAATAATATATAAATTTTTATATTATTCCATATATTTTTATATACTTTATATTATGTTTATTAGAATAATATAATATTGTATCATATATGAAATTTATCGTTTAGATTGTAATATTTTCATTTTGAAGATTATCAAATGTATTAACAAATTATTCTTTATATTTAAAAAATTTTCTTTTAATAAATACCCTTAACATTTTTTAAATAAATTTATGCTTTCATTGTTTTTTATTATATTTATTTACATGATTACACTTTAAACAAATAAATTATTGATGTTTTATATTCACATACAATTTTAAAAATAGTCAATTTTTCAATATCTTTATACCTATATTTAATTTAATGTTCAATGTTTATTATTTTTTATTTTTTATTCGTATATTTATTTTTCATATTTCATTATATCAGAGGCTAAATTTTCTTTTTATAATTTATTATTAGAAATAGATATGTAATTAACATAATATTCAAAATTACTAAAATTATTTGTATTAAATGTTATTACATTTCTTTTTCTATATATATAATTATATTAATAAAAACAATAAAAGATATTAATAATTTATTTACATTTGGATGAATTTATAATTTTCAATAATTATAATTAAAATTATAAGAATATTTGATAATATATTTCGTAAAATGTGAAACTTGTGTCAACAAAAATTTTAAAAGGTATTATGTGTATTAGAAACGATCAATTTACAATTTTATTTATATAAAATTTCTTATCTTATTTTAATGTATTTATTTATTTATATTTATAAAAATATGTATCACTAAATATTTCAAATCGTAGTGCATTCTTTTATTAGTCTTATTACAGTGTCAATAATAATTATAATTCAGAATTAAATGTATAATCATAATTGTGATAGGAAAAATTATTGACACAATTTTTTTTTTTTTTTTATTATTTATATTTGATTTAAAATTCAATCAATTATTTATATATAAAAATATAGAAAATTGTCATTCTTGATATTTTATTAACAATATATTTCATATTTTATTGGTTTGATATTTTTTTCTTGAAAAGTTTTATGAAAAAATCAAAATATAATAAATGAACTATTTTTTTTGTTATATTATTTACATTTTGTATACTTTAACTTGCTTACAATGTAATTGACTATAATTTATATATATTCTTTTCACAATCTGTTTTATCATTCAAATATATTAAATATTTAAAGTGTATTTGTCAACATTTGGTTTACTGATCTAGCCCTTTCATTTATATTAATATCATCTATCCGTACTCAATATTATTTTATAAACGATTAATAACAAATACATGATACAAAATCTTTCTGCAACTATTTTTTTACATACTATTTAATTGTGATAAGATATTTGTTTAATTTGTATCTTTTTTCTTAACAAATAGCTATTCTATATTTATTCTGTAATTACAACAGCTTCTGATTATGCATTGTCTAACTCATAATCAATTGTTTATAATAACTTAATCAGTCATTGATTGTCAGATACTTTACGAAGTGGCTATTCATATTTTTAAAATTAATAAATGAAAAATGATGGAATAATTGGTTTCAAGATCATTTTATCACTTGTACATCATTAATTATTTAAGAATCAACAAGTGTGCTTTTACAATTTATTTACATGATAAATGCTAAGAAATTGCAACCAAATATCTGTGGTAGGGCGTTATCAACTAATGAAATTAGAGTTAATTATAATATTTGATGATGAATTTTTTAATAAATTAAATATAGAAAAATCTTATAAGTTTATCTTAGTTTTGCTGTTATTCTGTATATTTTAAACTTGTTTATTTACAATATATCAATTTGACAATATGGTTTCAGAGGCTAATACAAGATGATTCCATTTTGTTGTAATGATATTTTATGAATATTTTCATAGATAATATGAACCCTATACAAAATTACTTACAATCATTAGATTGGTATATGTGTAGAAGGTGAAGATACTCATATGTATAATGTATATAAATTTAGAGTATATACAAATAAAACTTAGAATCAAAAGATCAACACTGAAGAATCATATCAAAGACCTTATCTATTTTATCACATTTTGAACTTTATATTTATTGTGAAATATAATTTTACTGATTCAACACTAGATATGGGCTAAAACTGGGAAAGTTTTTACCCACTATAAAATAATACAATGTACTTAAATTTTATTTTAAATAATACATTAGTTCCAGACTTATAATCAAATGATTGGAATTATATTAATTCTATAATCTGTGCTATTTAATTATATGTGCTAAATAGTAATATGTATGCTATTTTATTATATGTGCTATAGAATAATATATACGCCATTTAATTATATATGGTATATAATAATATATACGCTATTTAATTATATGTGCTTAGTAATAATACATACGCTATTTGATTAAATGTGCTATATAATAATATAAATGCAATAAAATATAAATTCCATATATATTATGTTATTTAAAATGAAATTTGATTTTGTCAAATATTTTTAATTAGTTACTTTTTTAAATTACTATTTTTTTCAGTAAAATGTTTTTTCCAATTGGCTGGCCTCGTGTTTTAAGATTTTCACAACCAGAAAAGATATGTTCTATCACTTGTAATCGTGATAAAATTCTTTTTGGTATTCTTACTGTTGATGGCATTAGCATTTGGTGTTGTAAAGTGAGTATTTTTTCAAAAATTTTTTAAGAAAAAAAAATGTTATTCATATATTGATATTTCTTGCCAAATCAAATTTTAATTTTGAGCATAGTTTTATAGTTCTTTTAGACAGATATTGTTTGGAATTCCAGCCACCAACCTAATCGTAGTTCAAGGTGGGTGGATTAGACCGTACCACCAGTTTAATGGTGATAGGGGGGATAAGTGAGAGGTTAATGCATCAATTCAGTGTAGACACAATTGAGAACGTCGTCCGGAAGTGCAAGGGTAGAGGGTTTAGTCCAGTTTATATATGATTGCGTACATTTAGCGTTGTAATTCTTGGAAGCTCTGGTGAATTCTTTGAAAGCAAGCTTTAGTACGTTCGAGAAGCTTATTTTATTACTATGCGGACATAGTACGCGGCTTAAATTTACATCGAAATTTTCGTAACGAATAATTCAAATATTACGCCTTAATCTAAATATAATGTATCAAACAATAAATTCATTTTTTGTTAAGTAGTTCAATCCTGAACAGATATGAATTACTTAAGTAATGTATTTCTTTTTGCAATCACAATATATTAACAATATATTAAATTAATTATAAACATTTGATTTGAACAAGAATTTGATTTATTTTTATTTTAATGCACGTGCTAAACGTAACATTATCATCGTTCGGCGAATGCTTTACGAATCTTATCAAAGCGATAAGTCTCACTATTTAATTTCCAATATTTACCATAAGTAAATATTATATAAAAATGGAATTAATATCTAAAAAATTTATAAATTATACTGTAATAAACTTTTTGAAGTGATATGGAATGAAAAGTTACTAAGTATTTAAGAATTTTTAAATCTTAATTAAAATGTGTAAAAACTCGAAATAAAAATATTACTAATAATTTAGTACACACATTCTACATATATATATTGAATTAACAAAATATTCACATGTGCCTTTGTTGTAAATATTTTGATTATTTATTTATTCATTGAAATGTATTTATTAATTCGTTGAAGGCCTAGTTTCTTAATATATCTCTAGAAATTATAGAATTAATTTAACATTTATGCATTTTTGGGCATTAACTAGTATTTCAAAAAAGCGTGTTTAATATTAGAAAAAATGATGAGACGATTAAGTGTTGTGCCCCAAAATAACGGCAAATTATACGTTTAAAATTGTCGATATAATATTCGAAAGTAAATATTAAAATTTAAAAAAATGTTTAGAATACAAAAAGCAAATGCAAAAAATCATATTAAACGACAATTAAATTTAATTCAATAAATTCATTTTGTACAAAATGCAACTCGTCATTCCGACTTGTTTTATCAAGGCCGGTTCGACGGATACAATTTGATGCCGTTGACAACTCAGAGACCACGGGTGTTGTGTTGTAGCGATGAAAGATCACAAGTGGAAGTGATATTATAATAATACAATAAAGGTATGGCTAGAGTATGCTATTTATTCTGTTATTTATTAATGACAAGGTTGACTGGTATTACTATTATTACTTGTAGAACTAAATTCTTGGATTGAAGTGATGCGTTACGGAGACAACTGTACAATAATCTATGCAACTTGATTGTTGAATACGAATGGTGAATGGCGCGAAGTTTCATTCGTCGACACTAGCACCTTTTGAACGAGCACGTTTGTGAGGTTGAGGTTATGAATGCAGCTTTATGATTGAAAGATATCGCAAAGTGGCGCGAAACTGGATTGTCGACACTTGCGCTGGGTTTTGCTTACTTTCGTAAGCTTCCGAACTTGAACTAAGGTGCGGGATACTAAAATGAGACGCCCCTGGCGAGCGCAAACCTGGACGACGCGTACTGGAATTTATTCCGCACTGTCGTATTAAGAGTAGCTTCCTCATCCTTAGTGCTTGTCGATGTAATACTCTGAATCTCAATATATATATATATATATATATATATATATATATATATATATAATTATTGTAGTAGATACTACTTACAAAGACTAATCATTGACTCGTCTTCGGACTCTGATAGGCGGATTGTCGTAGCTCCCTTGGAACAAGTAACTACGGTTTCTTGAACTGCGTTAGAGGACATACGGGTTTATGTCGTAGTTCTTCCGGGGCAGTAACAGTGTTAATGGACAATCCGAAGAAGTGTATGTCGTTCCCGAAATAGCGCTAAATGGACTTTCACTAAAACTTAACTGAGTATGAAATGTCTCAAGGGTTTAATATATTGAGAGAGTATTACTAAAAGAGAGATATCAAAAAAAGGAGAGACACTTCAAAAAAGAGTAATATTACGAGAATACTACTAAAGAAAAAGCTGTCAAGACAGTTAAATATCACGAGTGATAAGTATTAAGAGTAAATAAGTATTGAAAATTGCGCCCCTTAAATACATTTGCTAACCATGAATTTTACTTGAACCCCTTCCCTTATTTGAGCAAGCGAAGTTTTTAAATCCAAATACAAATTTTATGATGTTACTTGCCAGATGTTTTATTGCACTGACAAAAAAAGGATAAATGTTCTCGCATTCTCGAACACATTTCTAAAAAAAGATAAACTAAATTGCTATGACCCAATATAAACAGTAATTGCAAACAAGTAATTGCAATTTAACTGCACAGAACGATATAAGTAGTAATTATACGGAATTGCCAGCAACTTAGTGTATAGTATATAACTTAACTAGTATATTGATGAAATTATAGCACACTACTAGTTGTTCAAAAAATAATTCCACAAATATGACTCATCAGCCAAACGTGCAAAATCAGCATAGAACAAAAAAACCACTAGATGTTGTGTGGGATTGCTTGGCAAGCAAAGGATTAATACACTGATTCAATAATTAACACATATCTTTATTATTGCTGTTTATTCCATTAATTTACTTTATTTCCAAGTTGGAATTATTAACCATGTTGAATTTACAATGACCTTTATATTTCTTAATACTTTTGTGACGTTGAGATATATTCTTTTATTGATGAACTAGAGGATAATTACTTTTTTATTCTCTGCATGTAACTGGTGAAATTATGATTTACTGTAAAAGGAAATAGGTTATAATCTATTGAATATTATCACCTTAGAGGTTATGATCGTTGTAGTTATCTGATCGAACACTACAACCTTATTATGTTTCAATGCAACACGTGTGCAGTTACCTCTAAATAATGGGTCGTGTAAGAACCTAAATTAGAGGTTATGCGGAGCTGTGCGCCACTTGTGGCGTTAACACTGATCGTTGTTGATGATCTGCTCTTACAGTGTGGTGCGAATAGCTGTGCGTTGAATGAAATGAAAAGCTACTGTGTGGCGTCTATAGCTAGTCGTGTTTTGTAGAGTATGTCTGGGAAGCTTCACTAATCAGACTTCAGTCGTCCGTTTTCAGAGTAACCCCGAGAGATATAGAATCAGTACTAGTGGTAAGAACTTACTTGCAGTGTAACGTGATTTTTCTAATCTCTCTTGTTGACTTGATGTGAAGTTCCCTTTTTTAGTTTGCACCTCTTTCAAGTTTCTTTCTTGTCTCCAAGTGAGATTACAAATGGTCTGTCCTATGCAATCTAATCTGGATGAGATCAATATTAACTATATACTAATTCACAATCGTAGAAAGAACTTTTACTAGACTCAGCTGAATGACTCGTCTTTCTGGTCCTCCTCTGTGAGAGTAAGTCGTGACTTATCCTTTCAATCAGGAGAAGTATAAGAATAGGAATAAGTGGTGGTACATTGCATTGTCCTTCTTAAATAGTTCGCTGATCCAGTTCCACTTGGGACCCCTTCTTCTTTCGATTGTCTAATCAGAGGTTACCTTGGGCAGCATGATGGATTATACACACCTTCATTTCCACTTCCTTCCGGGCTCAGTCCCGAATATGCTAATCGGGAAAGTGTCGGAAGTGGGGAGCCTTTACTATTGGCCACCTCTCCCTTTCCTGGAACTTGGCAAGATGAAGGGCCCTCTTGGGCGTGGTCGATTTTCTGATGCGATCGACTTGATGCCGCGTAATTAGGAATGTAATTAGGAACAATGCAATTATTGTCCCAAAAGGCCGAGTGCGCACGTACGCCTATTGCTTGTTGTCGCACGTGCCGAGTTTTGGGTTGCAGTGAATTTCCAGGAAATGTTTGTACTCGATAGTTTACCTGTATTCGACACTCGGTCAGAGTCTACGTATTCTTAGCAGTAAACACATAAAGTTTACTGTACCGGGAAAAATATGAGCACGCTTATAAATAAGCAAGAGTAAATAAGCAAAATATTCACTGGAATTTTTCCAGATGTATTGACCGTATCGAGTGTCCAGCGACCGTGGGAAGTCGTGGCAAGAAATCGTTCTCGCAATTTTGAAGACTAGCGTACTGTGTTTTTTATCAATACACATACCGGCAAAGAAGCCACAATATAAGACATTATATGAGATTTGAATTTTTTATGTAAAAAGAATATATGAACTGAAATTCATAATTGCATCTATATAATATTCCTGCTACATATTTCCTGACCACATAACAAGACGACTAATTTGAGTGTTTACGACAAATAAAAAAATTATTAATACATACTTTCCGTGTATATAATTAAATTAATATTACTAAAATTCGAAGTAAGGGATAATACGTAATTTAAATGAGATGTTAATAAATAAATGAAAAATGAAAGAAATAATTTCAAATCTGAGGAGATAGAACAAACGACCAATACTTATTTTTGTAGTGGTTTAAAATATTACCTTCCACATTTTTATAAACAATACAATTATTATTTGAGATCGAGAAGATTTCTTAATACATTAGTATACAAATACAAACTACTTTTTATACAAATGAAAGAATATCTTATAATACAATTGAAACAAAAACTATAATAGCTAAACTAATACGTAATTAATTAATTTCATAATAATTATATTAAAATATGAAAATTAAAAAAAAGAAAATATGTGTTTACCTTTCAACATCACTTTGATAGATAAGAAAATGATAGTAAACATTCTCATTAAATAGATTATAGTTAATCTTGAAATATATTATTTGTGCATGTAAATTATAATTATATTTTATGTAAATGTGAATTAAAAATATATTATATATACATTTTTATTTTTAATAGTTGATTTATTTTACTGAATACAATATTAGATATAAAATGAAATTATAAAATTTTTTTCTTTCATATTAAACATGGAATAAAATGGATATCAGCCTTGCGTTCCTCTTGTTTTTCAAAAACGCTCGAAAGAATGTTTACAAAAATATGGTGAAAATTTCATATTAGAATGGCGCCCCGATTCAAGTATGCTTGCCATAGCAGTGAGTATCATACACACATATTTATGTAATATATAAATATATGTATTTTACAAATCCATATTAATTGTTACATTTTATCATTAAAAAATGTAATATATTCTATCCTTATCAATTACTGCGTTGTAATACATTACTAAGTGATATACTGTATTATTTAATATCCACAGCGGTTATAGCAATCAAAATAGCACAAAAAATACTTGGGATCATTCAACCCTGACGAGTTTCCACGAATTTAAGAAAAAGTGGGTCATACGCGCTGTGCGGCGCACGGCACGCTCACTCGGGCTAATGTTTATAAACAAAACTCGGCAAGTCCGAGCAGGTTTTACGACATGAAATCTAATATACTATAAGATCACACAAAAGTATTACACCCTACTTTTCTTCCGTCGAATTCTCGAAGATTCTAGATTTTTCTTTCTACGCCTCGTGCAAGAATTAGTACAACAACGACGATGCCTTGTTGCCAGCTAAGTGAGCCGCCACGTGGAGATATAAGGTAAGCACGCGGCGCGCCTCGCTCTCTCGCTGAAAATCTCTCTTGCTGAAAACTTCTTGCTTGCTGACCGGCTCTCTTGCCGAGCCACCCTCGCTCAACTGCGCTTGCGGCTAACATCTTGCCGTGACCCGACCGCAGTGACCGACCATAGTGTACCTATCTAATCATCTACCAGTAGAAGCCATGGCACATGGGTCTCGATCTGCCCTCAGCAGGACCGCCATGGAACGGTCGGTATTTTCAGCAGAGCCGCCACGGAACGATCAAGCCTTCGGTTCGTGCGCGTATTCAAAAGGCTCATACGCTCATTGTAATCTTACTTCGCGCTCACTTAAGTGTAATTGCCGCTCAGTGTTTCAGTATTCTGTGAAGAAGACACGTGGCCATATATTCAGTATTCAAGTTAATAATACATGTGTGCATCAATAAAGGGAAATCGGCAGATTTAGAAGTGATAACAGTGAAGCCAAAGGAATAGTAAACAAAGAGCACTTCAGCTACGCAGTAAATCAACTTACCTTGTTAGCAGTTTCACAATGTACCTCTTTTATATTAATAAATAAGCAAGTCACACCTCGCACAAAAATAAAACGGGCAATTTCACATTCTCTCGGTCGAACCCGCGCTTCGACCTCACACAGACCCAAACAGTCGTCAGATGACAGAGCACGCTCTCTCGAAGCATCCTGTCGTCGTCGTGCATTCCCTAAACAGTCGTCAGGTGATAGAGCACGCTCTCTCGAAGCATCCCTTCGTCGTCGTGCATTCACAAAACAGTCAACACAGTTGACGCAACAAGTCAAGGTCATTCTCAAGACCAGACTACAGTATATCGACTAATCGACGATTAATGCTCATCAATAAGTCCTTCAAGAGTTCTAAGGCTTATAATTAATGACAGTTTTGTGTGATTGGCTCTTCTACTGTCACCATAAATAATTAAAGACACAATTGATTACTTAATGAATTCCATTTAACATCTTACACCATATCAAGTATAGTTATTCATTCATCAAGCAGACTTGATTCGACCACCATCTTCTCATGCAACCTCATAAGGATGAATGACGGATTACACCAGCTGATCTTTACAACATCAGCATTACCTCAATTACAAGACACGCAGTAATATCCATAAAATCTTGGATAATCAAGAATACAAGGACACATCCTTAGTACTACAATGGAATACTTCTTTCTCAACAACATTGCAGTATTATTATTATAATTATTAACAAATAATAAATATTGTTTAACTAAATACATGATATTTTTCAGCCTTGTTACTTATTACTTCCTTTAAAGTTATCCTGCCGAGAGACTAATCCACTGAACTATTGAATTGGTAGTTCGAGTCATAGGCTGAGACTTTAAAATCGAACAAACCTATTACTTCAATAAATAATATAATAATTATGAAAATAAACCTATTTGTGTATAAAAATTTACTAAAAACAAAGATTAAAATACTAATGTTTGAGAATGCGAGAACGCTTTTCAAGTGCAATAAAA